AAAATATATAAAAATTAAAAAAAAAACTTATAACTTAGCTAATAATATAACATAAATATTTGTATATTTAGAGGATTTAATGCTGAAATTTTCCCTTGCTCATAGGCAGATCTACAGGGAAAGAGGAGGGAGGACTTTCGGTCTGAAGCCCCCCAAAATGGAAAAGTATAACTATGTTTTATAGAAGAACATATTAAAAACTATCTCTGAAAGTATTATTGTTCGTGTAATTACATTTAACAGGACTTCAAGAATCACTTAAACTCCATTTCCTATAATTGGTTAATTTAAAAAAAATTAATTATCGCTATTTATATGAAAAAATAATTCGGAATGAAGCCAACCTCTCCTCCCCCCCCCCAAATTAAATCCTGAAACGCTAGTGCCCTCGCTTACATCATTTTTAGTTTCTGAGATATTTCAATTGAAATGCAAAAACTAGTCGTCTCCAGCCGATTTTACCCGAATAGAAACACTTAATTTCTTATTTATAAGGCTAAAAAAAAAAAAAAAAAAAAAATCTAAATAAGATAATTTCGTATTATTGGTACTTTTTCCCTTTCCAATTTTTTAACTCGTTACCTCAAAATATAATAGCTCATTATATAGAGGATAAAACGTTGCACGTTTTCCTCGTTTATAGTATGCAAGTCCAATTTTTAGTTTCTGAGATATTTTAATCCACATCCAAAAAATTAATCGAATGAGCGTTACATAGCTGAGCTTGACAGTCTCATTTAATACCCACAAAATGAAGTGATAAACACGCATAAAGAAGTTTTCACTTAAAAAATAAGTTTCAACTGATAACCATCATTTATAGAAAAAAGTAACCCTGCTTTTCATACAGAATTTATTTAAAAAGGATATACATCAAATCAACAAAAGAAACCTGACGATTGGATGCTAAAAAAATCAATTCGCAAAATATACAAAAATCAGTTAAAGTGGTTTTGAATAGGATTATTGTTTAATTTTCAACAGAAAAGAACAATCAGTAATGATTTCTATAATACGGGCGTATTAGAAATCATTATTGGTTCAGATATTTTCAATGAAAATTCAAAATAGAAAAAAATATTGGAAATAGAACTCTATTTCTATTAAAAAAATAAAACAACAAAGTTAACTTATAAATCTATTGATATAATAACAACATTTTGGAGTGAATAAAATTAAGTTTATGATAAAAAAATAAAACATACTTATTTGAAAGCTTCCATAGTTTCCAAGAACATTCGATTACTTTCACTCGAGTTTAGTAACAACTTCCACAGTACGGATTGTTTCTTTCCAGTTAACACCGTCCAATTCTGATGAAAAGAAAACTAAACTTACTTTACTAATAAAGAATATGGATTACTAATATTTAATCATAACTGAAAGTAATTAGAAAGGAGTAAATTAATAACTGCTAATTTCTTACAGTTTCGCCAACATATACTATTTAAAATTAATTCATTATTTCTGTAGGCATATTTTGTTTTATTATTTAAAAATTTGTCATTAAAACTTATGGAACATCTTGGCTCATAAATAATAAGGAAATAAACAGTAAATTATAAACAAAATATAATTCAAAGAATACGACTGTCAGTTATTTTAATTATGTGGTGATATTTCACTGCTCTTTGGATAATCTTCTCGGTTTGTATCAGGGTGAATACATTTAAAAAAAAATATCGAAGTCGCCAGTGGTTGGTTATTCACATGAGAATAGGAGAGAGAAATTCCAAATTCCAAACACATGGTAGGGGGCGGGCGGTACTGTTAAGAATTAATAAAAATGTAGAATTTCATAAGTTACTAAAAATCACGGGCAGCTTTCGGGCTGAAGCCCCCCCCCCTCCCCAAAAAAATAGTAAAATATAACCATATTTAATGAAAAAAAGTATTATTGTTCATCTAATTACAGTTAATAGGACTTAAAATTGCATATAGGTAGTTAATTTCTTCCTTTCTTCCGAAGTAATTATCATAATACTTTTATACAAAAAAAAAATCTTACAGCTGAAGTTCTCCCCAAAATTAAATCCTGGATTAGTTAGTACTAAAAATTAAATGTTATTACGTCTTCTATCATGATATATTTACCAACCATACTCACAAATATATGGTCAATTTATCGCTGTCATTAAGGTATGTTTCATATCCTTTAGTCACTAATTTACTTTAATTTTCCCTTTATGAAACTAGAACATTGAAAACTTGTAATAATATTCTATATTAAGGATTTTTAGTCATTTCGATGCACCAACAGTGTTTCTTTTATCGATAAATAAGATGGATTTCCTCAAAAACATTTTTAAAAGTTCATCTCCATCAAAAATATTTAAACATCTTTGCAATATACTAGCAATGTTCAGGAACAATCGACTGTTGTATAAAAAGTTCAAACTAATTGTAAGATTTTTTTCCAAAAAGGACAAGTGTAATATTATCTTCTTTCTTCCAACTCCTTCTCACAAATTTCATAATAGTATTTTAGAAATAGAAATAGAAATAGAAATAGAAATAGAAATAGAAAAATAACTTTATTCTGGGACACAGTCCCTTGAGAATAACAAAATTAAAATATTACATCTGGCCAAAACAAAATAAATCGAAAAAAAGAAATAATGTAAAAAAAATATAAGGTAAAAACTCTATATACAAAACAAACTAAACTATATACAAAACCATTAATACTATTACAAGAAACTTAAAGCTATTTAGACCAGTATACACTTTTCCGAAAAAAATAAAGAATTAAAAAATAAAAATATATCAAATTCTCTATTAAAATCCGCTCGAATGGTTAGCAAGTATCTGACTGTTTTTGTGATAGGAATTGGAATAGGAGGGATTTGAATGTGGATATGGAGGGGGAATGTCGAATTTTGATAGGGAGGGAATTCCAGAAATTGACAGAGCGAACAATAAAGGAATTTTGGAATGCGGCAGATCTGTGAGAAGGCATGTAAAGGTCAGAAGGTCGAGATCTTGTGGACAGGGAATGGACTGAGGTTTTGAACTGGTGAAGGTTGTAGGCGTAAGAAGGACGATGGTTGTTGATGATTTGGTAGAGGAACGTACCTAGAAAGTATTGTCTTCGGAAGGAGGGGTAGAGCCAACTTAACTCAGTGTAGTGGTGAGAGACATGGGAGTACCTCGGGCCACCAATAACAAATCTTACGCAGCTATTCATTAATCTTTTCAGTCTATCACGGAGCTCCACCGAGAGGCCATCATACACCACACAGCTGTAGTCAAAGTGGGGGAAGATGAGAGAGGAAATTAGGAGTCTACGGATATGTTGAGGTAGGAGATGGCGGAAGCGATGAAATAGTTTAAGGGTAGAGATTGTCCGACGGGAAATGTGAGAAATATGGTTGGTCCAGGAGAGGGTTTGATCTATGAAAAATCCTAAATTTTAGGCAATATTTTCAAAGCATATATAAACATAACCTAAAATAGAACATTTTATTGCTAGAATTGAGGTCAAACCAACAAAAAGAAAAAAACAAATAAATAAATGCTTTATTTAATCTCAAAATACTAAAACAATCTCAAGAGGCTCTCTTGTTACTCTTTAGTCCCAGCCTATTTTGTGTGTATCAGGATTGGCAGATTGGGTTTTCCCCTCTGATTTAGGTTTTTTTTTGCCATTAACTAACTTTTCCTAGTGTAAAAAAGTATTTAGTTTCTTAAAAGGAGTTTTCTATATTTTGCTAAATGCACTATTCTTCAGATTTCTTAAATTGAGCACTGATATTCCAAGCAAGCCTACAGCAACATCGCGATCTCCCAGCATCAATAAGGTACTGGTACCCTGATATCTATGCTATTGCCATACTATCTTGCTTGGAGTATCGAAGCTGAGTTTAAGAAAACTAGAAAAGGATCATATTTTCTAAAGAATGAATGTCAATAAAGAAGGAAGGAACGCTGAAATGAATTGAGCTGATTCAACATACATGAATCTAATACCAAATGATTGTAATAATTATCAATTGCAAATACTAAAAATTTGTAATATAATTTTTATTTTTAATCAGTTATGATATGACTGGAATTTTATTTTTGATTGTTTTTCTGTTATTTCAGAACTAGAAGTTTTTCACATGGGATTACTACTCAATAAGTTTTTATTGAATATTTATTTAAAAGTTCTGTTAGAGCAATCAATTTTGTACTTAATATTTTCTCCAACTCAAAGAAAAGAAATATAAGAATAAAGTAAATCATTCAAGGCAAAATATATCTGTAATCTAAGTCTACTTACTAATTATTTCATTATGACTTTTAAAAAAAAAGTATATATATAGATAGATAGATATAGATGATTAAAACAAATCCATTACAATACTGTTGGATTGCAATACATCCAGAACCTTGACACAAAAACGTTTCTTAGAGGGCGGCACTGCGGAAGGTGAGGAGCTTGAAAAAGATTGTATACTTGCGATTCTTAAATCATTAAAACAACAAACCTGTACTTCCAAAACATAGGTAGTGATAAAAATATAAACATATATTTATACTATAAAAACTTCAATTATGCATAAAGAAATGAACAATTTAATAAAACTTGTTTATTAAAATATACAGGTATTATAGAACAAAACTTGGCAGATTAGAATACAAGCTTCATTCATAAGTTCTTATCACAGATCCATTTGGAATCCCAAGCCTTCACATGATGAAACATAATTTTCAACACTGTAAAATATTTTTTAAATTATTAAAATAAACAAACAAAAAGTATAAGGAAAAGTGGCTTATCTAAGGAAGAATAAAATTAATACTTACATTTAGTAATCTAAAAATATATCATACAAACATTAAGTATCAAACTTAAATATAAAATATAAACTTTTGTAAATAATATTTAGGAATTGTTACACTATATTACATAAATTATTTATGTTATATAATACAATATTATATCTTTTTTTTTTTAGATATTACAATGCCATCTATTAAAAGAAATTGTATGCTATATATTTTAGTAACTTACATTATGTAGCAAGCGACAGAAGAAGAGCAGTGCCACGTTTGATCCAGTAATGAGGGTTGGAGGCACGCGAGATGGCCAAGTCGACAGCTACAACATACGCCTCTCTGCCTTGAGTGCCGCATCGTTGGGGATAATAATACACTGGGCATTCGTAAACACCTGTAAATCACCACAACAATGTCAGAAGTATTTTATTAGTTACGAAAACAGTCGGTAGAAGACAATTATCAAATTCAAAATATTCATTTAAATTATAATTAGTTCATTTTAAATTAATTATAGTTGATTGTTTGGAAGGTTATCTTTGTTCATAAGCAGCCAGTATTTTCTGTCATTTTTTTTTTTTTTTATGAGTGCCTACATTTCGAACTAAACTTGTATGAAATCAGGGCAAGGAGCTTTGGTGGAGTTATCACAATAGTGGATTCACATTCAAATGAATGCTACAAAGTATGGCCATATAAAAAAAAAGCTAGAAAAAATCAAAGTAAGCAATATTCTAAAATTTCATTGATCACGATTTCTTCCAAGTAATAAAATAAAAATACAATACAAACAGTAACAATAGAACACTGGGAGTTGGAATGGTTATTGATGAAGAAAATATGGAAAGTTTTAGGATTGGGTTTGATGACGGTTGATTTATTTCACCAACTTAAGTAATACTTCAGTTTAACCTTTCAATATGTAAACCCAATTAACCCTCCAATAATAGTAACTAAGAGCAAGGGAATATAAATCTGACATTTCATCTTGTCTAAATCCATCCTCAGTTTTTGTATTAAAGTTTTTTTTCAAATCATACCTCTTAATGCAAGTAAATATTGTTGAAAAATAAAATTATAGTACTGAGAATTGTTACTTTACTTAGAGGAAAGATAATAATGCAATTAAATGGAAGAAATAGAGAAGATAATTCCAGGGAATTTTTCAAAGTCAAGGTTAACTTAATAATTTCAAAAACAGGTATGGAAAACATTTTACATATTGATTTTTATTTTACTGTTTTTATTTTTATTTCTTTATGCCTATTTTATTTTCTATAAAAGATAATTCATTCAAATAGCATAAAGGCATTTATTATTTGCTTGGAGTAGGAGAATGGATACAACTTTAACTACTAAATTCTGGTACTTTTAAAGAATTTTCAAGATCAGGTGTTTTATTTAACAACAAAACCAGAGACTCAAAGTACATTGTATGATCATTTTCAGAAATATCTTGTTTGTTTGCAATGTGTTCATAATTAACTGATAATACACATATTTTCATTATCTTGTGCATTTTTTTCCATCATTTTAAATTTAACCTTCGATAATTTGAACCGGCCATGTAAAGCAATTTACGTGCTTGGATATGCATGCAAGATCGTCCTTTATTACATAGAATCAAAAACCAACTCCGGGAATACAAAAAAAGATAATATGCAAAATTAAAAGAGCTAGAAAGAAAAGTAGATAGGGCTAACAGAACTGCCAATATTAAAAAAATTTAAGCTTCAAATGCCATTCTATGATTTGAAAATAGTGGAGGCTAAATAAACTATACATACCAACTGTTTTCTTTTTACGAGCTACAATCGGCTTGAATAATATAACTGGCATTTCATGAACAAGTTCCATGGGCTGCGGTTCACACAACTTCATAGTGATAGACTCCCACCCAGCACCTTCTAAATACATTCCGCGTACATAAACACCTTCCTGAAAAGTCACATTTTAAATACTAAAATATTGAAAAGTACAAAAATAAAACTAACAGGCTATTGTTTTATTGAAACATGAACCATTTGCAGGAAGTAAACTTAACTAGTGGAATTGAATATTTAATAGTTGACCGTTGCATTATAAAGGAAGGAGATGGTCCGGGGTTGCGGTCATAAAAAGGCTAAATAGTGGTAAAACTATTTTATTTTAATTTTATTGAAACGTTGGCTTTCAATAAAATAGTTTTACCACTATTTAGCCTTTTTATGACCGCAACCCCGGACCATCTCCTTCCTTTAACTAGTGGAAGTTTCCTTGCAAATGTTAACTTTTCTTAAATCTTAAAATATTTCAAGCAAATACTCTGCCAAATAAAAAGATGAATTCTTACCAAAGAAGCAGAAGTGATTTCACGGACATCTTTTCTCTGAGGTTCAAATTCCCAAAGTAATGTATCAATTGATATAACCATTCGTCTGGCAGCTGTCTGGAAACCAAATTTGAAATAACATTACATCCAATAAAACTTGAGATACAATTTACATAATTATGAACTCAATACCAAGTTAGATTGTTTTAATTATCATTAGAACTAATGAACTATAAAGAAAACTATTTCTATCTTTGTGTTGTGGAAATCAACCAACGTCTCTATTAGACAAAATTTTAGTCAGAAAATAATATTTTAAGAAATCAGTGTCCTAAAAATTGTCTTCAGTGCCAGGCTGCTTTTAGCATATTTTGAGGTAAGAGTTAGTCTTTCTTAAATCCAACTGAATTTAGCTGAATGTTTCACAATAATAACAATATTGTTATTTGAAATAGAAATGGTAAGTCCAGAAAGTTCTGAAGTCCAGCAAACTCTAATTTGGTTAAGCAGATTAAAAAGAATTTTATGTTTAGTAGTGTATTTATATTAATATATTCTAAAAGAAGTATATTTTTTACATAGAAAATTTTGTCAAGGGAATTCAGAAAAGCGCCAAAGATTGGAGAGATCCTTCAATTTAAACAAACTCTATAATTTGGGCTAGAAAAACTCTAAGATACTGAAATATTTTATTGTGATATTAATATTACAGAATAATCCAAGATTTTAATAAGTGGACATCATGATGAAAATAACAGCTGCATTTAATGTGATGATATCAACAAAATGTCTGGCTCAATTAAGTGTAGGAGTAAAAGATAACTAGCAATAATATCAATAATGAACTGTCAATGTTAATAACCTAATCTTCAAGTTCTGTAACCAAGGAGCGGTTAATGTTAATAACCTAATCTTCCAGTTCTGTAACCAAGGAGCAGTTAATGTTAATAACCTAATCTTCAAGTTCTGTAACCAAGGAGCGGTTAATGTTAATAAACTAATCTTCAAGTTCTGTAACCAAGGAGTGGTTAATCTTAATAACCTAATCTTCAAGTTTTGTGACCAAAGAGTGGTTAATAATCTAATTGAAGAGAAGTTGGTTGGGGTGTTCAGTAAAAATAAATATCATTTATTTACTTTTTATTTATTTTTACTGAACATCCTAACAAATTTCTCTTCAATTTTCACTATAGTCAACCATTAATCCACTATTAATAATCTAATCTTCAAGTTTTTTAACCTCGGAAGGGTTAAAGAACTGGTTCTACTGTACAGATATACTGTGTAATTTCAACTATTGCACAACTGCAATAAAAATAAGCAGTATATTAGCTTGTATTTTTTATTATTTTAAGCGAGACTAATACCCATAAATTTGTAACACTGTTATTATTCTTAGGGGACTGTAGTCCCAGAATAAAATTATTTTTTCATTCATGTGTCTTCAAAACAAGAACTAGATTATGAAATTTCTTCGAAAAATTAAATTCCTTATAAAAAATTGGACTCTAATCTTTAGTCAAGATGAAAAAACAAAAAAGGCCATAGAAGAACCAATATTTTAAACCAAAGGGCACATTTTGATTAGTTGATGAAATGAGATAATATTTATTCACTTTTTATTAGTAGAAAAAATTTACATTTAATCTTGCACACCAAAGCTCTTTGATATTTAAAAATACAGAACATTCTTGATAATCCGAAAACCCCGGTAATCTGAACAAAAAGAAAAAAAGTTAAAGTTGAATGACGAGAGAATAGAAATGGCTCTATTTCTCAATACATATTACTGGCATTGCTTCGTGTGGTAGGGTCAAAATCATATTGTGGTGCCTTAAACAGAAAAAATTAAGACTATGGGGACATCCAAAAGTTGGGAAATCTATATATAGTTTTCGGATCAGAAATTAAGAGAGTGTCCAATTTCTGGGGATATATTAGTTGAAAAGGTAAACTTTTTCTTTAAAATTTTCGTAAGAAGGGTGACAAAGCAGATTTCAATATCAGTAAAGATTGGCTTGATAATTTCAAAAGCAGTTACAGAATATGTTACACCCATTTTATTTTTTATTATAGATCTGTCAGAGAAGCACCATGAAGGCATTTAATACTTGCTTAGAGTGGGCAAATGGATGCAATTCTGACTACAAAAGCCTGGTATTTTAAAGGAATTCACAAGATCAGATATTTTCTTTATCAAATAAGATATTCAACGTACCTTATATGATTGGCCTCTCTGTGGAGCTCCGCGATAGACTGAAAGACTAATGAACAGCTGTGTAAGATTTGTGATCGGAGCACCAAGATACTCCCATATCTCTCACCACTACGCTGAGTTAAAGTGGCTTTTTTCCTCCTTCTGAAGACAATATTTCCTAGGTACGTTCCTCTACCACATCATCAACAACCATCATCCTTCTTACGCCTACAACCTTCTCCAGTTCAAATCCTCAGTCCACAAGATCTCGACCTTCTAACCTTTACATGCTTTCTCACAGATCTGCCTCATTCCAAAACTCCTTTATTGCTCGCTCTGTCAATTTTTGGAATTCCCTCCCTATCAAAATACGACATTCCCCATCCATATCCACATTCAAAACCCTCCTATTCCAATTCCTATCCCAAAAACAGTCAAATAGTTGCTAACCATTCGACAACATACATTTATTTCATGCCATTCATTGTCAAATATCAATGCCAAATGTTAATGTATTTATGTATTAATCAGGCACTCTATATTGTCAGATTCAGCTTTCTGTTTTCTCAACAGAAACACAAAGCTTACTTTAATAAAGAATTTAATATATTTTTATTTTTAAATTCCTTATTGTTTTCTAAAAAGTGTATACTGCTCTATCAGTGAAAATAGCTTTAAGTATCTTGTCATAGTGTTAATTGTTTTGTATATAGACTGTTTACCTTATATGTTCTTTACATTATTTCTTTTTTTCCATTGATTTTATTTTGGCCAGATGTAATCTTTTAATTCTGTTCTATTTTGTTATTCTCAAGGGACTGTGTCCCAGAATAAAGTTATTTTCTATCTATTTATCTATCTATCTATGATCATTTTTTTATTTTATTTTATTTGCAATGTGTATATATTTAACTGATAATATAGATATTTTCGTTACCTAGTGAAATTTTTCAATCATTTTAAATTTTATTTTTATTTTTATTCATTTACTTTATTTTTATTTTTATTCATACTTATTTTCCATTTATTTGTATCTTCTACATATATAATACTTAATATTTTACTACATTGTCACCCACTATATCTCTGATATCATCTTTTATTTCTGTATCTGACAACTTCTTCTTATTTTATATCTACTTATATTTAATTTTTATTCTCAACATGTTTTGTATCTTTTGTAGCCCTGAAGACGACTTGCAAAGTGGGTCGAAACGTCAGCAAAATTAAAATAAAATAATTACTATATTTTAATTTAGTATTTATCTGACCGCACCCCCGACTAACTCCTTCTCACTTTTAATTTAAACTTTTATAACAAGTACAAACCATTCAATCTACGTGTTTGGATTCTTAAGATTGTCCTGCATATAGTAATAATATATAGTTAAATATCTAAGGGAAATACTTTATCTACTAGCTACGGTAAGCCCACCTGTAGTACAGCGGTGAGGAAGCCGGTCGGAAAGGTGAAGTAAGCCAGACAGAAAGTTACAGGAGATCTGATGGTTTTGGCCCAATCGGCAAAGAACGACACCCTCGCCACCAGGTCACGAGTCCAAGGACCTAATTTCTTCAGCGAAGGATACGCTAAAATAATCTTACAGTTATTATAATACATTAACATAAATAATGAATTAATAAAAATTAGAAAAAAAAGATATATGAAGAGTCAAATCTCAATATATTGAAAAAAATTAATTAACCTTCCAGTGTAGGCAGGCACCTTGATTTGCAAACCACGGAGTGCGCCATGCCATTTTGGTAGTGATAATGTTTTGTTTTTTTCTGTTGTTTAAATTCTAAATTGACTATTTTGTGCATTTATACTACAGTACATATTTCTTTTGATCCTTATGTTGATAAAGTTGATTCCATTGAATGTTTTCATTTTTATTTACTAATTAAGATTACAAGAAAACTTTAACAATGTTTCTGAGTTCACTTTTAACTGATGTCAGTATAACAACTGTAATTTTGACCTGTGTATAATATTAAAACTGTGACGTTACATGAAGTAAAGGAATTTTCATGGGAAATAGAAATGAGAATAGAGCACTACTAAATAACGGTAGTCAGCTTAAAAAAAAAAAAAAAGCACCGTGGAATGAAAGAAGAAAACAAATGAACAATTTCAACTTTTAATGGTGCGATTGTAACCCAATGAATTTTACTTTGTATATAAGTTGTAAATGTTTATCATAATAATGTGTTCATTGTTATCATTATAGCAACTCTATTTGTATGGGGCATTCCCCAAAAACAAATAAAATATTCATTCATATTAAATTATTATTACTTATTTTTTTGTTGTTTTGAACTTTAATTTTATGATAGGGAAACAAACATGTTATTTATTTTTATATATATTTAATATGAGGTAGGACAATAATACAATACAATACAATACAATAAAAGGCTTAGCGAACCCGAAGGTTCGATGCCGACACCATCAATCACTTATTACACACCTCCTGCCGCCGTTTGCCGTCCAAACTCAGTGCCTTTAGATCAGTCTTAACGCAATTTTCCCATCATTGCTTCAGTCTACCCCTTGGATGTTTACCATTCGGGTATAAAATATAAGGCAGGAAATATTAAATAAAAGAAACATATTTTATGTACTTTAATTTAATAGGTTGCATCTAACGATAAAAAATAAATATAAGTTTTGTACACTAGATAACATAAAACAAATTTTATTACAAAACAACACAAGTTTATTATAAAAAGTAATAAGAAAAATGTAAAAACTAAAATATTAAAAGTGACAATATTAATCACCTATTCAAGGTTTAATCACCTATAATAAGGTATAACGTGAGTGGGCGGAGGGATTGTGCCACAACAATTTTCCAAGGATTTAAAAAAGTATTGGGGGTTGTAAGGTTCAGGGGAAGGTAAGAAGGTAGCCGGCAGACAATAAAGGTTTGATAAACGAATACCTGCAATTTTTACGACATCTGAGCACTTTGAGAGATTAGACAGCCTGAAAACCGAGGCAGGCACATTCCATGCACAAGAAGCAAGCCCTTTGAAGGTTAAAAATAAAAATAATTCTTATCTCCAAATACTGTTACCTACCTTTAAGCCAAGCACTAGGAATCCTGGCTTCATTGATACATGTGAAAATCTCTTCTAATTCGGAATCCATAACGACTACTCCTTGGATTCCCTTTTGAAGATTAATTAGAGAAAGACGCATCGATTTCAACAAAGAATTATAACGGGAAATCTAAAAAGAAAAATACATATTGACGTTTCATCATATGATAAATCAAGGAGAATATTTGTATGATAGTGAAGTATAATAAATAAAGTAAAGAGTATTATTTATTGAACACCAATGTTTTAATCCACATTACAGCTTTCCTGAGCCGTCAGCCATTCTTCAGTTTTGGTTTAATCTAATTTTAATTTTTGTTACCAATTCAGAATTTAAACATTATATATTCCTTGAAGATACGTACATTATCTCTGATCATATATTGAAGTAAATTTTTTATTGAATTAGCTCTACACAAAATGTATGATAATGAATGTAAAAGCAATCAGTAATTATTGATATAAACTGTGTTTAGGGCATTATAGGCTATAATATTATCAAATAATCAAAAATATTGTCATAATTAAATAATTCTTTGTTGAAAATAAGTAAGAGTAAATATTCACCTCTTGAAGAAGAACAACATCCAGTGGTTTCTTGAAATATCCCATCGCTTTTTCTGTGCTTTCGTAATCTATCTGGTGAGGGATCTTTTGTAAAATATCGCTGGCCAATGCCATTACCTAAATTAAGTTAGCTAAGTTTTATTAACAAGGCATGTAAGCAATTACAGAGATGAGTTACGTCTTAATTGTACAAGTGTTATATTAATAACTTAATTTCATATCTAAGTTGGAAAATAATAAAAGTGTCTAGGGGAATGTTTTCATTTTTATCGATAACATACATTAATAAATTTCAATTGTTTATCTATTTCCACAATTATAAATAACTTTATAAAACTTAATGTGAACATAATAGGGTTTGGGCTGTTAACTTGAAAACTTTGTGAGAATTTCAAATTAATAAACATTGAAAAAAGAATGAATATGATAAAGAATTACAAGCATTATGTTGACTATTGCAGGAGAGGTGCCTAGGACTGGAGAGGAGGTGACCTTCTGAGAGTACCAATTCGAGAAGACTAATGTTTTTATATGTCTCGGATCATTGGTAATTCAAGACAACACCCTTGAACAAGTGGTTCGGTGTAGTATCATAGCAGCGAATCAATGTTATTCTATTGCTGGGATGTTCTGGAGTAGAGCTCTCTCCAGAAAATTAAAGTTATGTCTTTATGAGACGATAACATAACTGTCTTTATAAAACGATAGTGTGTACAGTCTTGCTGGATGCTTGTGAGGAGACTTAGACTACTTCCCAGGCTTATCTCTAACAGGAACTCCTCGTCTTTGAAAGAAGAATCCTCAGATGTATCTATGGTGATGTTCTCAGGAGATTGGAAAAGGAAGAAAAACCAGGAGAAAAAACCTGTTTAGAGAGCCCAATATAGTTCAAGAGATGAATATTGCAAGACTGAGATGGACACGTCGTCAGGATGGGCATGTGTTGCTGATGATGCAAAAAATATGCTGAGAATTCAGAATTGGATGGTGGCTGCAATGGACCGAGACAATTGGTGGAAGCTACTGGAGGAGGCCAGGATTCGACAACAGATAGTAGAGCCATGATAATAATTATGTTGACTATTTCATAATGAGTTTATTAAAGCCATGTACATATAGTGTTAAGCAATATACAAATAGTGTAAAACCATATAAATATTGCAGTAGACATCCCCCTGTATTTACTCCTTTAGTTGACATTGGGTGAGGGAATGAGAAGGAATATATAATATATAGGAATGTGAGGTTGCACTGTGAATTGTACTCAATTATGCAGTGGACAAATTATTCATGGAAAAGTCTCATATCGATAAGCAATCGATGAAGAAGGGCGCTGGAAAAAGGTCAGAGCAGGTAGCTGGGAGCAGCTGGAAGAGGACGCCAAACACTTGAGGCCTGGACAGGAACACAAGAAGACGTCATCTGGGAAGAGAGCCTTACTACATTGAAGACCAAGATTATCAAGCCGACCGTTCACTTATATATATTCATTTATTATCAGTTGTCAAAATAAATTTGTTTTGTTAGACAGGAGTGAATAGTCATTTTATTTAGTTGTTCTATAGGCCTCACAATTGAAGAATAAACCGGGTGAGTCGATTCATTCAAAGTGTTTACTATGTCCCACATTTCATATATATATTCTTATTATTTCTTCTCACTCAGTGTCACAAAAGGTATTAGATTCCCGAATTCCCAACGACAGTTAAACACCCTCAAAAAGTTTATATCCAGTGCCGGGGTTTTATCTTAATATTCATGAGTGTAAATAACCTAAACCCCCCGCTATAAAATGGAAGACTATTCGCAATTCCCGCCATAACAAATTTATTTACATTTAACTTTAAACATGTTATTTACATCATAATGAGTTTATTAAAGCCATGTACATATAGTGTTAAGCAATATACAAATAGTGTAAAACCATATAAATATATTGCTAGAAATATAAATAAATGACTTTGTTAATTAATGACTTTATTGTTAAACATATTTGTATAATTTTATAAGTAAAAAATCAGCAATGAACTTTGTAAAAATAAATAGGTAAATATGTATATGTAATTTTTCTAGAAACAAAAATTCCTTCAGTACTAAAAATTTTTACTGTAACAGTTCTTTAATATTTATCATATACAATAACAAATTTTCAAATATTACGATAATTTCTAAAAGCATGTAGTAACAATTACTAAGTAAGCAAACAGAAACTTGACCTTTTTAGAAATTAAATATAACGAAATCTAGGATTTAACTTGCTGGTAATAATTTTTAATTTATCAAAAACTAATTACCTCATCTTCTACATTCTTGGCGGCTGCACCTGCGCCTTCCGAACCTTGCAATGAAAGAAGAGTTTCACACATCGCTTTGGATTCGATAATTAGTGACATAATATCAGCATTTGGATGCTGCCCGAAAGCGATAGGGTTGTCGACAAGAGGTAAAGAATTGATGTATTCTTTGTAAACACTTAGCTCACCATCAGCCGGAATATAATAAGTGTCAATACTTGATAACCTGCAAATTATGAAATTCAAATTTCAGTTATCATATGAATAAGTAACTAACCTATAAACTAAGTAAATGAGTGGCAATGTCAAGATTCATTTTGCGGGTCTGTCACAAAATAAATTGTGACCCACCCAGGCCAGATCGAAACCGGCACTATTAAACTCAAAGTTGCTAAAGCTCCGATAACTTTTTTTTAGTGACTTTCATATTTTATTTTATTTTAGTATTACGATAGTAGGAGATTACAGGAGCTCTCCCATTAGGTATATAATTAATACTAATTAGCTCTATAATTAGCATTAATTATAAAGCTGTTTATTACTTATGTTTTGTAATGCTACTGTAATAATAATATTCGTAGATCAAATAGTTGGAAGTTACGATAAAGTGAAGCAATTCTCGAAGTTTCAGACACATGTTAAAAGTTTGATAAACAGAGGGCTGTACCGTGGAATACTTTAAGTCTTAGAAAATAAAGATTATCTTGGTTAAATATTTTCCATTTCTGGCAGACGGGGTTTCAGCAGAAGTAGGTTAATACGTATGCCCATTACTACCAATGAAATACTTTATTATCAATGTTTCTTATTATACAATATCAATGGATACTTTAATATGCGCCCTGGTGCACCTTACTGATATGACTGCAACTCATGCTCTGCCACAGGTTTCGATAACTTACCATTCTGAAAGAAACTAATTATGAAATAAAGAATCCCACTCCCATCATTAAATTAAACGCTCTTTGAACATTTTAAGCCATTATTGCTTAGAGATGTGAAAAATAAACAAAATTCCAGGAAAAATTTAAGGTTTAGATTGCCTTTTGAAACAGACTATTGTAAAATATTAAATTGGCATGAATCAGCTATAATTGTTTAGCAATAAAAAATAATTTTGCAACTTACTTAAATTGGTGGACAGTCAAAGCTTCATCATTGAAAAATCTGAAAAAATACAAAACATTAAGCATAAATTATTATTAGAACTATGAATAAATAAAAATCTGTACATTTTAATTACTGTCAGCAATATTTCATCAAATGCAAACAAATTTATAAAAACAGCAGTTGAACGTATATGATTTATTAAAAGTTAATTTAACCTTATCACCACATACATGCAGTGTTTCAACTATAGATTTTTATTATTTCCCTTTTTGTTAGTCAGATTTTTTCATTTTTTTCCCCAGAATGAATTTAAAAATCCCTTCCACCCAAATATAAACAAAATAATAGTTTATATTACATGTAACTACTGGTTTTATGTCTGTTTTACTCATATTAGGCTTTGATTGATAACAAATGTTTCCCTATTTTATCCCTCCCATCCTTGTAATTTTCCTAAAAAGGAAACTTTTTCACCAAAGTGGAAACTCTGCATACATCATATATCAGAATCACTCCATTCCAATTTATAATTAGAACTGCTCCAGAATGATGCATCTTACATTTTTTCTAATGTTCTTATAATTAACACAAACTTCATAGAATAACTTTGTATCTGACAAATGGCGGTTAGAAAACAAGTACTATCTGACAGTCCAAGTACCATTGAACCTCAAAACCTAAAACAATTTTTTTTTTTTTAATATTTCACACTCAACAGACAATGTTTGATCAGTTAATTTATTGAATTTTAAATTACTTTTGGAAAATCTAAAATATCCAAGTGGATCCATATTTTTCTTTTGTTTTTCTTCCTATTTCTTCGGAATTTTCCAACAAGGAATTATCTTTAATGTAATCATCACTGAATGAAAAATATAAAATATATTTTTTTTTTAACAAATAATCCTAATTGCTGTTGAGTATATTTTATGAAATTAATAAGACACTACATTATTATTAAAACCTAATAATACAATATCATAAAATTGCAGCCTGTACCTGTCTATGTAGGTCAACAACAGCCTCCTGTCCCAATCGTCAGTGACGTGGCCACCGTAGCAAACCCCCGCAATCAGGTACTTCAAAGCATCCCATGGAGTCATAGGGTATTCGTCCAAGTACAAAGTCAACAGATTTTCTGAAACCTTAAAACAAGCCAATTACATATTCAGTTTTATAAACAAACAATAATAAAATCATTTGTAAAGCAAGCCTGAAGTGCTAACATTTTAAATCTTTGCTAAGAACATTGAATACTTATGGCATGGGATGTTGGGCATTATCTTTTTTTTTTTATCGAACAGTAAATTGTTGAAGACCTATCTTTTTAGGTCAATACTTATATTTGTTTTCATAATATGTTTGAAGGACCAAAACTTATTCCAGCCTAGTTATTTCAGTATTGGTGCATATACTTCAAGTTTCATTGGCATTTACTGGGCTATAAATTCTCCTTAGTATTTTCTTTTCAAACAAAATGCTAACATATCACTTTACAATCTGTATTATTACAATCTGCCACATTGAAGGGCAACAAATAACAAGGCTGAATGTGTTCATTCATACTATACGTACATATAATGGGGAAACAAAAAATAAATAAATGAGTAAATTAAGAAAAAAGTAAATAGAAAAACATACATAAATAATACATAAGCAAAATAAGAAATAAATCAATAAGTAAAAATAAAATAAATCATCTAAACACATTCATTCCTATGTACAATATTTACATTCGCCCAGGGAACTCTGAGCCAAGCTTTGTCCCCCAATTCTGGAAGCCAAAGCCGGACTTCAGGAGATCCCACTGCCTCTCTTCCAGCCGCATTACTGGTAAGCCAGTGGAGACTGAAGAAGGGCACTAGAGCCACAGACGCTCAGGACTTGAGTGGAGAAGTTGGCAATTGCCAGGACTCCAGAAGCGTATTTACAAGAGATCTCGGGGCCACTGCCATTTTTACCTTCGAAGAGGATTTTAGGGATGGGAGGAACTGGACAGGGATTGAGCTAGAGGATTTGGATGATGTCAAGGACAAATGAGATGTTAAGGTCATGGTGTAAGGTCATCTTTGTGACATAATATGGGACATTATTGTTTTAAGTACTTTGGACTGGAAGGATTGGATGCGTTTGATATTCGCATGTTTGACAGTTCCCCCACAGTTCAAGTCTGTAGGTCCAGATAGGTTTCAGTATGGTCTTGTAGATTAATAGTTTATTTTAATCGAAAGGTAAGATGTCTTACTTAGTAGTCTATATAGCTAGCCATATCATCGATTAGTGTCTTGTCTTTTAAGTCCGGTATGTGGGTTCCACGTTAGTCTTTTGTCTAGAAGGAAGCCAAGGTAACGGACTGTATCTGAGTAGAGAAGTGGTATTGAATTAAAAAGGATTGGCGGACAGGATCTGCGTTGTAGGATAAAAGTGATATGTTTGCATTTTGATGTGCCAGGGGTATTATCTAACGCACAGAAAGAATTTCTCCTAAAATTTGAAAAGAAAATACTAAGGAGAATTTATAGCCCAGTAAATGCCAATGAAACTTGAAGTATGTGCACCAATACTGAAATAACTAGGCTGGAATAAGTTTTGGTCCTTCAAACATATTATGAAAACAAATATAAGTATTGGTCTATTAAGATAGGTCTTCAACAATTGTGCAAGTCCACAAGTGGTTACTTATGGATAGCAAGGTTGGTCCTTGACAAAAACTCAAGGGAGGAAGATCCAGGTGTGGCAGAACAACATTGAAAGATATATTATGAATGTGAGAAAAAGGGACAGGGCAAAAAATGCCAGGATAAAAAAAGAAAAAGGACTTGCACATACCCTTAGGTAGACAAGACTAAGCAATTGGAAATGAACTAGGCATCTATTTCAGTGTGAAGATAATAGATGGAAAAGAATTTTCACAGAGTGGACTCTATATGACCTTAAAAGAAGAAGAGGGCGCCAAAAGAAAAGGTGGAGCGACATGTATAAGATCTCTCACGTCCGCCTAAAGAGAATGTCCACAAGAAATGGCAGGACATGTGAGATAGTAGTGCTCCAAACAAACTCAAACTTATAAAGAAAGAAACTCTTGAAAAAAGAGACCTTGAAGTTTTTATATTCGCTACATCTGCAGAGAGGAAGTCGTCCTTACCTGTAATGCTGAGGATCAGCCATTGCAATATCATCTAGATGCCATAATTATAACAGTATTTTAATAATAGCCCATATTCGCCAATATTTAGTTTCCACTCGTAAATTGAACGATATGAGGATATCACAAAACAAGGGTATCAATAGCTTTGGGAAATAACAGTAATATATTCGATAAAATAATATCATTTCTTATTAGCATACATTTAATAAAAGAAATATGATAATAAATTTTCTTATATATATATCTTTCCTTTATACATAGATGTTTTCATATACTTATATATCTTTCATATTATTTATTTTTGTTTAATTAATTTCGGTCCATTTCTTTATTCTTTTATTTCCTTTATTTATTTATATAGTTTACTTATTTATACATTTAGGTTATTTTGTTTTAATATTATAAATTCTTTTATTTTTACTTGATTTATTTTATTTTTTTCCAACCAACTACTAATACTTTAACCAAATACTAATACTTTAATATTGATATTATTTTATTAATCAGACGCTTATGACGTGGATGTTTTGTGCTTACAATATCAAATAACCTGCCAACAATTTGGAGAGCTGCTTGAGACAAGAATGTCTGTCTGGAAGGAAATTGGGCAGAACTCGTCTCCCGATTGGGCTAGTCACCCCGGGAAGTATTGACTATTACTCCCGTAAAGGAAGGCCTGTGCACGAAAAAAGACGAAGAAAATGAAAAAAAAAAAGTGAAGATTATAAATTTCTTTTCTCCTTTAAATAATATATATTTATTTTATTGTATCATTTATTCTTTTTTTTTTTCATAAATAAAGGTTATTTAATTTCATTTCACTGTACATAAAATCTAACTGGTAAAAAAACAACGGACATCTTTTAAATATATTTAAACTATTTCTAAATAAAAACATTAAAGTAAATAAAAGTTGATACTATACCTCAAAATCAGAATCATTGAAACTGTAGACAACGTTCCAACCAAGCTGTTGAAACTTCTTTCTTTCAATGAGTACGGCATGAAAAAAACACAAACCAAATAGCAATTTTTTATATTTGGCTTGATTATGACAGACACTGAATCTCTCTTCTGTTATTATATTATACAACCGCTTCATGTTTGCTTTCAGGCCCTAAAAAATAAAATAAAATAAATCTATGTGTGTATGTATCAGCGAGTGTTAATTATTTTAAGTTTTTTCTATATATTTTTTTAATTGTAAATATAGTTGAAATAACTGAAAGTCACAAAATAAAAGTTTTAATGATTGGAAAACATTTCTTGAAAGGTCAATATTGAGAAAATAAAAAAATTTAAAGAAAGACAAATTGTTGAATCGGCCTATTAAAAATATTTATAAACAATAGAATCTTGATAATTCATATCCCAGTAAATCGTATATCTAGATAATTCGTATGGATTCATCGGAATTGAAATTCTCCTTCTAATTTGTATAAAAAAAATGTAATTTAATTTGGTCCTATTGATAATTCATATTTATTTTTGTGTTTATAGTGTTTTAAACATCTTATGATTTGCATTAAAAAAAAAAAAATCTGGTAGGGTCTTAATTCTTATAAGAGAAGAAGACAGTGAGAGAGATAAATGTTTCTATTAATGTCCATTTATTTACTTATTATTTTATATTCCAGTACTATTTTTGTTGAATGTGATGTTAATGTATCAGTTTGATTTTGAAAATGTCATTGAGAAGCCCTAAAGAATTTCTTCAAGAAAAAACAAGATATCATCATAGCTCTGGCCAGTGCTGCAAAAAAAAAAATTATTGTGTCGAAATATTTTAATGTTCCTCCATTGACAATTACATACATAGAATGTAAATAACCTACTAAAAGTTAATTTTAATAACTTGTTTTGGCAGGAATAGGCGAATAGCCTTCCACTTTTATATTGGGGAACTAGGTTATTTACACTCGTGAATATTAAAACAAATCCCCGGCTCTGGATATAGACTTTTTTGAGGGTGTTTAACTGTCGTTGGGAATTCGGGAATCTAATACCTTTTGTGACACTGAGTGAGAAGAAACAATAAGAATACATATATGAAATGTGGGACTTGGTAAACACTTTGAATGAATTGACTCACCTTGTTTATTATTCTTCAATTGAGAGGCCTATAGGACAACTAAATAAAAGGACTTTTCATTCCTGTCTAACAAAACAATTTATTTTAACAACTGATAATAAATGAATCTATTAAAGTCTTATAACTGTAGGCTTGATATTCTTGGTCTTCAATGTCCTGCCTCTCTCATCTCAGGTAACCTCCACTCGTCTTCGTGTCACAGCCTCAAGTGCCCTCTCTCCTCTTCTCGGCTTCCTTCTGCCAGCTGTTGCTAGCTACCTGTTTTGACCTTTTTCCAGCGTCCTTCTTCATCGATTGTTTATCGATATGAGACTTTTCCATGAATAATTTGTTCACTGCATAATTGAGTACAATTCATCGTGCTTCTCATTCTCTCACCCAATCTCACATAGAGGAGTAAATACCAGGGGATGTCTACTACAAGTAACATAGTAATAAATTTTTGAATTAATTTTGTTGTTTCATATTTTTTAATTTTACTCTCTGCTATCAGAGATCTCGATAATTTTTTTACTCTCCTACCCTCGGCAATATGAATTATCAGGATTCTACTTTACCTTAATCTCTCAGAGCAGATAGCACTTTTTAAGTCTTGTGACAAATATAGATTTAGAATGCAGAATGTAATGAATAAAAAACTTACCTTCGGCGGTTCAGTTGTCATTTTCAATGAGGTCTGCAAAATTGACAGTGGGAAATCAGGATGGGGGCTTGAGCTCAGCCACAACCTGCAAATATAAAATAATATTAGTAGCGTCGGTTGGGGTAACTTTGGCCAAAGAAACAAGAAAAGATTTTACAAACTGTATCGAGGCGAATAAGAGTAATAGTCACTTATTCATTGCAAAAGGACCAATAGCAGACCTTCAAGAAACTATAAAAAAAAAAATCCTTCTTGTAGAGTGAACACACCAGTTATGGACTTTAAATGTAAATAATAAGCTTCCTTGTGGATTTAAAGGTTCAAATTATTTCTATATTGAAAACAATACCCTCTATTGACAACTGTATGAACAAAGTTCCCAAAAGAAAATTTTAAAATGCCTATCATTGTTGTTTCTAGATCTGTGTTTTCATACCTTTTTACTAACAGTTTTGCTAAGAGTAGGTTGAACATTTATATAATCATATCTTCATTGTTAAACAGATTTTAGAATTTTCTGATGTATGTATATTACAGGTATGTTATAATTAATAACTATAATAATTACGGTGGCATAAGCCAAAAAAGACAAAATATTCATTACCTATGTCCATCACAAGTGTGTTTAACCTACAGTGTGATTTATCAAAAAATAGTTAGAAAGAATAAACAAAGACAAATTTATATTTCACTTTTTTTATCTCTAAAGGCTGCTATACACAGAACACAATGTGTTCCAGTGATACAATATTCATTTGTTAGTCCATGGAACAGACCCTTTTTTTCATTAAATTATTAACATCCAGCTGAAACTTTGTAAATAGTTTCATCTCATCGTAACCTACAAACATTTTATTTACAAAAATTCTCGAAATTGGGGCATTTTTAATCTGATGGTCGGTAAACTTTAATTAGGTACTCAAGACTCGTAAATACCCATTTGCTTTCCACTTTAATTGAAAGATAACCTGAGCACAAAGTAAAGAAAAAACGTGGCCTTCAAAAATGTTGAGCTGTTTGGCTTGACCTACACCCCCAAATTGTCAAAATAACGAGGTTATATAGGACAAACAACTCAAAATTTTTGAAGGCCACTCTGTGTGACTGCTATAATGCAATACATAGTAATACAACTATGTCACCTCAGACAGGAATATCGTATCATGGAGGCATATCACATTCTGTGTGTCGAAACCTTAATTCTTTTCATTTAAATTCCTATATCTAAAATCAAACTATTGAACCTACCAATTGAAACATTAAAAAATTAACACCTTTTATGTTACATATTTATATCTCAAAGTGATTTGTAATTTCCAGGAAATTTGAATTATTGAAAGAAAATCAAATAACATTTTCAAAAATATGAAGGCATTTACCTAAAGCGACGATGGAGCTTTGGATCCATTTGCAAAAGCTCAATAATTTTATCGAGGGCTGGCATCCAAGAAAGTGACAAATGACAATTTGCCAAGAAGATCCAGTAGCCATATTTCTTTCCTTCTTCAATGAGCCTGTGAACAAAGGGATAAATCAAATTAACGATATTTAATGGCACAGTAATTGTTTCATTTTACAAAGATAATTTTTTAAACCATTTTTACACAAAAATGAGAAGCTAAGGACGTGTTCTGTAAATTTCACTATAACCATTTTTATAAAAAATCATGATGGCAGTAAATTGTTATATTAATTGATACTTTATCAGGCTCCAGCCAATGGGAGAACTGTGTAATTTCCATTCCCTGCTTAATCCAATCAACAATAATCAAGAGGGGAAAACTGGCATTCAACGTTTTCTTAAAGGAATTACAGTACTTAGATGCTTTCTACTGACTATAATTTTCAGCTAGAATTTTATAATTATTTTATTTTTATCATTAAAAAAAAATTATTCATTTTTATTTTAATATATACAGTTTTTTTAAACTTTAAAAAGTTCAAATCCTGTTTGTGGAATTTAATAACAAAAAAAGTTAAAAATAAAAATTATTAATAATAATAAGTTAAAACAAATAAGTGCAGACCCTACTTGGTTCGTTTACCGCATGGGGATGGTAACGTCCACATCCAGAGATTCACAGGGAGGTGAGTGTAGTAGACATTCCCCTCTATTTACTCCTTTATGTGACATTGGGTGGGAGAATGAGAAGGAATATATAATATATAGGAATGTGAGGTTGCACTGTGAATTGTACTCAATTGTGCTAGCAACAGCTGCAGAACGCCAGGGAGAGAGCAATGGAGACTGGGACACATAGGAGAGAGGACGTTACCTGAGATGAGAGAGGCAGGTCATTGAAGACCAAGAATATCAAGCCGACAGTTATAAGACTTTAATAGATTCATTTATTATCAATTGTTAAAATAAATTGTTTTGTTAGACAGGAATGAAAAGTCCTTTTATTTAGTTGTCCTATAGGCCTCACAATTGAAGAATAATAAACCAGGTGAGTCAATTCATTCAAAGTGTGTTTACTAAGTCCCACATTTCAGATATATATATTCTTATTGTTTCTTCTCACTCAGTGACACAAAAGGTATTAGATTCCCAAATTCCCAACGACAGTTAAACACCCTCAAAAAAGTCTATATCCAGTGCCGGGGATTTGTTTTAATATTCAGGAGTGTAAATAACCTAGTTCCCCAATATAAAAGTGGAAGGCTATTCGCCTATTCCTGCCAAAACAAGTTATTAAAATTAACTTTTAGTAGGTTATTTACATGAGTGACCCTCCATGTTGATGGTTGGGCACAGAAATAATAATCTCCAATCCCATAAAAAAAAAAAAAAGGATGGAGATTGCTGTGAAAGGTTACCAAACATCATTCAGGAAAGTGCCTGATGAAAGGAAGTAAATGTGTTCGCATCCAGCTATTATAAACCACATGCTCCTTGGATATCATCAAGAGAACGAAAGAATCACAACTGTTGCCTCACAACAGCCCCACAGCTGATAGAAGACTTAAGGCAGAAGTTGAACAAGTCAAGAGGTTTAAGAAAAAAAAACCTTAAAAGAATTAACTTTTTTAAACCTTCTGGTTGAAAAGTTAATTTTTTTTTCCATCCCTTCCTCACAGTTTAGGCTATACGGATTTTTTACCGGGCATGGGATTAATGCCTGAGTTAAAAGACCCTCTTGGCACCAGGATGTAAATTTGAAATTATTTTATCATATAAACTTTGGTTTATCAGGTTGCAAGGGAAAGCGTGTTTTACAAGTTAGCCCACTGAGCTGCCTGGTATTGGTACTTTTTGCCAACCTTAAAGACAATAATAACGGCAGTAGTCTATTGCACCTCCATCTCTGTCTCAAATCATTTTGTTCTTCTAATGAAGTTCAAAAGACAGGGCCATTTTATGAAGGAAGCTTCCTGTTCTGGTATTCTCTCCGAATCCAGAAGTCAGTATCTGAGCAACACAAATCGGCCAATTCTGTTACGTAATGAAGGCCTCCAGACATCTCATCAGCTCCCTTCCTTACTTTCCTTTACTTAACCTCAATAACTGTCCCATCCATTTTTTCCCTACAGTCAAAAACCTAGGAGTAACCTTAGACCAAAACCTCTCCTGGAATAACCATATCTCCCAGATTACCCAAAAATCCATAACTGCCCTTAAACAACTCCTAAGATTCGATGATTTTATTCCTCTAAAAACCAGACAGCTCCTTGTAACCTCCCTTGTATTCCCCCCACTTCGACTACGGCTGCTTGGTGTATGGAAGACTATCTGTCAAGCTAGAAATGAGACTGAAGAAACTCATGAACTATTTCATAAGATACATCTTTGGGATCCCCAAGCACTCCTATGTTTCATTCTGGTACACCAAGTTGAAGTGGCTTTATCCTACTTCCCGACGACAATTCCTCCTTGGTGTTTTCCTTTTCCAAGTCTTCAGAACCAAAAACCCTCCCTACATCCTGGAACTCCTTACTCAACCTATAGACTTATATATTCCCTCCATAAAACTTCCTCCTTCAACAAATCCTTCGTCATTTGTGCTGCTTCCTTATGGAACTTACTTCCTACCTCCATGCGTCAATCCTCGTCCACAAATTCCTTCAAACAACTCCTGTTCCAACACCTACTCCACATTCAAACTTCCCCTAACATGTAAAATTACTTGCATCTGTACAATGTTTAATTTCAATCGATTGCACAATTGAAATAACAATTAACAGTAAATTAGTTTGTATTTTTATTATGTCAGACTAAGATACATAAATTTGTAACTCTGTTATTATTCTTAAGGGACAGTAGTCCCAGAATAAAATTATTTTTTCATTTCATTTAAAATGAATGCCAGTGTCTGGTGCAATTCTGCACAAATGGTAGAGTTCATCATCAACTATCCTATAAATCTTTAAATATCTTTGAAGTCCACAATAGCCAGTTATATCTAAAGGATGAGTCGGATTAACTTCTTAGCAGCCACTTAGTTCTAGAGGGGGATGGTTTTTTATTAACTGTTAGCTTGTCTGACGGCAGTGCGTATCCAATCAAAGATTTCTTTTCATTGAAATTCCTAGTATTATTATTATAATGGTGCTAGAGTTCATCAAGCCACCTCAGACATCCTCCAGCCATCTGATCCGAGAGCGCCTTCTACTTCTTATGCCAACCGGCTTCTCATGCAACATCCTCTTTGGCATTCTTTCCACATGATTTAACCATCTGATTCTGGCCCTTTTTATGAATGACACAATATCAGGTTCACCATAAAGTTCTCACAGCTTATCATTCTTTCTTCTTCTCCAAATTTCATTCGCAAAGATTCTGCCCAATATTCTTCTCAATACTTTCCTCTCCCAGTAGTTGAGTGTGCTAGTATACAAAGATAAAATTGTTATGAAAGTCACCTACTCATAAAATCCACAATCATTTAGTTGCCAGTCCTGTATAAGAGACTACTGACCTCTTTTTATGTGTAAAATAGAATTTTTTTGTTGTTCACCTTTTATTATTTGTATTGATTTCAAATAAATACATTGAATGTGGTCAGTTTTATTTGTTATTGGTAAAAATACATGTACTTGTTTATTTCTTTATTTGAAAATTATATTATACTATATAATGACAGTTATTAACAAGTATGTAAACAGTGACAAAGAAATATGTTTTTATTGAAAAGTTATTTGCGGTAGCGAAGTAAAAAATATCTTATTCATCTCTCAATAACTCTTTTAGTTTTATCTTTAAAAAAAATAATTACCAAATTAAATAAATAATACTGACCTTGTTGCTACTGGAGACTGACCTTGCCCTAAAGAAAGGGAATGAAATTTTGAGGTCATCTTATTAGCTTCAGCGAGCTGGATCAATGCACCGGTCGGGTCCACACCAGGCGATAGCACAAATATCAAAGGAGATTTAGCAGAGGAATCTTCAAGGACTGCCTATGAAAACATAGATCATATTGAGAAAACAAAATATTTATCACATCAAATAAAAAATATGTTAAGAAATAAGGAATTAAAATAGGAAAAAAACAATTACTAGAGAAAAATAGATTAATTCAGCTCCAAATAAAAAATGTGCGGACGGTAGACGGTGTACGGACAAAAAAATTTTTATTCATATTTCGAATTCTACGCATCCTGAAACGTGAAACCTCAAATTTTGAGAGGACGTTAAGTTTTGGAATTTTTTGGTCGATCACAATGGTTGATTATTAAAAATAATAAACCAAAATCAGTATAAATATAAGATTAGATGGGCTATATTTCATTGGAGATCCATGTTTTTTTTGTTTTTTTCAATAATTCCATTTTAGTTACGTTCCCAGTTAATTATATTTATCGTACACATTAAATATTATCATTATTTTTAACAACTGATATCATTAAGACTACAGAGGAGGAGCATTTAGTTGGTCGTTTTGATATTGAATGTTCAAAACATCTAGGTCATCTCGGGCCGATCAATAAAACAATACAAATATAAAAATATTATGTTGGTAAGATAAAATAATAATGAAAATAAATATACAAATAAGTATAAAATAATTAATAAATAAAAAGGAAAAACCTTAATATATAAATAAATTAATTATATAAATAGAGAAATGAAAATTAAATAAATAGAAGAAAAATGGACCAAAACTAATTGAATTAAAATAAATAAAACAAAAATACACAAGTAAATAAAAGTATCTATCTATCTAAATTGAACAAAAGAAAAAATGAAGGAAATTATTATACCTCTTTTATTAAATGTATGCCAATAAGAAATTATATCATTTTATCGGATCTATTATTGTTGTTCCCCAATGCTATTGATATGTTGGAAAATATAGGTTATTGTCAGTATACTGTTGCAATGATTGTATCTAGATGGCTAGTAGGGTGAAAAAAAAAAAAATGGTATCTAGCTTTAGTAATGAGGTGGAAGAGGGTCAATCTTGAACGGCCGGTCCTTTGCCGGGAATGGACGACTTCCTCTGAGGATGTTGCGAGGTGGGGGAGCTCCGAAGTCTTAACATCTTTCTCTATAAGTTTGAGTTTGCTTGGAGCACTATTATCCCACATGTCCTACCATTTCTTTTGGACATTCTCTTTATGCGGGCACGAGAGACCCGATGGTCTAAGTAGTGTCCTACCGCAACCAGAGAGAAAGAGTGCCTCTTTTTTTGCTTTATCAGCCATTTAGTTCCACTTGATACCAGCATGACCAGATGGCGATATGAGTGGCTTCATATCAAAGACGGAGATATGGCATTTTCAGAGAGTGGATAAAAAGTCAATTTTTGTTTTATAGGTTATCTTTTTTCAACTGTTTCAGAGGATTTTATTAAGGATGTTCAAGTCGAATTAAGGAAAACAATCATTAGTATTGGTTTGGACATAGTATCATTTTCAATAAAACCTTAATCATTAAATAATTTTATACTCAATAAAAACTTACCTTAATGTCGAGAACAGGCGGCTCAGTGAATTCTTGACCTAGGTACTTACTAACAAAATTGAGAGTAGAAAATGATACACGATCGGGCCTTAAGCATCGAACAACTACCATTTTCTGAAACTGATCAAGTTTTTGATTCCATACTCCTAAAAAAGATTATTAATAAATAAACAATAATAATAATAAGTAAATAACAATAAATAACTGTTATTATAATTAAGCTTCCAAGCAATACATATTTTTGAAGTGAAAACTTCTTTAGGCATGATTTGCACTTTTTTTGTGGGTGGTATATGAGACTGAGCTGTCACACTCAGACATATAATGCTCAATCGGGTAAAATTGGCTCGAGTCAACTAATTGAAGTGTTAAAATATCTCAGAAACTAAAAATCGGACCTGCATACTGTTAGTGAGGGAAATGTTTAGCATTTCATCCTTTTTGCAATGAGCTATTATTTAAAAATTGTATCTTAGGGCGAGGCGGTGTTAGAGAGGCAAAAGATAGCGTAAAAAATCTAATGATAACGAGTTTTGTTGAACATATGGATTAAAATATTTCAAAAACTAAAATTTGGACCAGCATAATATAAGTGTGGACAATTTTCAGAATTTTATCCTCTTTGTAATGAGCTATAATTCAAAATCGAATATCTAATGGTAACGAGTTTCAAAATTTAAATACTATGTAGAACTCAGAAACCAGTTTGCAGAAGTGAATATAGATATCTTTTTAAATTAATTAATAGATTTTCTGTTATACTGGATAGTTGACGAATTACTGATCCCGGTTTCAGAAGTTAAATTTAAAAAATGATAGGAGTTTTTGTTAGAAATTCAGCAAATAGATTTCAATCAAAAGTATTCATTACATATTATAGTTATCATAAACCTATTGCATCATTTTTTTTTGTTTTGGTACTTATGAGCGACGCGGGCTCAATGGACTGCTATCTGCAGTTATCTTGTTATTTAAAGTGTTGTTGTTGTTATTTATATTTTTTATTATTAAATGTTTATAACCTCAACACTGATAATTGTTATAAGGCACTGATAATCCCTATCTTCAAATGAAATTAGACTCTCTTATATTAAGAAATATAAATATATTTGGTGTTGCCTCTTTTTTGCCTGTTTCTTATTAATATATACTTTTTACATATACACTTTTTACAATAGAGTTCCCAACCTTGTTAGCTTACATTTACAATTTTATATACAAAATTATGGAATTATTAACACTATATTACTTAATCTACATACAGTAATTACATAACTTGTTCATCTAATTTATGTACAGGAAAAGTAGATTGATATACAAATAATAAAATAAGCTAAATACATTATTTACCAAAAGAATTTTACCGTACAATTCCCATATCTTATGTATAATTAACTTACAAATTAACTGTTTAAATTACTTATATAACATTCAAAAATATATTTTAACTTGTATTATAGGAATAATCAGAGAGAAGACACTAATTAATTAAGACAATTTCTAACTTTCTTCTAAAATTTGGATTTTACCTAGCAATATCCGGCCAAAACAACTTATTAAACTTTTAGATATTAATCTATTATCCTATCTACCAACAATGTAATTAGACTATTTACAATATATTTACAAGTTATCCAGATTGAGTAACCTAACGATGGTTTCGCCAGGACCCTCTAGCTCGTCAACGGAAGGGACGCTAATTTAACACCCTTTTTTATCCTCTGGATAGGATAAAGACTACCGTGTCTCACTATAACATAATGAGCGACCTGCCCTAACATGATCCAGAATCATATAACCCCCATAAAACTCATATTCTAGAATTAGTAGGATGACTGGTAATCCATTACAATCAAAATTATACTTAGTGAGTCCATGGAATGACACTTCATATAATCCTGTTCTTTTCTTACTCCAGTCATCAAACTTTCCTAACTCATCTTTAAATCGTAGAGTTAACTTTTCTGGAATTAAAGGAACTTCTGAACTAAAATAATTACTATGCTTTTCTCTGCTGGATTTTACTCCTTTGAACTCAATTTGAAACTTGAGAAGTTCTTTCTTGATATCTATAAGATTAACTGTATGAGTTTCTACTAGAAATTCTGTTGTCACTAATTTTTCTTCAAGGGTTTCTTCATCTTTTCTTAAGAGATTTTCTGATCCAATATCAATTGAAGAATTAATTTTGCTAAGCTCTTCAGTAACAATTTGCTTCTCATCACTTTCTGGGTGACCAAAAGTAGTTTTCTCAGCCAGTTTAGTTTCTTGAACTTCAGTTATATTTGCAATAATTTGGGTTTCTAGGTTATCACAATCTTGTTTCAAAATTTCCTGTTCATTATTAGAAGTTTTTTCAGCCAGTGTAGTTTCTTGGACTTCAGTGATATTTGCAATAATTTGGATTTCTAATTTATTTTCTTGAATTTGACTTTCCAAATCCCGCTTCCAAGCCTCCTGCTTGTTTTCAATACTGTGAAGAATAGTCATTACTTGTTGAAACATACCACACACATCAGCACAACTGAAATTGTTGGCACCACCTACGTTTATTTTTTCACGCTCCATATTATTTTCACTAAACTCATTTATTTCATTTAATCCCAACAGACTTTCACTTCCGTTTTCACACTGTCTATTTTCATCAAGTAGGCTTTGTACAACTGACTCTTCCTTATTTTCTACACTAATAACATTCCCATTCGATTTTCTAAGAATTATATTATTAAGATCTCTAACTTCTACTATCTCTCTCTGCTTATTCTCCATATTACTCAAAAATTATTAATAAAAGAAATAAAATTAAAATTAACAAGGATTGCGTGTTCAGTTGTCGTGACTATGTACGTTTTCAAAAGCCACGCCACGTTGGGCGCCATGTTGTAACGTTCCCTTTGTCAACATAAATCAAACAACGAGTTTCCTTTTTCAATATATTATTTATTTTAACACATATAACATAAATCTCAGGTTGGGTTCGGACAACTGAACACTCATTCAACATTAAATAACTATAATTTACTAATTACTAAGTACACTAATTATACACATAAAATTTATTATTGTTTTCAAAAACCTTGATTGTCCCAGTCTAAACTTTGTGGCTCTTTCTATTTTCTCAGCTTGCTGGCTAGTACCTTCTCTCTTGACAGCTTGTCACATTTTCTCTTGGCGGCTCTCACCTTCTCTCTTGGCGGCCCGTCACATTCTGAGTTACATGAGGCTTGCTTCCCCCACTTCCTCCCCGTAGTTCATGCTGTTGCCACTTTCGCGCCACTATTTATATGCCATGTAATGTTGACATTACAATATATATATATATATATATATATATATATATATATATATATATATATATATATATTAATAAGAAATATAAATATGATAATAATATAGTAATTTAATGATAAGAAATATAAATAACAACAACACTTTAAATAACAAGATAACTGCAGATAGCAGTCCATAGAGGCCGCATTGCTCACAAGTACCATTTTTTTTTATTGAGAAGTTAGAAGACAACTTATACTTTTTTATTTATTATGTATATTTGTTTTAATTCTTTGAGGCTCCTCAGCCCACATTTCTGCCTTTGTATATTGTTCTAAAGGGACTTGTCTCAGAATAAATAAAGTATTATTATTATAACTCACCAGGGAGATCAGTATTTTCGGGAGACTCGCTGAAATACCAATCTTTCCAATCTTTGATAGTTTTGACAAAATTCTGCATAAATCCACTAAAGTTAGACAATTTATTAAGTTCTAACAAATTGTCCCATGCTTCCGGTGGCAGCCATTCTAATAAACCAAAGTAAATAAATTAAAAGTCTAAAAATAGTTTTATTGATTTATACAAACATAAATCATTAATCATAGGGGATTGATAGTTAGTTATATTGAAGAGAAGTTGGTTGGGATGTTCGATCAGAGCTAAGTAATGACAAGTTAATATAAATATGAAAAAATAGTAGAGAGTAATAATAATAATAATATTCAGGTAAAAGGTATAGTCTAATAACATGTGGGCAGAATAAACTTAACATTAAATAAATATGTGGAATGACAAATAAAGTGGCTCACAGTCAAAATAATATTGACAGAAATTATTGAATAAATAAATAGTTCAATTTATATTACATTAAAAACAATAATTTATTGTAATCAATAAACATCCTAATAATTGTTATTTTTCTTGTTCTTATGTTATGTTTCTTGATGTGCAGATGTATGGTGGCTTCTGGTGTAGAAAATCTTCACTTTATATTGGGAATATTCACATGAAACAAGTGTACATAAACATTTTTAGAGGAAACTTGAAAGTAATTGTGTATAATTTGGGCTGAGAAAATTTTGTTTTTATGACCCCAAACACTCTGCCACGTTAGTTAAGGAATGCCTACTTTATAAATGCCCCAAAGTTATAAAAACTCCAACAGTCACCAGATCTTAATATGATAGAACACCTGTGGGCAAACTTGGAGGTAGAAATTAGAAAACACAAAATTTCTAGCAAAGAAAACTTAAGAAAATATCTCCTCGAAGAATGGGACAGGCTAAGCTCGGAATCAACAAAAAAATGGTTGACTCCATTACGAACAGACTGAAAGGAATGGTAGAAAATAATTCCTTTCCTACAAGTTGTTGAAATGAATTAATAGTATTTAAAAGTTAGTAAGAAGAGATGTATCATATGTAAGGTAAAATTATCCAGTTTTTTTAAATAATTTAATTTTATCGAATTTGTCCATATTTAATATGAGATTATATATAAATCTGTCGAAGAGTTTCTGATTTTATTTCTTTATTGTAACCATTGAAATATTTTTTTTATATTTCCACGTGGTGGGTGTATTTCACTGTGAACCACTGTATAGGATATATAAATAAAAGAAGTATAAAGTAATGGTAACAAAGCTGAGAATTATAAAAAAAAAAAAAAAAATTGAAACCTGTACCATTACAACCCATGAAGGGTCTTGGGTTCAGTACTATTTAGGGAAAGCACTGTTTCTAGGTCAACAGTTATGCAAGGAGGTGATTTGACCGAGATCACGCTCAACCGCCAGGTTTTCTCCCTTAACTAATTATTTAATTAAGGGTACCTACTTTAAAGGGGCTGGGTGTGCCCTAGGAGAGTCTCCTGACCCAAGGTCGCCTCACAGCCAATGAAACAGATAAATAAATTTTCTGCCATGAGCCGGAGTACGAACCTGGGACCTTTAGCATTGGAAGCTCAGTGCCCCACTCCCGAGAATTATAAAATAGTGGTAGCAAAGTTAGAGACTTATAAAACAATGGAACAAACTTATGAAGTTATAAAATAACGTAACAACTTAAAAAAATTAACAAAGCAATGAAAAATGAAATATAAAATATAAAAACAAAATTTATTAAACTATACCTAGTGTTTTGGGATTTATACCATCATTTTGAATATGATCTGGTACAGAAAGATAAGTAGCATAACAAAGACAATTAACAGCCTTTCATCATGATTCAGTGCTTCATTTCACAATGACCATTTCATCCTTTACCTGCCCTACATTTAAGGCAGTCAACTCACACTGCCAATTCAGTGCATTTACAATTCCCACAGAGGCAAAACATTCAGGATGCCATTTTGTTTCTGAGCGTCCAGCTGCGCCAGAAATACATATACCCAGCGACATCTTGTTGGAAAAACATCAATCAAAAATTGATACTCAACTGCAATGCATCTCCAGGAGGCCTTCAGTTAGTCATACAACCCTCAAAGGCATTCCCGATACCCATAACTTAAAACTCGATTGTTCAATCACATTCGATTCAAATAAATCCGATGATATCTCATTAGGCAAGGTTACCACATAGGATCTATCACCACTCCATCCAAACTTCAAGAGTTCGAGAGCCAATCTCAGCTCACTCGCACCAGTGCTCCTATTCTCACAGAATTTGAGCGTCCTGTTGTCCCAGATCAATCTATTACATGTTTCGGGATCTATACCATCATTTTTTATATTATATGGTACAGAAAGATGATTGGGCTGGTAAAATGATTGAGTGGACTGTATGATAATGATAAATATTGATGCACTGAATATATAACATTGACGTGGGGTTTAAATGTAAGGGGTTTACAATATTGTTAGTGGAATTTGGATTGTACTATGGTAACTTGGCTGTGGCTGCATGATGACTGAGGTTATGGATGATACTGATTGATACTGCGGTCGGGCGGCTGTCACATTTCCTTCTCACTTCCACGGGTACGACAATTCTCGAGTGTTCTACTTTTTTATATTTCCTCCCATGGTAGAACAAGAGTGAAGTAAAAGTCTTGAGCCAAAAGGTGAAGCGGTGAGAGAAAGCGTCCTTTCTTGACTCCAGTCGTCCATCTTTCTCGGATCGTTTCAGTGCAGACGGCGCCACCATCGTTAGAGTGTTACTTTGGCGATGTTTTAGTTGTACTCTATGAAGCTGGAGGGTTAATATCAATTTAGGGTGATCAACCCCAAATACCTAGCCTTGTATATGGTGGACTGCCTGGTGTGCTTGAGATCAGATTGAAAAGATCAATGAATTGTTTCATTTGATTCATCTTTGGAGTCCCCAGACATTCCCACGTCTCCAGTTGGTATGCAGAATTGAAGTGGCTTTACCCAGATTTTTGGCAGCAATATTTCCTAGGTGTATTGCTTTTCCAAACCTTTACAACCAAAAAGACATCTTACCTTCTTGATTTGTTTAATCCTAGTTTCTCTGTTAATTCGTTTAACACGAGTTCCCAATCCATAAACCTGTTTGTTCTCTCTCATAGAACCGTTCCCTTTGAAAAACCTGTATCATGCGTGCTACCTTTTTTTGGAATTCCCTACCTATCTCAATATGCAAATCCTCTTCCTTAACCTTATTTATTCTTCCACCTTAGCAATCTTCCGAAAACATTTAAGAATAGAATTTTGTATTAAAACCCTGTCACTCTCATTTGAGACTGTTACTTATAGATCATCAATATTGTTAATCAAAACAAATATGTGAACACAATCATTTATGTTTATGTACAAATCAATATGTCTACTCGTACTTAATTTATTTAAATTATAAGGTTAGATTATTATGTTGTTCTACTGTTATTCTTCTTATTTTTTTATAATGCCAGACAATTTTCATCTTTTTGTTCATTATAATTATTCTTAGGGGACTAAATGCCCCAGAATAAAATTTATTTTTCTTTCTTCCTTTCTTTCCTTTTACATACTATTACTATAACCCTATACTACTTTTTCATATTTATGTAATCTTTTCTTAACTTGGCCCTGATGAAGGCCTGAAACTTAGGCCGAAACACTGACTCAAAGGAAATAAAAATAAATATAATTTATTTATTTTACTTTGTTCTTCCTTCAACTGAACAACCCCACCTACTTCTTTTCAATAAATCATTAATCATCCATCTAAATATGTTAATAAGGAGTTGATCGGGAGGGGAGGGGGAGGGGGAGTTGCGGTCAAATAAATACTAAATTATACAAATAGTATTGTTTAATTTTTGCCGATGTTTCGACCCACCTTGCAGGTCTTCATCAGGACGTAGGATGTAGCACTCAGGAGGCAGTTGAAACACTTGTTAACTCAGTGTAACACTTAACTCTTAACTCAGTGTTTCATGCCTCCCGCAGTGCTACATCCTACACCCTGATGAAGACCTGCAAAGTGCGTCGAAACGTCAGCAAAAATTAAAGAATACAATTTGTATAATTTAGTATTTATTTGACCATACTCCCCGATCAACTCCTCATAAATATGTTTATATTTACAATTACCATTTTTTATTCCATACAATATTACATTACATTACTATTAATATAGCACCAGTGACAAGATAATATTCAACCGATTCACTGATTACCAAATACCAATAAATTCTTTGTTATTATACCTGCTGCAGGATTAATTGCCCCTCCTCCTTCCTTCAAGACCACACCTCCTTTCAGGAAAAACTGAAACTCTGCTTGATTTAAAGTATCTTCTAATATTCTCAAGCACATGTAAAATGAAAACAACAATTTATGCCTCTCAAACAGCCCTCGACAAGTGTTCCTGGAAAATAAATCCGTATTTTGATCTAATATAAACAGTTTATATCTAAAGTATGCCATAAACTACAACACTGTTGAATACATCAATGTACCAACAAAAATAATTTATTAAGCCATTGGTGAATGGTGAAACAGTTGTGCAAGACTCCACCAAGAAGAAAAACCAATGAAAAAAAAAATGTTTCAGTAAAATGTTTTAAAAATAAATCAGTAATGCTATGAAATTACCTGTATATGGCATATGTATGGTAGGTATTCAAAATTTCCAAACGTTCATTAATATCATCACTTTTGGCACATTTACGGATCGAATGTTCAAACAAATCAATATAAAATGCCAAGGAAAATTGATACATAGGATCAATTTGGGACATGTCATTCAAAACAAAAAATAAGATGGATGCTCTCTTAGCACATATACGGTATTCCTAAAAATATCAATGAATATGATTAATATATGTTATACAAAGTTCAGTAAGTTAATGTTTTATGGGACTTAACACGTTAGCTGCGGTTATGGTCTCCAATATCCGATAGCTTTATATGAGATATAATGATTATTTACGTTTGCATCTACCCAGCTCCCATTCAAATATTTTTAAAAATGACCATTTAAGAGACTCTGTAAGATAGACAAAATTTGAAACGATTCCAGCCAAAATAGGAAAAAAAATAAATAACAGAGATATCTAAATTTAATAGTTTATTAAATTATACGGATTAAAATGGAATCTTCGGTGACAGATCTATTAATTATAAATACATTATATGGAAAATATTAAACAATTTTCTAAGGAAACAAACCTCACGAGCAGCATCGATTTCTTTTTCTGTGACAATGGCTGTCTTGAGTTGCTCCGCTATCCGCTCTGCAGTTTCTTTAGAATCATTCAAAGTGTTGAAGAGTCCAATATTTTCTAAAATTGGACCTTGACTTTCGCTCAATAGCCTGTAAATGATCATAAGATGTTATTCGACCATACATCTAATATATGTATATGTGTATATATATATATATATATATATATATATATATATATATATATATATATATATATATATATATATATATATATATATATATATACATACATATCCCCACATATAATATTACAGTAAGGCTCGAAATCGGTTTTGTACCAAATATAAGCTCCTGTCATGCTGAAATACCATGAATGAGGTACCGTTGGATTCAGAATTTCATGGGGGGTTAGCGAATCATATTCTCCACTTTTGTTTTTCTTTCTAAAATAAATAAAGTCGATACAAACATTCTGCTAGGCTTCAATACTGGAACGGTGGTAGGTCTGTAGATCGATACGGGGCAAATTGGATCTTGAAGATTTTGATGCGTACAGCAAGACCCGGATAGTTCCTCCGGAACTAAAGGATCCTGCGTTTTTAAGCCCAAAAACATACTATTTTCAAGATAACGCAAGGCATGGAGTTCGCATCCACATAACCTGACATTAATTGTAGTACTGTCATTGAATATATGTCTCATATCGTCGACTTGAGGTCTCTATGATCGAGAGAGGTTGAGTTTATATTATATATCGATGGTGTTTTTGATCGGCAAGCCATATCATCGTTAGGCTTCCTTCTCCTTCAGGCGGGCAAAATAGTCCAATCACCCGGAAAATTCAGGCAAACAAGTTATGAAAGAAAATGAACTTTATTAGCGAATAACTAAAAAATTACACACTTTTCCCTTGGTTATATCCATGATTATATAAAAGATTACTACATTCCCTACAAAAGGAAAAAAAAATCATTGAAATTGGACAATGTTTAGCAAAGATACAGCTTACTGAAATTTGTAAACATGTTGGTTCCAAACAAAAATGAAGATTAAAATTAATTTTTGTTTCCTTTGTCCATTATATTTATCGATAAAGTAACATTTGATGTTTTTACCTTTTTATACGTTGCATTATTTTCTTTTCTTATTAATTTGGCATTTGATAACAATATGTTGTGCGAATTTTTCGCACGGGCCTACTTGTATATAATTAAATGATAATGCTCAACTGCGGTCTATTCATTAGAAATTTGTCTAAAAATATAATTATATTTGTATTTTTATTAACTTTTGCACAGTGTATTGGAAAGAATACCTTAATAATGTATCTTCCAGCTCGATTAAGGTTTTTTTTCCACGAGCAATGCTCATGACCAAATTATTCTTCTGCTCTTCCAGCAAAGGCCTCTCTTCCCGAACAACTATACCCAGAAGCTGTTCTTCCAACCCTAGTAAATGAAATATTTTGTCCATGATATAATAGAAATATAAAAAAATTATAAATATATTCATATATTTACCTTCTCGCTTTATGGCAAAATTGACTAGAGTAGCTTTAGTACAAACTTCTGGAGCGAAATGAGGATTTCCCAACTTTGTTGTGATAAAGAATCTAAATTTATTGTTATAAGGAGCAAGTCGATCGCCGAGCGTTATGAAAACTGAATTACCTGTAATTGTTAATAAAACAAGAATATTCATTACAAGTTACATGTAACTGTTGTAAATAAAACAAATTCAAATGAGCACCTGTAAGAGATGTATATCTTATAAAGGGAGGTTACCAAGGAGGGGTCACCGATTTCAATGAAACTTTTTTTGATGATACGAAATAAAAAAATATTAGACCCATGCCCGAGGGTTTTTGGAAATGCACCCTAGGAACCAAGAAAAAAAGTAATATATAAAATTTTATTATTTTATATTACTATTTACTGGCTGTTGGATTTACATCCATAGTTTGCATATATATATATGTATATATATATATTATATACCATGTATTTATAATTTGCTTGTATAAATAACACGGGGGCTCTCGGTTTCATCCTGTCCAACTCTCTCTCGAGTACGAGGCTGCCTTATCCATGAGCATAGTCAGATGCTTTTTTTTTTTTTTTTTGTCTTTCCCTTCCTCGCCGTTAAGGCTATACGGGATTTTACCCGGCCAGTGAGTGTCGATGGGGATTTAAAAGACTCCTCCAGCACGCGAACTCGTGACTATTTTCATATCTTTGATTCATATGTCAGGTTGCCGGGCAACGGCGGTGCAGTGCACACGCTTTAGCCCATTCGGCCACCCCGTCCACTAGTCAGATGCTTGACGACTAATCACGCAGCCACACAGTTCACGTCCCACTTACTCAGCCGACTTCAGGGAAGACAGTCAGTGGCTAATCCGAAACCCCATTTGCTCTACTGAATTCACAGCTCATGGCTAACGAAGACAGAGAGAGAAGTACAGCCCTACGATTGGACACAGGTTGCAACACACTGGACGAGGCAAAAATCTGAGACAGCTTACATGAGACTGGCCCCTCATCAAATTGTATATAAAATTTATCAGGCTTGATTAACCCATTAAAACTAATTGCCCCTTCAGGAACATTAATTGGAAAATAAAATAAAAGGACATTAACAACATAAGCAGTATTTTCATCCATCTGTTTATTTTCATACACAGATATTCCTTCATCAAACTCTTAATTTTTGTATTTAATAAGAAAAGGGCTCCCGTTTATATAGCATGTACCGGACCCCCCCAATATTCTACACTGGCTTGGTTTTGTAATTGATTTGTTGTTGTTTTTTGTGTAACATAAGAAAAGCATATTGCTAATTGTATTAAATGAATTCTAATGCATAATAAATTATAAAAACTTAAATATGTGTAGTAGATAGCCCCCTGTATTTACTCCTTTATGTGACAGTGTGTGAGGGTTGAAAAGTCTCATATCGATAAATAATCGATGAAGAAGGAAGAAGGTTGGAGGAACCGAAAGGAGCTTGTCAGAAGAAAGGAGAACATTCTTGAGGCCTGGACATTAAGGCGGAACACATACCTGGGAAGAAGAGAGTCTACTACAAGATTTAGAAGATCAAGTCTATAGTTATAACAATATAATAGAGTCAATTTATTACAGTTGTAGAAATAAATTATTTTGTTATACAGAAGTGAAAAGCCATTTATTTATTTAGTTGTCCTATAGGCCTCACGATTGAAGAATAACAAACCAGGTGAGTCAATTCATTCAAAGTGTATTTGCTAAGTCCCACATTTCATATATATATTGTAATGTCAACATTACATGGCATTTAAATAGTGGCGCGAAAGTGGTAACAGCCCGAACTACGGAGAGAAGTGCGTGCGGATGGTGGGGGGAAGCAAGCCTCATATAACTCAGAATGTGGCGGGCCGCCAAGAGAGAAGGTGATAGCGGCCAAGAGAGAATGTGACAAGCTGTCAAGAGAGGTGACGAGCTGCCAAGAGAGAAGGTGCTAGCCAGCAAGCTGAGAAAGTGAAAAAGGAGTCCTAGCCGGTTTGAGTGTTGATAAAGGCCACTAGTGGAGATTATTTTATGTTGGAAGAAAAAAACATAGCAGAAAAGAATTAAGTGGTACAGAAAATGGAACATTCGTAAGTAAGAAAAGATTATTTCACTGGCAGGTGTAAACATTTGGGTGAGTGCTAACAATGCCATTTATGTGACAGAGGGATAGAACCAAAAGTTTAGACTGGGACAAATTATTTTATAAAACTATTTTAAATTATATATAAGTGTAGTTAGTAATTAGTAAATTAGTGTAGATTATAGTTATTTAATGTTGAATGAGTGTTCAGTTGTCAGAACCCAACCTGAGATTTATGTTATATGTCAAAATAAATAGTATATTGAAAAAGGAAACCCGTTGTTTGATTTCGGAGGGAAAGAGGAACGTTAAAATATATATATATATATATATATATATATATATATATATATATATATATATATATATATATATATATATATATATATATATATATATATATATATATATATATATATATATATATATATTCTTATTGTTTCTTCTCACACAGTGTCACAAAAGTATTAGGTTCCCGAATTCCCAACAACAGTTCAACACCCTCAAAAAGTCTATATCCAGTGCTGGGGTTTTGTTTAATAATCACGAGTGTAAATAACTTTAATCCCCGATATAAAAGTGGAAGGCTATTCGCCAATTCCCGCCAAAACGTCATTTAAAATTAACTATCAGTAGGTTATTTACATATGCTTCTGGTAAAGTAGGCCAAGTCAATTTTTGTCATGAAAAACCATTCAGATTCGTTTTTAGTGCTGTTTTTTTTCAAGCCGTTCACTAATATTTACTAAGCCTACTTTACAAAAAGTGTACTTGAGTATTTGTAATTTATTATACATTGGAATTTGTTAAGTACAATTAGCAATATGCTTTCCGCATTTTACACAAAAAATTGATATATAAAAACTTAAACCATGCAGAAAAGCCAGTAAATAGTAATATAAAAAAAATAATAAAATATTTTTATTCTCAGCCTCTAGGGCGCATTGGCAAGAACCCTGACATGGGTCTAATATTTTTCGACCAAGCACAACAAAAAAAAACAGCCACTATCTAAAAAACTATCAGGACGATATTCCTTAAGAAATGCTGTTCATTGATGACTGTTCATAGAGATTAAATGTCTATGTCATGGCAAAAGAGGGACATTTTGAGTAATTTCTTTTTTTGTTTTACTTTCTACAGATATACATTTTATTGTCTACTAAAAATTTTTAAAAAATTAATTTTTCTGTTGAAATCTATATTTATGGTAGGTCTAGGTATATATAAAAAACTTGATCTAAGGGAGGAAAGTAATAAAATCATATGAGTAATAAGTAATATGATCAGATTAAAAGATAATAAAATGAATGAATAATTTGTTTTCATTATAACTTATCATAAATATAAAGAAGTAGATGAGCTATGATGTTTTCAAGAAGAAATAAGTTTAAACTGACCTTTGACACTTAATGACTTATTAAGAATTGGAGCAACAGCAGGATCTAAAACTTCAGAAATATTTTGTAGAAGAACGGGATTCCCATGTTCCATGGCTACTTCTATTATCTTCATATAGTCTGACATTCCAAAATCGACAATTTTCAAACCCTGCAAATAAAAATATTGAAAAATACGTACTTTTTGGTCCTTGATACTTTATATAAATGTAATAATAATAGCCTAATACACTCACATTAGGCTTTTCCATGTTTTTTATCCAAATCCACGCTTGCGATTGGGGATCTATTATAAGAGGCCAACGACCGCAGCGGGTAACGATAATGCCATTTTCGATGCTGAAGTTATCCGTCGGTAGCCCTTGAATATTCCAATCTCTGACTACAGGCGGTTTGACAAGAAAGGTGACCATATTAAGCTTTGGTGATGTTGGAACATTCATATTTTTGGCCTAAAATAAATATTGTAATGATATTTCAGGTTTCCTAGATTTATCAATATGAAAATGTAACTTGATATTGTCGATACAAATGCTAACTATCAAATATAAAAAATTGCCATTTTTTCAATCCTACATTCTAGCAATTATAATAGTAATTAAATATTTTTAAAGAGCCAATAAAAAATCTTCAAACATTCATAAAAGCACATATTAGTATAGAAATTAAAACATTGTTGTTCTTTGGGCTGAATTGATAATGATATTAGAGGGATGATTATCAGATTCAATAGTTAGCTATTTTGTCAACAATATGAATAAACAATAGTTGAATAATATTTTATATATGCAAATATCTTGGCCCACTTTTCAGCCATTCATTAAGACTATAAACAAGATGTGAAGAGTGAGTACAAACTCCTCATATATAAACTGGAGGCTATGACGTTCGACTACATTAGAGCTAGGGTCCAAGAATGCCCACTTCAGAATGGTGTAGGTTTGATTCCCACTTTGAGTCGCTTAATGTATTCTGGGGCAGTTCCGAGTAATGAATTTTGATAACACACTCCAACTATAGTTAGTGCAGGGCGGAAAACTCTAAGAAGGGAAAGGAGTACTTCTTCCCTACAGGTACCAGTATTAGTATCTATGAAAAACTGAGAAAAAATCATATAAAGAAATAAATATGACACACTAACTAAAGCTCTTCAAATCACATAAATATATTAATATGTAATGATAAATAGGAAAATATATGTGAACTTATTCGCATTGTTGAAATATTTAATTATGTATGTAAAAATTGTATAACAGAGTTTTTATTATTTGTAATGAAAAGTGGTCCAAATTGTCAGGTTTTATTAAATATCTAATAATGTAATAAATAAATTATCTTTTGGTTTGGCCGCCTCTCAGACTTTTATGCTGAACTGAACCATGATTAACTAATTTAGGCACATTTTAAAATAAAATATACTTTATAGTATATTAAATATATACAGTTTAGTAATATAAAGTAAACTCTGTATATATTTTACAATGTTTATATTCCTTTTTCTACATCGGCTATGTTTCAGTTATGAAGCCATTTTCAAGCTATCTATTCACAATTAGTGATGTTAGTAATCTCTTAAAAACCAAATTGTATAAATTATAACCCTAATGGAGTTGAGTCAATAAGTTAATTTACAAATAAAAGATAGAATAAGAATATTCTATAAATAAATAAAATTACATATATTAATAGATGGATAGTTAGTGGTTAGTAAGTAAGGATAACTGCCTGTACTATGAAGTATCCATAGCAAGGAAAGAGGAAAATAAATAAATATATTAAGTAAATAAATAAATAAAATCATATAATATATTTATATGATTTTAAGAGCTTTAGTTAGTGTGTCATATTTATTTCTTTAATGTTTTTTATATGATTTTTTTCTCAGTTTTTCATATATACTGATACTGGTACCTGCAGGGGAGAGGTGCTCCTTTCCCTTCTTAGAGTTTGCCGCCTTGCACTAACTATAGTTGGAGTATGTTATCAAAATTCATTGCTCGGTCCCAGAATACAAATATTAAATGACTCCAAGTGGGAATCAAACCTAAACCATTATGAAGTGGGCATTCTTGGACCCTAGCTCCAATGTAGTCGAATGTCATAGCCTCCAGTTAATATATGAGGAGTTTGTACTCACTCTTCACATCTTGTTCATAGTCTTAATGAATGGCTGAAAAGTGAGCCAAGGTATTTGCAAATATAAAATATTACTCAACTATTGTTTATTCATATCGTTGATAAAATAGCTAACTATTGAATCTGATAATCATAGTGAGATGGCTAACGTCACTATCATATCATGTTAAATGTAGTTTTGCATGAAACTAATTGTGTCTTACAGACGGCTTGAAAACAACATCATAGCCGAAACGTAGCCAATGTAGAAAAAGGAAAATAAACATGAAATAAATACAGTCCTTAATTTATACAGTTTAGTTTAAAAAATTCTAAATATTAAATTTCATGAATTTAAGATATATGTAAAATAAAATGAAGAAACTGTTATACCAAAAATGATAATTTAATAGAAAATCATTTACAATTAGAACTTGAAGAATGAAGCTGGAAGATGGATTTACAGTTTGATTGTGAATATGATTGATTGTGCATAATGGTACATATTGACCCTGACAAGATATAATACAATTAAAGAGTTGTTTGTGCAGAGATAGTGCCCAATGATCTTGTTTCGGCGAGTGGTGGGGACAGATCAGACAAGATCTGAACGATAAAATTTAATCCCTATCAGCTCCCAATATGATGGCCCATTCCATCTCCAAACTAGCCAGAGACAACACCTGTTCCGAGGGCATCCTCAGGTAACAATAAGATGTCTGAGCCACCATAAATGGGTAAATTTTTGCACAATTCATATGAACTAACAATTCATTAAAATACAGTTATTAACTCCCTCTTATTATATGTCAAACTTCGAATGAAGCCTAACTATTTAATTGTGATTTAATAAAAGAAAAAGAAATAAAGTGGACTGTATCTTCAAACATTTATTTTGGAACATTTACGAAATCTAATATTGAAAACATAAAAACAAAATGAATCAATTTTACACTTGTTAGATAGGTAAATAATACTTAATATACACATATCTTATACATAAATATACATATTATTAATTGATTTCACTTTGCTAAAATAAAACAAATCAACAATTAATCAAACTAGTTAAATGTAAAATAAATTGAATTAATGCTGTGGTGTTTTTAACTGTAAAAATAAAATAAATTAATGCTGTGGTGTTTTTAACTGTAAAAATAATATAAATTAACGCTGTGGCGTTAACAATTGACTCTGACAAGATATAATACAATTAAAGAGTTGTTTGTGCAGAGATAGTGCCCAATGGTCTTGTTGCGGCGAGTGGGTCCACACCCACTCGAACAGTCCACTGCATAAATCATTCGAACGTTGCCTAATTTGAATTCATGAGAGTTATTTGCCTTGCCTTAATTAAATTTGGAAAGTTACCAAAACAAGAGTCTCATAAAAACTCTCGAAAACAAAAAAATCAACTACCTTGTTGATCCAGGTGGAGACTAAGTCGTCCCTATAAGAGGACAAAAAGGGGCCGACGTAGGACACAAAGGCAGTCCCGAGCAGAACGTCTCCCAGGAGCAGGTCGAACGCCTCTTCCAGTTCCAGGATTGTGTTTTCCCACCTCTCCTTTTCGCCGAGAAGGCCTTCCACCAACTTACTAGCACGGTCCAGCTTATTTTCCAGTTCTTCAGCCTAAGTATAGATCATAAGGGAGTAGATCATAAAAAATCTATTTTTAGTAAAACCCAGGTAAATAATTAGTTACAAATTAGCTAGAAAGCTACATATTCACAGATTTACATAAAAGATATAAATTAAAATATATATAAGCACCCTCAAGCGAAGGATTTCTTTTTGATTCATCTTTTCATCGTAAGCCTTTTGAAGATTATTCATCAGCTCTAACAACTGATTTAATTTTCCACGTGCTTCGGCTAAAATAGCTTGCTTAGCTTTTAAAGATGACATAGCTTCGTCGAGCTTAGCCTTTTTAGGTGCCACAATTCTACAAATTAAGAAATAGTATAAAAACATTGTACTCCAATGAAATATTCCAAAAGATTAATAAATTACCATACTTAAATATTTTTCCATATTTTTCAATTGCTATGACCCACATACAAAGAGATTTTGCAGCAGTCGAGACTATTCCCACTTTATCAGGATCGAAGTCAGGATTCCTAATTAAGCTTCCTATACTACGTAGAACCGCGTCGGGTATGTGATCTTTGTCAAAATATTTCAGCTAGAATAAAAAGTAAAAACTTATATTAGGAAAATAATTGTACTTGAAAAATTCTTAAACTACCATTAGATTAATATTAAGATGTAAATAATTATTTAGTATTTAAAATTAACAAAAATTAAAATATTAATTGAAAAAAAAAAAATGTATTTTCAAGTCTCCATCTGTTTTGCCGCTATGACTTTATTAGACAGAAATTACAAATAGTTTCTTACATGGAATAACGAGAGGATGGTAAGGAAGTGATGTAATGTAACAATATCACAATGTGTTTGCGTGAACACACTAGCTCAAAAATGATAAATCAAATCAAACTGAAATTATGTATTTAAAGTAGGTAAATCCCCGGGATATTACAGCACATTTTAGTCAAATCAACAAATAGAAATTCAAACAAGAAATTCTGTGACTACTTTTGACATTTACGGGATATCATTAAATTTTATTAGATGAGGAGTTGGTCAGGGAGGGTGGTCAAATAAATACTAAATTAAAAAAAAAAGTATTTGAAAGCACCCCCTCCCCTTCCCTGGACCAATTCCTTCTCGTTTTTTATCACGATCAACCATCTCTACATCATTATAAATTTTATTAGATTTTAAAATATAAATTTATTTAAGAAACAATTGTAAATTGAATAAAAAACTCATCTATCTGCAGCATGTCACATAAAACAATAATGCTGATGAAAAAATAAATTACTGAATAAAAACTAACTATTCAGGAAGACCTAGATAGGATCAGTGCCTGGGCAAGTCTGAATAATTTAAATCTAAACGCGATGAAAACTCAGGCCATTATTACAGGTTCCAGTTCTATTCTTAAACCCATCTCCTTCCTTCCTCCTTTAGTCATAAACGATCATCCTGTCACATTCAGTTCCTCCGTTAAAAACCTAGGAATCACCATAGACGAAAACCTCTCCTGGAAACACCATATCGCCCTCATCTCCCGTAAGTCAATTGGTACCCTTAATTATTAGATATTTATTAAACTAAATATTCAACATTTTCTTTAAAACTTGTCGATCTGCAACACGAAACAGCAAAACTGTTGCCAAGGTGATCGCCAATTAAAGTTATGTTAGATATTGGCGGACTGGAGCCCGCAAGCTCAAGATTGGGAAACCCTGTTCTATGTTACACAACTCAAGAGCTTGCTTATTTGAACACAATATTAGAACCGACCCAATTTGAATTTTTCAACTGATTTCGTCGTGGACTTCAGCTCAGTCAGCAACTTACCTTGCATCGGTGTCCTTCTCAAATTCCATATAAGACTTTTAAAAATATATATAGCACATAAAACATTTTAAAAATATATAGCAAAGTTGATCATGACGGAGTTGAAAAGAAAAATCTAATAATTTCCTTTACACATTCGATTAAGAATTCTTCCACATTCATTACATATTTTACACAGAACCAAAATAAAAATATTTGAGAGGTTGTGCAGTGAAAACAAGCGGAAAGAAAGGATGACACTGAGGAACAAAGCCACACAGTTGCGAGTAAGTGAGGTGGGGAAGCTGAGCGTAGCTTCAAAACTGAACATAGGTCGAACCAATGCTCAGCAGAGTTGCCCCTTGCGATGTCGCTCAAATGTACTTGGCTCAGCTCTGCATCTGATGGCCCGGCCTTACATTAAAAACCTTTGCTTCGGTTCTGGAAGCTGGTTCAGCTACGCACAGCTCAGTTCAGCTGCGCTTTTGGTAATCGGTCAGCCCTGAAGAGGAAAACTTTGTAGGACCATGCTTAGACCCACAGGACCAGAGCAGTAACTGAAGACTTTAAACAATCTGCACCCTCAAACCACATGGAGAGGAACTAAAAATATTCTTTAAATAAAAGAGTTTAAGTTTACTTTAAATTAGTTACTTACCCTATTCAAGAAGTTAACATCGCCGAGTTGCCTTTTGGACTCGGCCCAACTTGGCTCCGCTTGAAGTAATACCATCACTGCCTCCATTACCATCTCTACCTTCGGGGGCGGCCTGCCGTAAGACTTGATCTCAGTCAAATCCTTTTTGTTCAAGGCATCCAAAGCCTAAAAAAAAAGAAATCTTACTTAAGGTTTCTAATCAATTAATAATTAGGAAATATCTCTAGTATTGTCATGAGTGTGTCTGGCTGGCAAGTAGTGTACTTGTTAATACCCACCTTCTTTAGATGTATTTAATTATTTAACCCATTACACAGACCAACGCACGGAACTACCACTTCAATAACTTTAGGTATAATAGCCTTTTCTTATCTTGGCCATTACACTTTGTCGGCAATAGACAAGCACTACTTTCACAACCTCCTAGTCCCTTATTACCTGTCAGATTTCTGTTACCTAACCCGACACCAGACAACTAGTCGCCATACAGCCTTCAACAATGCCTGACAGAATTGTATGTTTTTGACCCTTATTATTATGCTTTATATACCTACTACCTATTCCCCATAATATATACTGTAACTTACTATAATTAATCATATACTATATAAAAAAAATCAAATGCGGACAACCCTTATGCTAGGAGAGCGAAATTATATTGGACTGCAAGATTATGTAAGGCTGATCAAGCAGGCATTACTTAGGCATAGGAAAAAAAAAAAAAAAAAAAAAAAAAAAAAAAGAAAAGAACACATACATAGAAAATTAAATAACTAATATGCATTCTTTGTATCTTATATAGCCCTGAGGAAGACCTACAACATAGGTCAAAACGTTGGAAAATGTAATAAATATACTATTATATAATATTGTATTTTTTTACGGTACCCCCGACTAACTTCTTCAGAAATTGAATCCACGGTCAGCCATCTCCAGATCATCCAATATTTGAGTTTACCAACCCTCATAGAAGTCATAAATTCAACTTTTTTTTTTTCAAAATATAGAATTATCAATATTCAATATTTGAGTTTACCAACCCTCATAGAAATAATAAATTCGGTCTTTTTCAAAACATAGACATATTTTAGAAAATGTAGCAAAAAACATTGAAATATAAAACCATTTGAAGATTTTTTTTTTTCTTGAAGTGCAAAACTTTTTTTGAGGAAGAGCCCACGAAAAGACTAACCCTCATGGCCGCTTCCAGCGCTGGCATTGCCATCTGTAGGTCCGCGAGAGCAACATCAGCGAGCTCTTTGCATTCTTTTTCTTCCGCCTCTATAATCACAGTTTTCTTCTCGACACCTTTCTGTTGTTCATCGACTTCTGTTTTTTGCACCATCAATATCTCCAAAAATTTATCACACTCTTCATTTAACTTAGCCACTGAAGATAAAAAAAATAACTGATTATTAGTGATTTGAATTATACAATTAAAATAAAAGTGCTGAATATACATCATACATTATATTGCAAAAAAGTATATTGTATTACTATTGATTACTAATGGTCTGAGAGGAAATTTGACTATATTTATATTGAATAGATATTGTCAATCTATTTATGATTTTCGAAATTAAAAAACAAAAGAGGAATTAAATAATTTATTATTACAAAGAATTTTATAATGAAACTTTTTAAAGATATTTAATATAGTCCGTGCAACAGAGCCCTATTTATCAAATTATTAATATCCACCTGAAAATTCATAAATAGCTTCTTCTCATTGTAACCTACAAATATTTTTATTTACGATAATTCTCGGAATTGGGGTGTTTTTAATCTGGAGATAGTCAAACTTTGTCTATTTAATTATAATTAGGTACTAAAACTCGTAAATACACATTTGCTTTCCACTTGAATCGTAAGATAATTTAAGCACAAACTCGAGAAAAAAAGGTGAATTTCAAAAATATCGAGCCGTTTGGCGTGACATACACCTCCAAAATAACGAGGTTGTATAGAACTTACAGCCCAATATTTCTGTAGGTCACTTTTTCGTGATTTTGTGATCAAATTATCTTATGATCTAAGTGAAAAGCAAATAAGTACATATGAGTTTTTAGTGCCAAACTAAATAGACAAAATTTGCTAACCTCCACATTGAAAATGGCCCAATTCCAAGAGTTTTCGTAAATAAAATAGTTGTAGCTTAAGATGAGATGAAGCTATTCACGAAGTTTCAGACGGATGTTAATAATTTGATAAAAAGGGGTCTGTACAAAAGAGTAATAATTATTAGAAGAAAAAAATTATTAATAATGTACATCACTCTAAAAAAATATATTAGATTTTTTGTTTTATGACTTTTAATTCTCCAATAACATATTCTCGAGTATAAAAACCAGTCACATTTTGCTATGAATTTAACATTCTTTGATGTTCATACAGAAGGAGAAAATAATATTTTACAATTAATCATGTAATTAAATATTGCCCCCTTCAAAATATTTCCTCCGAGACAGAATGCACTTGCTCCATCTCAATTTTGAACTCCAGAAAGTTTCTAGAAAGTCCTCTCTTGAGCTACTTCGTCTTCCCTTTCTGTTTTGAAGGCATCCATCCATGCAACCCAAATGCTGATGATAGTCATCATTTGAAAAATTTTACATAGATGTATACAGTAAAATATTTTAAATATATTTTTTATGACAAAAAACAATAACAAAATACCTTCAGCAGTAGCAACCTTTAATTCGGCTGACAGTTCCTCAACTACAATGCGAGTTTCAATTAGTTTTAGAAGTCCACCACTTAATTTTTTTGCTTGACTTGAAACTTCTTCTCTTTTCTCAGACAAATTACTAAAAAAAATAAATATATTGTAATGATTTTTATTTATCAAATATTAAAATTAAAAAAAAATATGTTAGAGTTAGATGTAGTGGGAGGGATGTGACTCCTTCTTAGAAGTTTAGAAAAATTTATCTCAATTTTATTGAGCATATCATTTGCATGGATATCTCCAAACAAAACATAACCATCTGATAATTTAAGACCTACTCTACGTCAATATTAAAATTAAGAAACTTTCAATTAAATATCTTAACTGTAATAATTTGGGAAGCAGGACAGCATAGTGAGTGAGGCACTGTGCTTCTATATACACGGTCACAAAGTTCTAATCAAGATTTGGAAGATAATTATTTATTCTTTAATCTCAACCAGCAACCCTCCTGGGGGATGTTCAGCATCCATAAACTGGGTACTCACCATTTGGGAAAAACTATGGGAAATTAGGGGATGCTAAATGTGGCATTGTAATGATTTGACAGTGAAAAAAAAAAAAAGATAAAACAGAGATTAATTGTATTCCAATTGAATTGAACTTAAATTATTACATCAATTTTCAAAAACACTTACGATTTGTAGACAGCAACCAACTCCAAAAAATTGCTGAGGGTGACATAATTGTGCCTTTTCAAATCTACCAACATTCTCTTCGACATCACTACGACTGAATCATGAATGACAGCACACATAGAAGAAATATTTTTCTTCAATTCTTCCTAAAAAATAAATATAAATTTAAAATAAAAAAAACATTCATCATCTTCTCTTTACTTTTTAGCTATAGGTCCAATTTAATAAATAATCAATCTCAATTCGTAGATTATTCTTTATTAATTTGTATATTTTAGGGAATCTTTGTCCCCTCTTCAGTATCTAAACTTTTTATAAATAATACATTATAAACTGGAACTAAACCTAAGTCAAAACTGGAAACAAGTAAAAAATATTCACTATACAGGATGTTTTTAGGGCTAAGTGGCCAAACTGCAAAAATGAACTAAGTACCTCAACACAAAAAGAAAATTTCCTCTGAAGGTTCCTGTTAACGCTTTGTTTAGAAGATATTCACTAAAGATTTTCGTTGTTATGAATTATTTATGTTATATGAAATAAATAAAATCTATTTATTTGTTCTAACTACTTTATTAATGTTTACTTTAAATGTAAACATTAACATTCGTTTAAATGTTGTTCAAAGTGATTTCCTTGAGCATTAAGATAGGCTCAGCATCTTTCAACAGCAGCAGTGGCAGAACGGCACTGGATACAGCTTATAGTTTCACAAGATTCAATTATCCTTCTTCGTAAGGAATTAAGGTCATTGATCTGACTTGCTCAAACATATCCCATATCCTAATCAATGGATTGGATGTGCAGGACCAGTGGTTTGTCCTACACGCTCTCCAGACCTGACACCACTGGATTTTTTTATTTGGGATGATAACAAAAAGTGTATGCAAATCCGGTTAATGCCCTTAATTCCTTACGAAGAAGGATAATTAAATCATGTGAAACAGTAACACATATCCAATGCGGTTCTGCCAATGCAGCTCTTGAAAGATGCCAAGTCTGTCTTAATGCTCAAGGAAATCATTTTGAACAACATTTAATATGAATTTAATGTTTACTTAATAAATTATTATTATTAAACTTATTGTTTACTTGATACTTAATAATTACTTTAAATTAATAAAGTAGTTGGAACAAATAAATAAGTTTTATTTACTTAATATAATGTAAATAATTCATAACAACGAAAATATTTAGGTGTTAATATCTCCTAAACAAAGCGTTAGCAGACAGACATACCTTCAGAGGAAATTTTTTTCTTGTTTTGAGGTCCTTAGTTCATTTTTGTAGTTTGACCACTTAACCCTGAAACACACTTTATAAAAATCTAATCATCTCTAAAGTTAGAGTTAATAGTCAATAAAGCAAATCTCAGAAGCAATTAATTTTAAAAAGTAAATTTAATTTCACCAATTTTTAAATAATACTGTAATAAAGTGCATATTATACCTTTCTTAGGTTTCTTTTTTCTTTGTCATCTTCCTATAACAGAACAAAACAAAAATATATATACATCAATAAATAATTTAAACTTATAAATCAGGTTTTCAGGAGGCAAACAATGTAATAAGAGTAGAAGTTGGTTATAATTGTAATACATCAAAATATCTCAAATAATACTTCAGAACTAATACTTCATTTATTAATATTTTAATTTATTCTTATATTATATTAAAAATGTTTCCTTAAAACTTATTTAACAAGTTTTAGTTGTTAAATTATATTTTACGAAGTCAATGTACAATTAATGATAGTTTATTCATCGAGTCTCGATAGCTTTACCACGAAGGACTGTTTCAGTCGGATAAGATGCAAAATTAAAATAAATATTATTGGTAAATTAAAGCATAGTAGTTTTAAAATGACCTTTAGGGCCACAAATAATATATATGAATTTATATTATAGAAACAATTGTAGTCGAGGTCTGTAGCTAAGAGAAATAACACATAAAAAGTTATTAACTGCTAACTATCAGAGCAACTCAAAAATATAAACTATTACATATTATAATGGCTATTACCTCTGGCGGGATACGTTTAATCGTTGCTATGGTGTCCACTTCCTTCATGAACTGATTGGCCACTTCTAACAGAGCTTCTCGTGGCCAATCTTGAAACCAGTCTATCGTGGTACAGCTTATCAAAGATGGATATTGCCTCAGCCGAATTCTACAAAATTAAAACTATTACAATCAGATCTTGTTGATTTATTTTATTATAGCTATCTAACTAACTAGATGACTTGTTGTTGCCTAATCTTTCCAAAGTTTATCTTTATTGTAATCCATGTAAATTTTTGACCATCCTCACAGCAGCTAATAAACTTGATCAAACATTTGCATAATAAATATCAAAATGGTTACAATATTGACTGCCAAATAAGAGATAACTGGTGGTTCGCTAGATGCCAACTTCGAGCTATCTTCTCATATAAACATGCACAAATTAACTCATAGTTAACTTCTGTGAAGAGTTTTCTCCTACATATGCCAACTAGCAAATAATTCACAAGATATTAACAAAAAAAAACAACAACTTTATATTACAGTAGACTCTCGCTTATCTGTCCTCATCAGGACCGAGATATTGTAGATTAAGCGGAAAAGCTGGGTTTTAATAAAAAACTTTAATATTATTTTAACATGGTTCGGTCAATTTTTAATTATATTCATAACTGAAATTACATTTACCTGAATTGTTCTCCAACAGGACTAAAACAGAGCACTATATGCAGGTTTGAGCGTACTCTGTCGATCAAGAAATTGTAAATAGTTTCATTCGTCGGAATTATACCCGCTTTTGCAACTATGTCGTATAAAATAGATTTGATCTAGAAAATAGAGAAAATAAGAATTAAAAACAATGATCTATAAATAATGAATGAAAAAAAAAAAAATATATTTTGTACAATATACAAAGGAGGTCTGGCTCCATCAAAAACATTATTACATAAAGAAAATTTAACAATAAATAGTAACAATTCTTTATTCTTTTTTAAAAAAAGAAAAGACAATTGTAGAAAGATGTAAACAAAAAGTATTGGCTAAGCAACTATTAAAAATAACTATAAAATAAATATACCTGTACCACTACAACCCATGAAGGGTCTTGGGTTCAGTACTGTTTTAGGGAAAGCACTGTTTCTAGGTCAACAGTTGTGCAAGGAGGTGATTTGACCGAGATCAAGCTCAACTGCCAGGTTTTCCTCCTTAATTAATTATTTAATTAAGGGTACTCACTTTATAGAGGCTGCGTGTACCCCAGGAGGGTCTCCCGACCCAGGGTCACCCCACGGCTAATGAAATAGATAAATAAACTTTCTGCCATGAGCGGGGGTTCGAAACTGGGATCTTTAGCGTTGGAAGCTCAGTAATCTACCACTGAGCTACCCCACTCCCTTAAAAATATATTTATTTGAAAAAAAATATACAGTAAAGCAATTTAAAAATATATATATATTTACAATATATATGATGCAGTTGCTTTTATTTATCGATTATTAAAATTCGAAAAATACATTATGAGTTAGAAATATTGGAGGGAGGACGCAACCCTCAATCCATAGCTTCACCCCAGGCTTGTCCCACCATTGGCCAGGAATGACGCATCATCTGTCAGTTCCGGAAAGCGCTCGAGTTAAGAAATCTACAGCCATTAGAGAAGATAAACCAGACAAAGACCACCGTAGTTAATGGAGCAGCCTACGTTTGGAGCTACCATTAAGAAAGTCCAGTTAAATAGTACCTTATAGTAATAGATTTTATAAACATAAATTAAATTTTATTAGTTCATAAATGTTTTATTTATTTAATATAATATTAAGTGTATCAATATCGTTAAATTGATCCTTAGAATTCACAGTCCATGAACCAATTAAGCCCTCAGGGTCCAGTAAATTTATAATAATTCAATAATTTTAATTCAATTCATATTTTAATAAAATCAGAACAATATATGTATAACAAAAGTCAGACAAATAAAACAGCTGATTTGCCCCTTCAATAACTTCAGCTATTATACATCATTTCTGAAGGATGTTGCTGGTCGAGGGGATTAAGATCATTGAAGGGGCTAAGTTGTTATAAAGATGAAGACCTGAATAAACATCTTCCTTCTTTAAAACAACTTAGCCCCTTCAATTATCTTAAACCCCTAGACCAGCAATACCATTCAGTAATGATGCATTATAGCTGAAGTTATTGAAGGGGCAAATCAGCTGTTTTATTTTTGTTTTTATTTTATTTTATTGATTTGTTTATTTTATTATACTAGGGGTGGGGGTGGGGGTAATCCTATCCACCTGATGGCAGACCAATCCCTATTTTACAGATTATACAACTATACAACTATTACGCATTGCTCAAATTGTATAACTGCAATTTACATGTAATCTGTAGCTAAGATTGTATTATTTTTTATCGACATAAAATAAACTGAACGAAACCACAGTTAGGACAAATTTTTAATTTCTTTAAAAATCAATGTTATACATTGTGCTTTATTGCTAATTTATATTATTATAATTATTCTGATTGCCAATTTGTAACCATAATAAGGAAGAAATAATTCTGTGAATGAGAAGAGCGATGTCTTCGTTACAGTCCGTGTCCCGCTCTGTATATGTAAAATAAAATATGACACAGTCACTACATACTTTTTAATATTATACACACACACATATATATATATATATATATATATATATATATATATATAATTCAGTTAATTAATTTTTATGTATTTAATTTAATTAGCCATATAATAATACTGTAAGATATTAAATAGAAGATAACATGATTGCTCAGAATGGTACACATATAAACACTTATATTATGGACATAATAAATAAACTAATTTTAATGCTTCCCATTTGAAATATAATATGTATGACAATGTAGTAGACCATCATTATATATTATTGTTAAGGATGACTTTTTCTTTTAAGCATATTATTTCATATTCAGGCAAAAGAGATTTATATTCGCTATTTAAATAATAATATAATATGATATGATATAATTATAAATAATAAAAAAAATTCCAATAGATGATTAACTTCCATTAGATTACAGCGATGATCCAAAAATGTACTTGCGATTGAAATAGACATATTTATAAATAGAGAAATTGAAAACTTTATTATTCCAACATTTAATGATATTTAAAATGGGTAAGATGATAGGGGCAGGAGACGGTCCTTAAGGACACCCAGCCTCTATAAAGTGGGTACCTTCAATTGAACGGAAGCCTTCTGGGCCGAGAATGATCATTACTTAAAGAACTCCTTAAACAATAGTTGGCTTAGAAATAGTGATTACTCTAAAACAAGATGATTTTATGTCTTGAGATGAGAACGATAACAGTACTCTAAGATTAGAATAACCAAGATAAAAGTTTTTAGACAGAAACTAATCGAACTGGATTCCCATCCAATGGATATTACAAGTTAATGTTTAGATTGTTAAAAAATTCAATTAATTCATTCAAATTAAAAAGTTTTAAATATTAAAAGACTTAAGCCTGCAGAATTTATATTAACAATGAAAAGGAATATTCTTATAATATTTTGATAACTAGAGACAAAAATTTCATCAAGAAGTATTTATGAATTCAAAATTATAAGAATACGAAAAGTCTTGACAATGGAAAATTACAAAATATTGACCATGGAGGTACTATGAACAAATTTATAATAATTAAATTATATTAAGAAATAAATACCTGATTGTAGTCAAGACAGATAATAAATTATCCCCAGAATATAATATAATAGATATATAATAAAACACTTACCTCCTCAAATTCGTCTGGTTTATAAAGATTAGCAACCTCACCGGTGCTCAATACATTGTTCATTATTTCCAAAAAGGCTTCATCCACAACCTCAAATAATCAGCAAATAAAATTATTTATATTAGTTCTTTTTTTAAATTAAATAATAGGCTACAATGACATAATTAAAAATACAATTCTTCCCTAGCTTCGGTAGTGAGGAAGCAAAAATAATGAAATTAATTATACATATATTTAGCTACTATAGTAGTACTTTTCAAGGGCACACAATGTTCTTGTATATGGTGTCTTCAAGGAATATATAATATAATTTTTATTTTACTTCCGACGACATTTCTAATGAGCTGATTAGCTCATTATCAAGTCATCAAAAACATTTTTTATATACTATAATGTATTTCAATATTATAATGTCATTGAAGAACTATTTGTAGCACACCAATTGTCACAGATAACTATATTCCTCGTCACTATCCTTTTTAAATGTTTGCGCATTAATTGATACATGTCCCCAGTACTGTGCTACCTCCTCCGTCTACTTTTTATTATTAAAAGTACTTTTAATTAATTATTACAAATAGTTATTCATGAAATTATATATTGAAATAGATTATAGTATATAAAAACATGTTTTTAATGACTTGACAATGAGCTAATCAGCTCGAAACGTAGTCAGAAGTAAAATAACAAATTTTCTGTTTGAAATGTTTGAAAGTACAAGGGCTTATGTATTCCTTGAAGACCCCACGTATAAGAAAATAATTATGTTGGTTAAGAAATGAAATACGAAATTCAAATAATTAGGGGCAAAAACTTTATAATACAAGTTTTGTTATTGAGTTCAAATTAAAATGAAGAAAAACATAATTAATTATTTTCGAGTATTTTGTTTGGAGAAAAAGAGGTTTGATGTTTCTTTTAGTTTTTAAAAATCAAAGAAGTCATCGAGCTCTACTAAACCATCAAATTCCTCTCGAATCAAATCCCTAGAATCTGAAATCCTTCGTAAAATTCTCAATTCTCCCTATTTTATCACAAATAAAATCATCCATAACGACCTTAATGTACCATATGTTTCTGATTTAGCTCAATCCAGATACCTATCCTTCCATAATAAATTTCTGAACTATCCGAACCCTCTTGTTTCCAACCTTGCTTTCTCTTCTATTCCCGATAACCCTCCGATGCGTCTAAAAAGAAGATGGCCTCGGGACCTTCTAATGTAGAAATATAATTTGAGTGCTACCAATGGGTAGTTTCTCTTCATGTTGTACATGTCATGTTACTTGTTTCATATTTACTTGTATTTATCATTTAATACAGTTATAAATTTCAATAATAATAATTTAAAAAAAAAGAATCACAATTGTTATAATTTAGTTAAATAAATGACCTGTATAGATTTCTCAAAGTTGTCTTCAAGAAATACAGCATACAAATAATTTTAAAATTGCATTAGTGAAATTAGACTTTTTTTATCTTTGGATTGACAGTCATATATAAAACATAGGATATTATATTTGATAGAAGAAAATAAAATCTTGAATGAAGAGATCCCTACAAGTAGGTTTTAGCTAACATTTCTTTAAAGTATTCAGGGATAAAAAATAAAATTTACTTTAGATCAAATCAACATATTTTCAGTGATTTTTAAATTTCTACATTATGTTAAAACAAGGGTATCTAAACTATGGCCTAAGAACCAGATCTAGAAAGCACCTCCAATCTGGCCTACAAAAGTTTGATTATGTCATAAATTTTAAACTATTTAAAAAAATATGAAATTTAGTAAATCGCTCGATTCCTACAACATTTATTGCATGAGTTTTTTCTCTTCTAAATCTCACTTTATAACTAAAGCGAGATTTATAAGAGATTCATTTATTCATCACTAGCCATGGTCAGCGGGACTAAGTGGAGGTTTAATGAGGTCCATTGGACTTAGGAGAGGTCTCGATGCAGCCTCTGTGGTACATTGTTTGAAGATGCCTGTGTTAACTATAAATAGTTAGAAAACTAACCTATAGAATATAGCACTACTCAGTTTAAGTAAGAAAACTTAATAGAAAAAGAAAGAGAGCCCTTCAAATATTTATAATTTATCCTTTAAATAAACTCACTTGGTTATCTCCTAGTAGAAAAGACAAAGGATTATCTTTGACTCCTGTGGTATGGTAAATATTTTTTAGATCTTCTTTGAACTCGCCAACACCGTAAGTTCTTGTTAACTGAATTTGATACGTTCTATATTGGCATTGCCAAGCGCCTAGCCTGGCTAATGATGATCTACCGATCCCGCCTGCAGAATCAAAACAATATTCAATTTCGAATCAAAATATAAATAAATATCAATTTGTTTTAATTAAGATTTACCTATTCCAACCAACAGAATATGGCCCCTGGGTTGCGAAACGACTCTTGCTACCCTGCAGATATGCTGGATGGCTTCTTCGAACAAGACCAAATTGACATGAACAACGCCTGGCGTTTGGTTGTATTCTTCCATTTGCCTTTGGATAGTTCTTGTAAGTTTTTGAACGCTGTCAACTTCAGCATACATATTGAACTGATTCATAAAATCACCTGAATAAAAAATAAAAAAAAATGTATAAATTAAACCGTATCAAATTCAAGTTCTAGTAATAATTTTAAAAGAAATATTCAATTACAGAAGATAGGGCAACCATTTCCTGCACATAGTGTGGATAAAGATACACCAAATGAACTATTGAGTATGTTGCCGATTTGTTCATTAAACCAAGCTAAATCGCTGAAACATAACATCACATTATAAAATTAAATTTAAAGATACACCAAAAGGAATAAAGATTATTAAACAATTTTATAATAATATCAAGGTAAATTGTTTTGATAAAAATAAAAAATCTGTAACCACTACAACCCTTGAAGGGTCTTGGGTTCAATACTATTTAGAGAAAGTACCGTTTTTTGGATAACGGCTGTGTAAGGAAGTGATTTGGACGAGAAAATCGTTTTGATAAAAGTGATTGAATTGAAATTGTAATTATATTTTGTAATAAGAAAGGATAAATCAATTTAAGCAGTTAATTTCCCGTTATTTAAATTTCAAGATATTTTTTAGCTAACAAAGATGATTTGTAAAGATAATAAATAAGATATGTTGATAAAATAATGACAGCACATTTAAATTTCATAATTTTAAAAAAATTCTGAAATGTAAAAATTAAAAACATATTTACATTGATTATTACAAGGGCTTGAAATAGAAATCATTTCGAACTAGAACTTTTTTCCTTGCAACTTTTCAAGTGAAGATTTTACAGAACTTTTATTTAAAAAAAAATTCATTTAAAAGTTAAGTCGATTACGCTAAAATGTTGATCTAAAAAATTACTTTAATTCATAACTACTCAAACAAACGACACATTAGAATCACATGTAATTCGTTTAAGAAAAATTATAACTCTAATGTAAGACCAATTAGGGTAAACACATCAGTCATGGACAGAGGGCTCAGTGATGAAAAAGTTGGAATTTAAATGTATATAATAAGCTTCTTTGTTGATTTAAAAAATTCAGTTTTTTCTACATTGAAGAACAATGCCCTCTATTGACAACTGTATGAATAAAGTTCTCAAAAGAAATTTTTAAAATGCCTATCATTGTTGTTTCTGTAGTACTCTTGAGATCAATGTGCTTCATATCTTTCTAGTAACAGTTTTGCTAAGAATAAGTTGACCATTTATGATATCTTATCTTTATAGTTAAATGAAGATTTCATAATTTTTCTGAGGTATGAACATTACTGGTACCGAGCATTTGAATTTCGGCATGTCCATCACTAGTGCAAAAAGATGTTTTTTTTAATAGTGATTATAGCTGCATAACAGAATATCTTTTTCAATTTTAAAGTGTTCAATAGAAAAAGGAGATCCTAGAGATGCTAAATATCCAACTTAGAGAAGTTTATAACAATAATAATTATGGCAGCATAAGCCAAAAATTTCGTTAGCTATGTCCATCACTGGTGAAGGGGCGGGGTGGCCGAATGGGCTAAAGCGTGTGCACTGCACCGCGAATTGCCTGGCAACCGGATCAGAGATTTGAGAAGATTAAAAAAGTATGAGTTCGCATCCCGGTACCGGAGGGGATTTTAAATTCCCCGCCCTCACCCTCCGGCCCAGGAAAATCCCGTATAGCCTAAAAGGCGAGGTAGGGAAGAACAAAAAAAAAAAAAAGTCCATCACTGGTAGTCTTACCCTACTGTTTATTTTTCATTTAGTGGAACTTTTTTTAAGAACTTGAATATATAGTAGATAAATTTACCATGAACCTGTAACTTCATTTAAAAAAAGTTTCTTAAAACTTTTGTTTTAAGAACTTTTTACCTAAAAAGTTTTGCAGGAGCTGTTAAAATGTAACTTTTTAAAAAAGTTTCAATCCCAAAAAATCTGTGACAAATTAATAACTAACACATAATGAAATGGGTTGACTTCAGAAGATGTATTGCGACCTGTTTTGAAACTTTTGATTCAACAACATTAGAGGAAAAAATCTGAGAAATAGAAACATCCATTGACAATAAGATTTATAGAAAATTAAAGAATAGTTTTGGATTCCGATGAAATTGTTTGTGTAAAAGTTGAATTTTTTTTTTTTTTCCATCTAAATTTCAATTATGCCAGAAGACATTCCTAGTTATATTTTTCAATTTATGGATCAATTCTATTTCTATTAATTCAATCAGGAGAGATTAACAAATTCTGAATAAACTTTAAGTTACGCACGTTTCATTAATCAACCGGTCGCTGAAAACTCTAAAACACTCGTGAAGCCACAGTCGTAACAGCTGATGTTTTGTAGGCTGATAATCTACACCGGAGCGGAGCAGCCCCTGGTAGACCTGAAATCATCATCAAAATAATTTATAACATACAATAATAAATAATATAGAAAAATAAATAAACTTTTCGTACCTTTGAAATATCCCTTAGATTAAATAAATAATGCATCTTAGCGGGAGTCGGTAACATTTTTGAAACTGTTCTCTTAAAAATAATCAAAGTAGCCATTGTGATTGATTCAGCTAAAATATAATAATAATGTTTAATGCTAAATCATAATCATGCCACAAAATATTGATAAATTAGTGATTAGTATAATGAACAATTTATTTATTTGATTCTTGTGATCTCCTAATGTAGTCATATCATTAGAGTGCTACCATTGGGTAGTTACTCAGCAAGTGTATTCATGTAATTATATCTATTATGTCCAAATTTACTAGATGTATTTATGTAATACAGTTGTAAATGTCATTAATAAAAAAAAAAAATTATTTGATCAGTGAGTAGGTACAACAAATTTATCCAAGAAAATTCCTTAAACTAAATTTTGTAGTAGACATTCCCCAGTATTTACTCCTTTATGTGACAATGAGTGAGGGAATGAGAAGGAATAAATAACATACAGGAATGTGAGGTTGCACTGTGAATTGTACTCAATTGTGCAGCGGACAAATTATTCATTGAAAAGTCTCATATCGATAAACAATCAATGAAGAAGGAAAAAGGTCCGGTCAGGTAGCAGCAGCTGGAGAGAGAAGAGAGAGGGCTGGGCACGAAGACGAGAAGACGTCATCTGGGAAGAGAGAGATACTACATTGAAGAATAAGAATATCAAGCCTACAGTTATAAGACTTTTATACATTAATTTATTACAGTTGTAAAAATAAATTGTTTTATTATACAGGAGTGAATAGTCATTTTATTTAGTTGTCCTATAGGCCTCACAACTGAAGAATAACAAACCAGGTGAGTCAATCCATTCAAAGTGTGTTTACTAAGTCCCACATTTCATATATGTATTCTTATTGTTTCTTCTCACTCAGTGTCACAAAAAGTATATCCAGTGCCGGGGTTTTGTTTTAATATTCAGGAGTGTAAATAACCTAGTTCCCCGATATAAAAGCGGAAGGCTATTCGCCAATTCCCGCCAAAAAAGGTCTTTAACAATTAACCTTAAAACATATTATTTACAATTTGGTAAACTATAGTTAACAACTATAAATAAACTATAATTGGTAAATTGTTGACTGTTCTGGATAATGAAGAGAAGAATAGTTGGGGTGGTCAGTCAAAAAAGAAGGCAAAAATAAATGATAATATTAATTTTATTTTTTTAAATTATTAAAAAAAAATTATAAAAAATAAATATTATAATTTATTTTTGCCTTCTTTTTTGACTGACCACCCCAACTCTTCATATAAATAAACTAAGTTTCCAATTATTTATAATAAGAAATAAATTATATTTACCATGACTTGTAAGCTCTTCCTTGTATGAAAGATGTTGTTTTAACATTGTTGTAAATATAGACTGTATTTGAGCATCGTTAGGGAATGTGACAGCGATGACGGAGAAACGCGACAACAAGCGGTCGGTAATCATGTTACGACCACCACCGGGCGGTCCCATAGCAGCCATCAAAAGCATATCCTGCGAATAAATAATATGAAACACTGCATAAAACATTTTCGTGAGGAAAAGTTTACATCTATTAGAGTTTAAAAATAAAGTGGATGTTTAAAAAAGATCTATGACACTAAACTCCTTCGTAATCCACTCTGCTTCATTCTGGAATTCCTTGCCTCTAAAAATTCGACATGCTTCCTCCCTATCCACTTTTAAAACCTCCTTTTCCAACTTCTTTTATCACAACAGTAAAAAAACGGCTAACCACATATTAAGTAATAATAATATAATAAAATAATATCTAAAAAAAATTATTTTGATCTTAATTTATTTGTTTTTGTTTGTACATATTACTTATGATCTTTTATACATAATATATGCATGTATATGTATATATATATTTTTTTTTTTTTTACACAATTTTTCATTTGACAACATGGTTTTTGTATATATTTTGGTGTATGTGTATGTATATTTCAACATAAATTGAAATTTTCTTTTACTCATAGGAGATTTGTTGCTCATTTTTCAGAGGATCATATTTTGTATTCTACTGTTTTTTTTTTTTTTTGTTTGGCTATTTTAATACATTTCTTTTGATTATTATATTCTTTAAGCTTTTTAACTATGCAGCGATTATTTTGTTTTATAGTCTTTTTAATTTCTTATTTGTATTGTATATAATTGTAGTATTTTGTAAATAGTCTCACTGGTTTGATTTGTATAAATAGTTTATTTACTTAAAGCTTTTTATCTAGCTACTTTTTAATGTAACAAGTTTTCTGGTCAGATGTTATTCTTTTTTTTATATAATATTCTATTATTCTTAAAGGGCTTCGCCACAGAATAAAATTATTTTCTATTTTTATTTCTTATAGAAAAGTTTAGAGGTGATATGTAGTATAAAATGAAAAATAATATGATAGAAGCGGTGGAGATTGTCAACTATTTATAATAAATATTATACATCATAGATTTTGGAGACTATCAGTCAATATTAATATAAGATAAAAACAAAAGTTGTTTTTTATTTATAATTGACGTTCTATCAAAACTCATCTAAGGGATCAGTTGTTGCATATTGCCCCAACCATCATATTTTAAGAAGAAAAATAAATTTTATTCTGAGACTAAGTCCCCTCAGAATAACTACAATGTACAATTTATTAATGACAATTGTCTGGCATTGGAAATAAATTAGATTACATGATTGTCTAGATCTAAGTTTACAATAATGAAAGGCACTGTTATATATATGATAACATAGGTAAATTCAGATATGGGAGTTCACATATTTGTACACATAAACAATGTGGGTGATATATAATTATCTGTCAGATAACATTAAAGCGATTAACAGATCTGAAAAACGTGAACATTATTTTACACATACTCGGAACTTTGATTACTGAGGAGATGGATACATAAATTATGTTTAAATGAGGACAAGGATGACGATTTGCGTATGATTCCAAAATAAGGTAGCAAGCATGACAAAAGATTTTTTAAAGGAAACAGTTCTATAAGAATGAATAAACAAATTTGAGGATTGGGATCTCGTGTTGAACGAATGAATAGAGGAACAAGGAGTAAAGAAATGAAGAAGGTAAGAAACTTTTTTGGTAGTAAAGGTAATACACCTAGGAAATATTGCCGTCAGAAACTGGATAGAGCCACTTCAACTATAGCAACTGGAGATGTGGGAGCGCCTGGGGACTCCAAGTATAAATCTAATGAAACAATTCATTAGACTCTTTAATTTTAATTAATTAATTTTAAAATTAATAAATAAACAAAAACTTACTGTTTTCTTTGTATGTAATATTGATCTTTACATAATATTTAACAACCCAAATAACTAATCCTTACTTGAACCAACAATTGAACAGTTCTGATTAAACTCACCTTTAAAAACATTTTGGTTTGATCTTGCCTATTGTACCAAAATCCGTAATCTATCCACTGCCTCATCAATTCAAGAGGAGGCTGTGCACCGTAAACCTCTTTGGCGGGCATGTTGAAGTCATCCATAAACGTTATCATTATCTTTCCTTCATAAAAAGAAAAAAAATATTGTATCTATACATGTATTGAACTTTCATATATCAACAATATCGATTATTTTAAGGAGCTAGAATATGTAAAAGAAAATTATTTTTTTTACAACTGAAATTACAAAAAAATTACATATATGATTCATGATAAATAAACCCTGAATATTAATCGATCCACCATTTTGAATGTGAGAGAAAGAGTAAAGGAGAGACAAAACTAAACTAATAATAAGAAAGAAATCTCCAAATGCAATACATACAACTTGAAAACAGACTAACATTTTTAAATTGGAGGCTACATAGATAAATAAAACCACAAAATATTAACTTGGAACACAGGTAAGTACCTAAATTAAAGTTATACAAGTGAATTATGAAAAAAAAAAAAAAGTATGATTGTTAACTAGATGGAAGAAATAATTAATCTGTCCATTTTCATGAAACTATGTTTTTATATAATATTTTTTCAAATAGTGGAATCATTTAAATGAAAAGGAAAATAAAGCATGTTAAAATGAGGTTAAGTATTTGTTGGTAATTCTATGTATCTCTTTGTTCATATCCTTTCTGTATATATATATATTTTTTTTTTTTTTTTTTTTTTCTGCTCCAACTTATTCAACTTAAATAAACTATTCCTTCTTCTTTCTTCGGCTTTATATCATGTTTATTATCGTTCTCATGATTCAGTTTAAATAAACCATTAGGCTTGAATATATGTATCATCCCAGATCCAGTTTTGAAACAATTTTTTTATTTTATATTTTGTTTCTATAATAAGTGAATGAGTTATCACTTATTATTACTATAAACTGTTTTAAGTCTCCCATTACATAAGTGGAAACAAAAATAAACTATGAAGTCATTTTAAAGCATCAAATTCAATTTTTGGTTAATTGTTTTCAATAAGGAACCATTGTAATCGTCAAAAAATTCAAAAACTTAACTCTCCCTCAAAATTTGAGGTTTTAATTTCAGGATAGGTAGAACTTGAAAATCGAATAAAAACATTTTAGTCCATCGGCCGCGCATTTTCTCTGAGATTACGGAACCGATTTTTTTCATATTTTGAATCAAAGTCAGAGGTTCCCCGAGATATAATCCTCCTGCCTCGACATTACTATCCACCCTTTTCTTTCAAGATGGCGGCTGAAAAACCTGTTGTTATAGACTGTAGCACCATAACGAATGCACTTATTTCAATGAAATTTGGCCAAAGTCTTCTTCTCCATGCCCTTTAAATATATGTAAAGAATACACTTCACCGAAAAGTACTTCCCTTTCAAAATGGCTACCGAAAGACCTGTGTCCTACAGACTGTAGCTTTGATAAAATCTTCTCTTTCAAATCCCTTAAAGATAATCCATATAACATAATTCAACGAAAAGAAACTGGGAAAAAAGTTACGAGGGATTATTAGATTTCCGAATAACTCAAAAAGCATACAAATTTTTCTTATTATTTTGCATGGTAATTTAAAGTTTACGAAATTTCTTAAAATATAAAAAAAAATTGTTGAAATCTGACAATTTGGTGCAAAGATATGTTTTTAAAAATATTTTTCATATTTTTCTATTACAAAACTTATTTCCTTTGTTTTGGTTTTTGATATCCTGAAAGTGTTACATAACTGAAGCAATGTGTGTTATTTTTCTTATAAAATTACTAATGAGGAAATAAATAATTATTTAGGGTAATATTAGGAATCACCTTTTATTTATTTACAAGGAAAGTAATGTTAATTTTGACATATAATTGTTAGAAAATAATAAACCATTATGTAATAATTTTTGCAGTGTTTTTCTAGATAGAATCCGAATATAAGTCTACCCCAAATATAGGTAAAAAATAAATTTCAGAAAAAACCTATAATCAGGTAGTCATATATTCCATGACTTTGGCCAGAAAGGCATATTAGATTAGAACTAAGGAGAATAACAAGAAAAATATCTAAGCATCAATGAGGCTACGAGGTCATGCAAGCAATGGAAGTCGATCAAGGAGGCCCATGTTGTTTTCTAACCCTAGCCTTACTCTCATAGCTAATAAGATAATTTATCCTTACCTTATAAATAAAAAACGTTTTGTTATTGATAAGTGTAATTTATAAACCATATTATTTCTAAATAATTGTCTGTTTTTTCTTTGTATTTAACCATTTATAGTAGTTTATGCGACTTTTAAAGTCTATTATTATAAGAATTACACAATAATAAAAGTGTGTTATTTTTTTTTTAAATAAAGGACGGGACAGGTAACGTACCTCCAGCGGGAATGTAGATACCTTTAGTTCTTTTATCAAGCCTGTTAATAATAGAATCTTGCAAGTTGCCAGAAGATGTCTGAAACATAAAAAAAATAATATTTTTACAATAACTACAGCAATATTTATAGTCATCTCTAACCTTTTTACCATAGAAAAGCTCTTTTCCATAGAGTATACAGATATGTGTTAATGTATTACAATAATCTAATGCTCATTTAGACAGTTTTGATTAACAACAAAAACTAAATTTAATAATTTATTATCACTAATATCAATGAATTACAATCAAAAGTATTACTTAAAAATACTATCCTTACTTACAAAAGACATATTCAATAGAAATACAATTACAATGTTCATTTGACTATGAGATGAAAGAATTACCTGAGCAGATAAATTGATAGTGACTACTGAATATTTTACTTTATCGAGGACGTCAAGTACAGAAGTGGCGTTTGAAGTTTTCCCTGTGCCAACTCCACCTGTTATCAAAACTGGGATATTATTTGACAACAGAGCATTAGTTAAATACGTATACCGGAGGGTGTCAATAGATGGCACAAATATTTTACAAAAGGGAGTCCTGTAATAAAAACATATCAATGAACCAATAATTTTGTAAATATTATAGAAATTAATTAAATTTTATTTAATTATAAACTCTCAAAACTATGAATCGAATCATTCTGATTAATATCAATAAAAATATATATAATTAAAAATGTATTTTTAATTCTGTTCATTTGATTTATGGAAAAAAAGTCTTCTTCAGCACTCAAAATATTCTTTGAATCAATAACATTCATTTCACTATTATTTTTTATCCGACTGTCAATAAATAGAACATTTGTCTTAACTTGAAAAAGAATTAATTTTTTTTATGTTTTTAGATTTTGGGATTATTTGATATGCATGAAATTTGAAACTGATCAAGTTGACAGGAGTTATGTAAAATTTAAATTAAGAGCAAAATTGATTTCTTGTTAAGTACATACTCTGGATCGTATCTCCAATTGTCTGATAATTTTTCTTGCCAGTGTACAAAACCCCGACTCTTCTGATCAATAAAATATTCGTATACAGTTTCCTCAGATGGATACGAAGATTCTTGCTCTCGTATGAAGTTGTCCATCACTTCACGCCCCTTCTCTGACAAAGATCCTGCTAAGGTCCATACTGCACTGTATAAAAACAATAAATATGTAAAAGAAAATATTTTTAAAAAATGCAACTTTTTAAAAAAAATTTACAATAGTCAAACTTGAAGGAAATACCTGAATTTTAAATATAGGTAATAAAATCATTTATATACTGCCTCAAATAAAAAATACATAAATGTACACAAGATAGCAGAGCTAATTTAACATGAGAAAATAAATAAAATAAAATATGTATTCATTCAACCAATGCTAAGTATTTTAAACCGCTCAATTGTGATAAAGTCTTATTATTGTTATTCTTATTACACTACATTATTATTTATTATGTTATATATTAGTATCTCTATTTATTCATATGTATATATAATGTTAATAATATATTGACCTCATACTATTGTTCTTATAATATTTAATATATATTATATTATATTTGAAATTGTTAAAAAAAAGAATTAACTTTGTAAATCTTATGTATTGGGTTAAGAGTTGGTAGGGAATTCTTAAACGAGATAGCACCTATGACGACGGATTTTCTAAAGGAAACAGTTCTATAAGAAGGAATAAACAAATTTGAGGATTGGGATCTCGTGTTGAACGAATGAATAGCGAGTAAAGAAATCAAGAAGGTAAGGTTTCTTGGTTGTAATGTTGTAAGGTTCGGCAAAGTAATACACCTAGGAAATATTGCAGTAGGAAAAGTGGAAAGAGCCACTTCAATTCAGCATAGTAACTGGAGACGTGGGAGCATCTGGGGACTCCAAGTATAAATCTAATGAAACAATTCATTAGCCTTTTTAATCTGATCTTAAGCCCACCAGATAGTCCACCGTATACAAGGCAGCCATAATTGAAGTGAGGAAAAATGAGAGAGGATACTAGGAGGTGACGAATTTTAAGGAGCATAGAGTCATGGAATCTCAGGAACTATTTGAGGATAGCAATGGACTTTTGGATAATTTGGGAAATGTGATCATTCTAGGACAGATGCTGATCAAAAATTAACCCAAGGTTTCTTAAGGAAGTGTGGAAACATGTTGAAACATACAACAAAGTGTGGAAACATACCTCCCATCGAGGTATAGTGGAGGATAATAAGAAATAAGGTTAATCAGATGCTTGGATCCAATGGGAATGGCTTTGGTCTTCTCAACATTCAATTTTAAATCATTGTTCGCTGCCTAGGTATTAATACTGTCGATATCTTCTTGTTGCCTTCGGATCGCCTCAAGCATCTCGGTAGGATGGCAGGAAAGGTAGAAGATTCAGAGATCGTCAGCATATAAATGGTGTTGTGAGTGATGGATGGAATCAGGAAGATCATTAATATAGATGGAGAAAAGAGTTGGGGAGAGGGAAGATCCTTGAGGAACACACTGCGAGTCAGTAAGATGGGGAGGAATGAGTTTTATTGGGAATGATGACTGTTTCGGATCTTTGATACAAAAAAGAATGGAACCACATTAGAGCACTATTTGATATGGAAAGGTTTTGGAGTTTGTTAAGGAGGATTTCGTGGTTTACTGGATTCGAAAGCCTTTGAAAAATCAAAAAGGACTAGGATCACGATTTTCTGTTTGTTTATAGAAAAATGAAGATTCTGGGAAATTTTCAGCTGAGTGGATTGGGTGGATAACTGGGATTGGAAACCTGGAGATGGGTCTGAAATTGCAAATTTTGGAGGAAACCGGAACTTTGCTCAGTGGACGGACAATAACTTTTTTCCAATGTAACGGGAAACTGGAATTTTGGAAGGAAAACTTCTAGATATGCAGTAGGACAGGAAATATGACAGGAAGACATGATTTGATTAACTTCACCGGAATTAGGTCTGAGCCATAGTTGTTTGTTCTGGATTTTAGGACAGAGAAAAGTAGGTCTTCTAGTAAAATATTTGTAAAATAGAAATTTTCAGAGTCAAAGGAAGCTTTAGGAATACAGTATGAGGAGGAAACTGGTAATGTTTTAAGTGAAATGCCATATAAGAAAAGAATGCAGAAAGCATTCAGAAACGTTGGACAAAAATCTATTATCCATAATTATGAAAATCCAATGAAGTTTGAGGTGAATTTTTTTTTTAAATTCTTATAAATTTATGGTTACCACACTCCAGATAATAAAAAGTGTCCAAATAAATGAAAAATTAGCTGTTGAACATTAAAATCAACAGGTGAAACACAAGTTATCATGAGAGGAGGTTTTAACTTACTATAGATAATAACATTAGCAACTTAGTGATGGTAGATCATTCGCTTAAGACTCATTCATGCTAACTGTTAAGCAGCATAAAAAACACATTAACTATTTATAACAAGTTATGCGAATAACATAACTATCATAATATGTTATTTCAATAAAAATAAATTACCAAAAGAAGAAATAAAATCTGGCTGCATATACATAATCTTCTGATTCAGGAGGATAAATTTTAGCAACATCTTCGGGTTTAGCGATTATTTGCATGAGATGGCAAAGAGAAATAACAGCACAAATTTCAGGAACTTTAACTACTTCTTCACAATTTAAACGCTTTATCCTCAGTATATTATCGACGTACCTCTCGAACAGTATCTTCATCTAAAACACAATAAAATTATTTAATTAACAAAAATATATTGTTGCTTAGCATAAACAAGCAACAGGAGAATTAAGTATCCAAAAAGGGAATAGAAAAGTTAACTAACTGTTCAATATCATGCATCACAGAGAATTATTACAAGACTCCTAATAATAAAAAAAAAATTTAGACATAAATAAAGAACTTTATTAAAATAGTCATTATTTTAGTTTTTTGTAAAAATTGATATTGCAGTTCCATCTTGTTAGTTACTACTTGCATGATATCGTTTCCAAAAGGAAAAATTATTGTTTTCAGTAAATGTAGAAAAATATATAGTGTGCTCATGCCTATGGAAGATTGGTTATAGTGTGATTTGGGACGAGTTTGGGAGAGAGAGACAGAGAGAAAGAAAACAACATTACATTATTTTACAACTCTAGCATATATATATTGTAATATACACCTTTATTGAAAGTTGGTAAAAATGGTTTAGTAAATTAACATTGAACCGTTAAAAGGCAAACTAATCTAGTTCTGCTGATGTCAGAGATGTTTAAATTTGAAAAATAGTTTCACTAGTTCCGGAAAGAAGAAAATGGCTGTAAGGGGATGGACAAAGGAGTTCATTTGTTGTTTGGCTGGGTCACTAACAAGCACAGGTGGATCTACAGGGAGGAGGAGAGGGGCTTTGGGGCTGAAGCCTCCCCCTAAAATAGTAAAATATAACCGTTTTATAGAAAAAGATATAAAAAAATTATCTCTTAAAGTATAATTGTTCATATAATTACATTTAAAAGGACTTTAGGAATCGCTTAAACACCATTGTATATAGGTGGTCAGTTTCTTCCTTTTTTTCCAAAGTTATTATTGTTATTTTTATGAAAAAAAAAGCTTCCAAGCTGAAGTACTCCCTCCCAAAATTAAATCCTGGATCTGCTAGTGCTAACTAGTTGTTCAGAACTACAAGAGAGAGGATATCCTAGGGAGCTCGAGTTGAATAAATGAAAGTGTCACAATTTTGGAAGGTGTGTTTGAAGACCAATTAATTCAGTGTCACCATGGAAGAGGCAGTATATATAAAAAAAAGATTAGTTTGTCAATTCATCCTTGACTTTATTTTATAATCAAACAGTGTTTAATGTAAATAATTTTAGTTTTCAAATAGTTTTGATCTGATTGTCAGTATCCCATCCCTAGAGATAAAATAATTATAAATTTCAGTTTAATATATAAATATTCTTATAACTTTGGTTTTTATTTAACCTCTTATTTCTTTTGGAAATATTGCTACAATATTTTTTTTTTGTTTTTGTTATTTAATGGAATTTACAACTGTATACAAATACAACTAGTAAATATGCACAAATATAAATAATGGCATGTACAGGCTTGAAGAGTTACTACCCAGTGGTAGCACTCTCTAAATAATTTTAAGTAAGAAGATCACGAGGCCATCTCCTTTTCAGACGCCTAGGAGGATTATCAGGAATCAAGGAAGAAGCAAGAGTGGAAACAAGCGGATTTGGATGGGACTGAAGTTTATCATGAAAGGATAGATATCTGGCTCGAGCTAAATCAGCGACATATGGTACATTAAGGTCTTTATGAATCGTTTTATTTGTGATAAAGTATGGAGCATTAAGGATTTTACGGAGGATTTTGGATTGTAAGGATTGGATACGATAGGAATTCAATGGTTTGGTGGAGCCCCAAAGCTCAACTCCGTATGTCCATATAGGTCTTATTATAGTTATGCAAGCTACAATATTGAAGTGATCTTCCAGGAGTTTTATTATTAGTAAAAATAAAGACATATTACAGTATGTCTAATACCTGTTTTACTATTACTACTCCACTATAACTAAATTAAGAAATTAAATCTCCAATACAATGTGTGTCAAAAGAATTTTAACATACTAATGTGATATTTATATATTTTATTTTTTAGATTTAAACAAACTAAAAAAACAAAACAAGGAGTAGTATTTATTGTCACTTACTGTATTTACGTATGGTTCACTATTGAACTGTCTGAACCAGCAATGAGCAAAAGGTCGCCAACCAAAATCTTTGTAATCATTGTATACCATACCGCATCTTGATACAGTAGCAGGAGAAGCAACAGTCAGATCACCAACTTCAAAAAGTAAGGAAACCTGAACACAATATTATAACAAATTATGATCTTTAATAAGCTGCGAACAAGAACACACACGTTTGACTGTTAGTTGGCAAGAGCATAATTACATATGAAATGGTCTAATTCCCAAAACTTTTAGAGTAAAAGCATGAATAGCTGGCAGTGTATCAATACCTGACATCCTCCTCGAAAAATGAGAATAAAAATAAAAATTTAAGGACCTCCTAGACCTTTATTTCATATAGTTTTTGTTTATTTTCTCATTGAATATTTATCTGATTTGCTTTAGTCTTGCCGGAAATCGCAACCAAAATAATGAGTGTCAAACTCTCTGTCAGTAACAGCACCATGCCTTAGGTTTGCCTTTTTCTCTTTAACTACTCAGATTTATCCCAAAATTTTTGTTTGATTGTTTTTTGGATTGTTTTTAAATTATGTTTTATCTGTTTTTAACTTATCTTGATGAAGGAATTTGATATTTAATAGTAAGCTACTGGAGCCTTATAATGGGGACTTTTGCCAGTAGTTGACAGGCATGTACTCTCATAAATTCAAAGAGATATACTCAATATTATGGGTCTTGAAATGGGACCGTTCATTACTAAATTTATTTTGCTGGTACAAAACTGACCTGTTCAGGCATCACAATCCTGTCGCTGTTTATCAAAGTCAATACTTTGTTATCGTCCATGACACTGTTCATGTTCTCTATCCAAACGGCGTCCACTGGTCCATCGAACAAAATCCATTTTTCACTTTTTACTTCATCTGAAATAGGAAAAAAACACTAAAAACATTAATATATTGATTATTGAATTTATAATTACAATGTACTAAATATCTATAGTTAAATATATTAAAAAAATTATATAATTTCCTATTTATTCATTTTTTTTTTGGGGGGAGGAGGGGGAGAGAGACTTTTAAACAATTTATTTTCACATTTCAACTGAATGTTGAAAATCAGCAAATGCACATAGTGTACAAGAAATAATGACATGTCAGGCATGGGGAAGGACAATACTCAACAATATTTGTAAATCAATTTTTCAAAAACTTTGGAGCATATAGGTATTCTAATCTTCAATAATTATAATGAACTATAAATCAATTGATTGATAATGTTGATTGACAATAGTGAGATATCTATCAAATTTAATTGATGTTAAATCGTAACAAAGTTTATTCCTATATTGGTAGTCTAATGAGCGTTACTAATGATGTAACAAGAGTAATATTCAAATTTAATAATTTAAAACAATCTTAAACAATTACATTAATAATTTAAAACAATCTTAAAATAGATAATAGGAAAATTTCAAACTTTTAGCCTTCTTTTTCATTCGATAAATATTACACTGTCAAACATATTTGCTTTAACAAAAACATCAAAAAATGGCATCGATATCAAAGTAATATAATAATTACCAGCACATGTAGTCCTCATAATGGAGGACAGTACCCCGTCGGCCCATTCACCGGTAGCTAAGTTATATTCACCGTACAGCTCTCCTAGGTTCAAGGCTTTAGGGTTTATCAGATATTCCTGAAATAACATAATAATAAAAAATTAAATTAATTTAATAAATAAGTTGTTCTACATGCTGTTATTGATTGGGTTTAACGCTGTTATGTTATTAACTACAATTAACGTCAGTAAGATGGATGATGTTATTGGATACCAATCTATTAAGACAAACAATCATGGAGGGGGGAGTACGCAGTGCTACTACCCTCCGACCTACTGGATAACCTGATCATTGAGTAGCATGTTTATCTCAACTTCTTTCTAAGAAATAGTATACCAGATATTGTCAAGTCCTTTAGGAAACAGGATAGCCATAAACCGCTGTCGCAATAACATATATTTGCAAATATTAAAATATCTGAAGTTACCTGAGCAGATTCAAAGCCAGGATAATTGCGGCTTTTCATCATGTTGAGGGCAGCCTTTAACATTTTCCAAGTTGTAGATTTGGCAGAACCCGTGGCCCCGACTATCATCACCGAGTGCCTGGATCCTTTAGTTTCATATAGCTGTATCACTTTGGTGAAACCAATAGGAATATCCTGTTGATATCAAACTTGTTTACATCTTTTATCATATTAAACATATTAAAAATATCATAATAATACTAATGAAAGACAACTTTGACAGGAATGACTAAATTATTGAAGAGTAATAAATGAACTTTTGGATAAGGCAACAAAGCTGGCCGGGAATCGATAGGGATCTCTTCTCACAATAATCCAAAAATGAATATATAAATAATCTATTTCTAATTAATTCAATAATGAATGACTAAATTATAGAAGAGTAACAAATGAACTTTGGAGAAAGGCAACAAAGCTGATCAAGGATTACTAGGGGTGTCTTTTGATAATAATCCACGAATAAATAAATAATATAATGAATGAATAAATAAGTTATTTCTAATTGATTCAATAATGAATGTCTAAATTATTGAAGAGTAACAATTGTGAAAAGTCATTTATTTATTTAGTTGTCCTATAAGCCTCACAATTGAAGAATAATAAACAAGGTGAGTCAATTCATTCAAAGTGTATTTAATAAGTCCCACATTTCATATATATATATATATATATATATATATATTCTTATTGTTTCTTCTCACTCAGTGTCACAAAAGGTGTTAAGGTACTATTTGGCTGGCGCGGTCGACGACAGCGACCGCTATTCCCCCCTGCCAACCGCTGTTGGCGTAGCTATTTCGCTGAAACTGCTCCCTGGGGTTGTTATAACCTGCCTATAACCTTCGAACATTTCGCTGTATCTTCCAAGATAAAAAGATGGACATAATATAAGAATAAAAATGAACTTCCTATAATAATGAACATCTCTGACTAACGCTTTTTTATTTGAGTTAGAAAAAGAAGAGAAAATGTTGTTCATAAAGAGAAGGAATATCAGTATTTCGATGTGATGCTCATCATCAAAGTTCCTCTGATATTACATATTATTAGTTTGAAAAATAATAGTAATTAATACATAATTGGTTAGTAATAAATATCATATATTTGTAATTAAATCTCAGCAAGCGATGTTTTATAGTTTTATCAATAGTAATCAGTAAATCACCACTTTAATTAAAAAATACAAATCGTTTTTTCAATGGGTGGATTTTAGTATTTACCTGACGATAAAATTTGTTGGATTCTTTAATTTATTTAATATCGTTTGGATTTAGGTATATTGGTATTTCGCTGTAAAATATTGCTGGTGGAATAAATAAATAAATAATCTTGTTACTTCAACCTCAAAAAAATAACTTACTATTGCATTGTTTCAGTTTTAAACAATATTTGTTATAATTTTGCAAGACTTGAAAGAAACATAGGAAATAAAACGTATCGACGGGACTGTTATCATCAAAACAATGCTCTGATATGATAACATAACCTACAACCGCTGAACCGCCAACAGCTCCACTGCTTCAAGAGGAGTCAGATACGAGCAGCTTAGATATGACGTCATACCTAAACTGCCGAGCAGCGCCAGCGAAATAGGTTCCTTTCTATTCCACTAAAGCAGTGGTCAACCGCGAGCAGTCGGGGTCGTGGACCGCGCCAGCGAAATAGTACCTTTAGATTCCCAAATTCCCAATCACAGCTAAACACCCTCAAAAAGTCTATATCCAGTGCCGGGGTTTTGTTTTAATATTCCTTAGTTCTCCCGATATAAAAGCGGAAGGCTATTCGCAATTCCTGCCAAAACAAATTATTTAAAATTATACTTTCATCATGTTATTTACACTCTTTTAACAATACCTTGGAGTTATATCTATTGTTTGTCGAATATTTTTGGGGGAAATTAAATTTTGTAATGCTACTCAATAAAATATCAAAGTATACAATAATTTTTTGATAACCACCTGTAAATTAGCTATGTCAAATACTTCTTTAAGAATAGCATTGAATTCAGTATATTCTATAGCAGGTACAACAACATTCGGGAATAGATCCTGAGTAATCGCAAGGAATAACGGAAGGTCATCAGAAGTTAGCTTAGCAATATTCATGTCCTTCATGGCCAGGAGTACCACCTATAAAACCAAGCAAAAAAGGGTTTGCCAGAGTAAAAACATTAATAAGAATAAATGAGAAACATTATCACATAAAAAGCTGAGTATTGCAAAGCTTTAATAATATATAACCTTTCACTCCTTGAAATACGAAGTTACCACAAAATATTTGTGAATGAATATTATAATGTTAATGAATACTTTTTACAACTATTTTTTGCTTTGAAATTACAGTTAATTATTTTATAAATAAAACAAGTTCTTATTGATAGAAAATAATTAAGTATTGAGATACGATAATAATTTTAATTAAAAAAAAAAAAATCCTGTATATTTATATACTTGGTTGAGGAAAAAATAATTTTGTTTTATCTCAATAAGAGACTTTAAAGTTTCTTATGTCTTGTAATCCTTATTCAATGAAGCCATTCAACAGTGTTTGAAAGGTCCTAGTCTATGGAACAAAGATAGATAGATATTTTATTTGTTTTTGGGGGGTTCCCCACAGAAATAGAGCCTAGCTTGGCTATTGTACAATAATATGGTTTTACAAATTTACATACCATTACATATCATTTAAATATAAATAAACTTTACAATATTTTCCGTTTATAATGGGTTTTACAAAGCACGAAAAACAATAAAAGTTAAAAACATAAAACGATTACTGCATAATGATAGTTAAATGAACCTGTTACTATGGTAGAACAATAAAAAATAAAAATATGTATATATACAAACATAATATTACTTTTAACATAAACTAAAAACAAACACTTAATATAACATGGACTATGATCAACAATTTTGTGAATGTACTTTTTGTACTCCCATAATATAATAGTAAACTTTGTTTACTTTATCTATACAGTCGATATTCAATATAGTTTCGATGTTGTGGTTATCAGAAGATTCTGAGATGAAGTTATGGAGGAATTTTTGTCTATATTCATTGTATGCTGGGCAGTGAAGGAGAATGTGATGTAGACTATTGTGGATAAATTGACTGCATAATATACAAATTTCTTGAGACTCAATCGAAAAAAGTTGTGGTTTTTGCATAAATTCTGATTTGTTCTGGATTTGCAACTCTTAATTGACTAACACATCTCAATTTCTTTGTATGAACTTTAAATGTAAGGTACGCTTCGGGATCGGGAGCATTATAACTGCATAACATTCTGTATAGGGTAGTTAGTTGAGTTTAAAGTTCTTTGAATGTCGGCTGAGAAATAATAGTTGTGTACTTTTTGAAGGATATCGTCTTTGTATCAAAGAAGTCCGTTTGTGTGGTGAACAGAAAGCTCTTCTGCAAAGGCATTAAGCTCGGCTATTGCTCTAATTTGAGACACCCAATTGAAGTCTATGTCAGGCTTATCCTTATCTAAAGATTTAAGTCCGTTAAAACAAAGTTTTGGGAGTCGCTCTTCTGGCACGAGCTCCAGCTTGGTCCATAGATTTATCATCTTTTTTATTACATTCATGCTTAATGGTTCTCTTCCTGTTTCGAGGCGGACTATGTAGTTTGGAGTATTTGCAGTCTATGGAACATTCTATATATAAAAATAGCATTATTCAACTTCTCAGTCAACAGTTCTGTAAAAATATTTTTGGTTCCCGAAAGTTTGATGTTAAAGATGAACATCGTCACGGCCGGCCAATTGCTGACAAAATTGTTGAAATTTTAAAAAAAATCAAGATAGATGATATTAGATATTTCATCTCGCAACATTACTACGAAACTACAAATCCATCAGAAAACAGTTTTGAACCACTTGGATAAGGCTAAGATACCAAAAGCAGCTTGATATATGTGTTCCACATGAATTAATAGTGAAAAATTTAATGGACTTAGTATTCATTTGTGAATCAATATTGAAACAAAAATCAGGCCATTTTTGAAACAAATGATTACGGATGATGAAAAGTGGACCACGTACGACAATAATGTGTGAAAAAAATCGTGGTCAAAACCTGGAGAAGCTTCACAAACAGTGGCAAAGCCAGGATTGACATCAACAAAGGTGTTAAGTGGGATTGGAAAGGAATTTTGCATCTGCTTGAACGTGGCCAAACCATTAATTCAACACTCTGCTGTGAACAATGAGTATGATTGAAGCAGATGATTCAAGAAAAATGGTGAGAACTTATCGATGGAAAAGGCGTTGTCTTCCATCATGACAACGCTAGACCACACAGGTCTTTGGTGACCCTTACCTAGTGCCTTGTTCACTGAGCTACTCTGCTCTCCTAATAATTGTAATTACATTTTTCATTTCCAGTGATAAAACGATAAAAAACAAAACAAAAAAAAAACACTTCTGTGCTGTGCCGTTGAAGCAATAAGTTGCATGTGGTAGTTTTCCATACTGCTGTTCTTGGACAGTTGGTCAAGGTTGATTAAGACTGTTGATTTGATGACAATTCCTCGATTGTCAGACTCAGATTTTCTTCGACTTCCGCTCTTAAAATATCATTGTCTAATGTTAATGGTCTTCCTGATCGATACGAGTCGGAAAGATCAAAATTAACTGATTTGAACTTAAGTAGAACAATTACTTAGAATGTCTTTGCCACGAATTAAATTTCCACAAAGAGCTGACACGAGAATCAAATAATGACATGCATAAAAACGATATTAAAATTAACAGATTAATAATAATTAATATAAAATTACTACCCTAATAATTACTCAGAAAATTTGTTTTTTATCTTGGCAAACATTAAGAAGTCATGATAATACTTGAACAAAATAATTTTCAAACACAAAAATGATTATTTTGAAAAAGGAGACAGTAAGTTTATACAAATAGTTATGACAATAATTATATCATATGATAATTTAACGATAAAATGGTTGAATAAGGATAAATTTAAAAGTAGCCATACTTCCTCATCATTCAAATTAGGATGTTGCCTTCTCTTCTTTCCGGCATACCTCAAAAGAGCAACCATACCCCTCAGACCAAAATCATAATGATCCTGCTTACTCAGCTGCTGTTTCGCAAGCGAGAACAATGTGAATACCTGTAATTAGGAAAAGTTAACACCTGATGAAGGAGAGGAAGGAGAAAAATGAGCACCTGACTTTGGTCAACAGAGAAATCCTAAGGAAACTATTTAACAAATGTTATTAGGACTTAATGAAACATTATTTTAAAAATTAAAGTTTATTTTGTTTTTAATTGCTAAAAAAGGATTAAAATGTATAATGGGACTAATAAATATTTAAAAAAATGAAACCTTTTTGGCCAATGGACGAGTGCTCTTGAAACCTTCACCAAAGAGACGTATTTCGGCAATGAGCATACTATCTGGTATCATCATAGAAATAGGCCTGAACATTGATTTAAGATTGTCAGGAAGTTCAGTTCTTCCAGCGTAACCTGCGTAACAAATCACAAGTAACAACTAAGATCTTTAACCATCCGATAAAACGAGTATAGAATAAGATATTTATATTTTTTAATCTTTCTTTTGATAATAAAGTTATAAAAGAAGAATTTATATAGCGATCCCCTGCGCTCATACACAATTTATCATACTATTTGAATTTTATGTTCTAAAAAAAATTAAAGTTTCGTTTAACAAAACATTAATTATCAATGCATTATATAAGATCAACGCAGATACTGAGCTTTGCTGATAACCTAGACATCATAGATAGATTATTTGCAACCATGAAGGATGTCTTCCTTGACCTTGAAAAATCTGCAGCAAGGCTTGGTCTCACTATAAACCAAACCAAGACCAAGTATAAGATATAAGGGTACCAAATATAACGGTATGCTAGGTAAAACAAGGCCAGATACAAGAGTTAACTTCCAATGGATAGAAAAATTACTTTACTTGGGCACTTTGGTAAATTTCAACAATGACATGTAACCCAAGATAGACTGAACATAATAATAGCCCCCAATAGGAGTTATTTCGGACTTCAGAGACACATGAAATGCAAATCCCTTTTCCGAACAACAAAACTGTGCTTGTACAAGAAGCTAATAAGATCAGTCCTAACCTATGGTTTTGATGGGGAGTTAATTAGTTAGTTAGCATGAGCCTATTTAAAAAGAGAATCAGGGAGGCTTATGGTGCGCGGAAACCAAGAAATACTGGTTTTATAAAAAAAAAAAAACATACTTATTCTAGGCTGTTCCTGGATGGATTCTATGCAAAGAGAAATAATTTGCTAATTAACATGAAGATAAATTCTCTTAAGAAAATTACAGCGATCTATACAGGTCATAGTAAACTGAACTATCACATGTTCAAACTTGGGCTAATGAAGTGAACTCTCTCCAGGTTTTATGGCCGGTAGGATGAAACCGTTTATCTCATCACCTGTTGGTGCAACGCAGGCTCACCGGGATTAGGATTCTGTTAATTAAGAATGACAGATTATTAGACTTCAAGTACAAGCAGCACGTCAAACCGACAAGTTTTTCCAATTTGCTGAGATCGCCGATATAATGCTCTGATTAGGAGCAACATCAATAAAGGCATACAATGAGCCTTCATGGCTGCTGTTCATTTTGCTACAAAAAAAAAATAATAATAATAAATATATTTCCTTCATAACCTACTTGCATGGAATCTAACTTTTAAAAACTTTACTTTAAATGAACCGTTACTTATATATCGTAAGATTTGTAATTGGGATCCTGAGACGCTCCCGTGTCTCCCACCACTACACTGAGTTAGGGTGGCTCTTCCCCTCCTTAAGAAGACAATATTTCCTAGGCACTTTCCTTTATCAAATCATTACCGATCATCGTCCTTCTTATGCCTACAACCTTCTCCAATTTAAGTCCTCAATCCATTCCCTCACAACAAGATCCCAACCCTCTGACCTATACATCCCTTCTCATAGATTACCTCATTCCAAAATTCCTTTATAGCCTGCTCTGTCAACTTTTGGAATTCCCTCCCGATCAAAATTCGACATGCCCCTTCCCTATCCACATTCAAAAACCTCCTATTCCAAAAACAGTCAGATACCAGCTAACTATTAATATTATATATGTATTGTGTAGCAATCATATAATCATAATACTTGGTAAGAGATAGTACATGCATTTCCTACTATTGACATAGGAATTTAAATACATACATTTTTTTGTTTATTCAATTATAATTAACTGTTTATTTTTATATATATTCAAGTAAAGTTTTTTTATTTTATTTTATGAAATGAACTCATTGTATCTCTTTTTCGTTCTTCATTTCTCAAAGTGTATGTTTATGTTGTTCAACCCTTATACATAATTTTGTTCATAATTCAAGTGATTCGTTCATAGTTTTAATTGTTTTGTTCATAATTCTAAATGCTCTGTACATAGTTTTATCTGTATTGTATATAGCTTGTGCACCTAAGGTTTTCTTTATTTTTTATTTTATTTTATCAATTTTATTTATTGTTTCAAACGTTTAGGCCAGTAATATTCCATTATTTTGTACATTATTGTTATTCTGAAGGGACTTAGTCCCTGAATAAAGTTTTTTTTTTATCTATCTATCTATATATAAACAAATAAAAACAAAATTAAAATGATATACCTGGATTCATGGTGATGAAAATGCCACAAGTCTTTACTAAATTGATGACTGACCCTTCGAAGATAAAGTTTTTCAATTTTTGAGAGAGCGCAGAGAGGACTGATAATATTTGTTGTGCGACGACGGATAACACTTCAATGTTGATTCGGTTAAACTCATCAAAACAACCCCAAGCTCCAGTTTGAGCAAAACCTAAATAAAACAACAACAAAAACTATAAATTTATAATTGAAATAATTATGTAAATTTTAGAAAAATAATTATTATAGACATTTACAATGGTTAACATCTATTGTCACTTCAATTCCAGTGTCGTCTGGTTAGGCGTCTGGGACGAGATTTTACAGGGTGGCAAAAATAATGTAAGAATTTAGTAAATTATGAAGAAATTATAGAAACTTGTATAAATTCTAGAAATGTTTTATTGTTTAGTTAATTAAAAAAAAATATTCTTTAAATATTGTAAGGATATTATATGACACAACAGGAAAAAAAATTCTATTTTGAAATAAAAGAATCTATAATATTTTCAAAAAACAAATTTATGAAAAATTTAAATAAATTATTTGTTGAAAAACTGATGCCTAAATTTTTTGTCTATAATTACTTGTCATCACAATGAAAACACAACAATAAACAAAATCATAAAATATACTTCTTTTTCATTAATTTTAATATTGAATTGTACATTCAATAATTGATTTTAATATTTATATTAAAAAAATCTATCAGCCACAAGGGAAATGTGAAATAATAATAAGTTATACACATTGTATAATTTTGACAAGTTTAAAGAGAATTTACTCAAAAACTGTATAAATTCATTTTCTCAAGCAATATATTTCTGAAATAGTAGATATTGACTAACAAAAATTATACAAAAACTAGTAGTTCAAATTTTTAAGTTATCCTTTTACTTAGAGGGCAAATTTGTTAAAGGGATGCTTGTAACTAATAAATTTCTTTTCGCATAAATTTTTTTTATTCTTTCTCTATGTTTGTTACTGGATTATAACACATCAAGCAAATTCGTTTTCACGTTTTGTTTCCTTCGATTCACTTCTTCTTCTTCAATCTTTCCTCAAATAGTTCAGTCTAGGATTAAAAGTATGAGCTTGACGGTATTTTAGGGATCCCCTAGACCACCATACAGCTTCGTCACCAGGTAAGTGGGATTTGGACAAATTTGCTTCCTGATATCCTCCAGCTCAAAGAATGTCTGAAGAATATGATCTTTTGGTCCTTTGTTCTACAATTACAGGACTACAATTTTAAAATTCTCATAAAGGTGCACTCTCAAGCTGTTATAACCCGTTCAGAATCTAAAGAATAAAATTTGCTCATTCCTATTCATTTTATAATAATAATCATCTTCAGGCTTATAATGTGGTGGAGTATCATTCCACTTTTGTTGTACAGCAGCTTTATTTACAGAAATGGCTTCTGAACAGTCTGAGAGCTGTTTACTTGAGGGGACATTTCCTAGTTGGTCAGCTATTTCATTCCCATGCAGTCTGAGGAAGTTTTTTAATTTCTTTAATAAGAGTGTGGAATTCGTATTTCCATTCGGACTTGAGGATCTGAAGTACTGATGTCACATCTGATAGAAATACTCTTTCAGGTACTTAATAATAAGCCTTAATTTGAGTTTTATATTACTGTTGAAGCAGCCAGGCAGCCCTGGTTAATATCGTAAACAGGCATATGATTCTTTAATGGTTTAATATAATAACAGTAAGAATAAAAAATTCATTGAATTTAAACAAAAATGAAAATATTTACCAGAGAAATTGCGCCCCATGCTTTTATAATCCAATCCTTCAGAACAGTTAATGACGATTACGTAATAGGAAAGAGCTTTCCCTAAGTCTTTGACAGTTTCTGTTTTTCCAGTTCCAGCAGGCCCTTTCGGGCTTCCACCTCTATACAGGTGTAAAGCTGTTGTCAGCGTAATGTAGCATCTAAATATTAGAAACACATAAAATAAAACAATTAATCATTTCAAGGTAATGTAGTGCCTAAATATTAGAAACCCATTGTTAAGGCCATATTCATTTATTGTTTTGTTCTTAATTGTAAATAACCTGTTCAGAGTTAATTGTAAATATTCCTTCCGTTTAGTTGGGGAATATAAGCTATCTACACTCGTGAATTTAAAACTAAACCCAGACACTGGATATAGACTTGTTCTGGGTGTTTACTGTCGTTAGGAATTCAAGAACCTAATGCTTTTGTTTGAACCTAAGGCTGAGACTGGTGGTATTTGGGGAGGAACAGATGGATCTCCCCAGAAGATATAGGTCGGTCAATCCAACCAGCCTACTTAGATACGCGGAAGCGACAGGATTAACGTTTTAAACAAAACGACTAACTGAAATTGGCACACAATGGACCCAGTAGGGGTCGACATGCTTAAGGCCAACAAATGAAAAAAAAAAAAAAAATGCTTTTGTGACACTGAGTGAGAAGAAACAATAAGAATATATATATGAAATGTGGGACGTAATAAATACACTTTGAATGAATTGACTCACCTGGTTTGTTATTCTTCAATCGTGAGGCATATAGGACAACTAAATAAATAAATGACTTTTCACTCCGGTATAAAAAAATAATTTATTTTTACAACTGTAATAAATTGACTCTATTTAAGTGTTATAACTATAGGCTTGATATTCTAAATCTTGTAGTAAACTTCTAACATCGTTCCGCCCCAATGTCCCAGCCTCAAGTGCCTCTTCTCTCCAGCGTTCTCCTCCAGCTGTTGCTACCTGCTCCGCCCTTTTTCCAGCGTCCTTCTTCATCGATATGAGACTTTTCAATGAATAATTTGTCCACTGCATAATTGAGTACAATTCATCGTGCAACCTCGCATTCCTATATATTATATATTCCTTCTCATTACCTCACACAATGTCACCTAAAGGAGTAAATACAGTGGGATGTCTACTATAGTTTACTTCTTAACTATAAATAATCTGTTCAGGATTATTTGTAAATATTTCTGTTTGGCGGCAATTATAAATATTCCTTCTGTTTAGTTGGGAGTCTAGGTTATCTACACTCGTGAATTTTAAAACAAAACCCAGCACTGGATATAGACTTTTTGTGGGTGTTTACTGTTGTTGGGAATTCGGGAACCTAATGCTTTTGTGACACTGAGTAAATACACTTTGAATGAATTGACTCGCCTGGTTTGTTGTTCTTCAATTGTGAGGCATACAGGTTAACTAAATAAATGAGTTTTCACTCCTGTACAACAAACAAAATTTTATTTTGAAAACTGTAATAAATGAATCTATTTAAGCCTTATAACTGTAGTACTTCAGTGTAGTAGGCTTCTCTCCTCAGTTAACAACCTTCCTTCTTCCTCTCCCGGCAAGAAGTGTTTTCTTTGTTCTGCCAGCGTCCTTCTTCAGCTGCTGTCACCTAACGGCCCTTTTCCAGGTTTCTTCCTTTCTCTGTTCTGTACCTTTTTCGTCGATTGTTTATCGATTAGATACTTTTCAATAAATAACGTGTCCACTGCATAATTGAGTACAATCCTACATTCCTATACCTTCTTTCTCATTCCCTCATTTAATGTCCCATATAGGAGTAACTGCTAGAGACCATCTACTACATAACGTTTATGTTCGAAATGCTATGGGACAGTAGCACCATCTGCTGGTCATTATGAAGGCGCCATCTATTGGCGGAATGTTGAAACAAATTCCTGCAGATTCTGTTGAATCTGGTGTGCATTCAAAGTGAGCAGATAGACAACACCTACAAGAGAAGTGGCTAGGGAGAGACAGGAAATATGTCGGCAGGCAGTGGAAGAGAGGGATGACAGAGTAGCGGCAAGAAAGATACACAGGATAAGGCAATTAACAAAATTCACCAAGCAGAAAATCTCAAGTACATCCAATCATTAAAAACTAACCCATTTACCATAAATGTTTATAATTAGGAACCCCATTAACCATTCAAGTCCAGCAGATGTAAAATTTTAATTTATAGTTCATTTTTCCTTAATTATATATTTATTTTCTTCTTTACCTTAATTTTAATATTATGTTGAACATCCCTACTGATCTGTTTTAGCTGTAGGTTTGTTTCCTCCCTGCTAGGATAAAGGAATGCCCACTGCATTCAACCCACATAAAAAATATGATGATTCATTTCAAGTAATATACTAATTAAAATTATTAAATAATATATTATATGACTCATACACCTATAATATGTGATCATATACCCAATGCTCCTCCATTACTATAAATCCTAAACCACATTAACACTAAACATACCATAACGGGTCAAATGACCCATTTTGAACTTTTCCATTGAAAATAATGTATAATTTTATTGCGTTTGCACATTTGACTTCATGACTTTTTCTAAGTAATTAATGTACAGTTATAAAAATATTTTTGTTTTGTTTTGTTTATTCTGAGTAATCCTTGTTGTATACCGATATCTACCACAACAGGTCATTTGACCCGGAGAGAATTTTTTTGTTTTATGAGATTATCTAGTCATATTTGTAGTCAGTAAGTTGCACATTCTTCCAAAGACTGTTGCGTAAAGTAGTTCAACGAAAATAGCTCAGAATAATTTCAAGAAAATATCAAATTTTAGATTGAAAATAGCTTTTTAGTGTAAGAAAAAGTGGCAAAAATTCCAAGTCTTGGTAAGTACCTAGCTTATATTTTATTTTGATAGCTATAGTAATACAGATCATTTTTTACCCAGAAAAATGTCGAAGCAAACAAGACAGTACAAGTTCTTAGAAGATATAAATAATATTGGCGAAGAGTTTTCAGAAATTAGTGAAGATGAATTTTCTGAAAATGAAGATATATCGGTTGCAAATAAAAATGAGTTTGATTCTACAGATACTGACGATGAAGAGGAAAATATTGTGAATGTATGTAGTGGCCGAAAAAGAATAAGATTACTCACAAGTTCGAAAGAAAGTGAAGTAGAAACAAATGAAGAAAATGTTGCGAATGATGGATCTGTTTGGCAACAAATGCAAGTAGGTGAGCACAACAAGAGCACCACTTCATACATTTTTGCTTTTGTAATAGAAATGCTCAACATACTATTTTGTTTAATCATAATAAATTTAATTTTTATTTTTATTTCCTTCCTAACATCCATATTTCATACATTCAAGCATGAAACATAAAGTCGGGTCATTTGACCCGCTATGGTAGAAATAGGTATATATTAAGTCTTGGTATGATTAGTGTTAAAGAATAAGAAACAATTTTAAGTCCTCAGAACCAAAAATCCTTCCTAAAACTCCTTACTCTATCTAATCACTTAATACCAGACCTCAACCTATACAACCACTTCCTTCAGCAAATCCTTCATCATTTGTTGTATCTTATTTTGAAACTCCTTACCTGTCGTCAAACGACAATCCTCATCCACCAATTCCTTCAAACAACTCCTATTCCACAACCTACTTCATGTTTCATGTAATTTTGAATTACAATTGCTTATTAAATGTTAATTGACAAGTACCACTTTATTTTATTTCTAAATTCTAGACTAATGTACATATTTCTTGATCTTATTATTACAAGGGGATTTTAGTCTCAGAATACAAATATTTTTCATACAAGCTTCAGATGTTTGAAAGAAAAGTCTCCTGCAGATTAAGGAGGAGGAGGAACAGGAAATGAATGGAGGAGATTGAGTATGCAGAGTTCTTGGATATCAATAGAGAACCTCATGTAGTAACAATTCTCCACTCAGGAAGTTTACATAGAGAGTTGGAGATGTGGTCTGGAAGGGAAGCAAGAAGATACTATTTCAAATATGGCTTAGTGAATCTAAAATAAATCACATACCTGTCGGTTAATGGAGTGATGGCGAGCCTATCAGGATTTCCCAAATATTCATATCCATAGCGAAAGAGGGTGTTGGTTTGCCTCACGTTACAAATGCACAAATCTTTGTCCCAATAGAACCGCAATTGTGACAGCCATTCAAAGGCACTTACATTCATACATTCTAAAAAAAAGTAGATTAAAAATAATTCTAACAAATACAGAACACAAATACTTTCATTACAAACTAAACATTGTCAAATTGAGATAGCTTCTTCCATTCCAGATTTCTTCTTACCACTTATTCCATAAAACAGGGCCATGGTGTACTAGATTAATCAAATTAGTCTTTGATTGTAATTTATTGAACATGAATTATTATGACTTGCCTGGTTTCTTAGGAGAATAATATATTGCTGAAGAGAGGGACAAAGATTTTCCAAAACGTTCAATAAATTACAATCAAAGACTAATTTGATTAATTTATACTGACTATAAAGCGAATATCTTAGTTTGAAATATAAAAGTATAAGAGAAGAAAGACGTAGAACAATAATAAAAATATCACAATATGCTAAGAAAATGTTTTTGTTATAAATAAATGAATAAGACGAGTATATCAAAAGTAAAATTAAATAAACCAAACAATTAAATAATTAGTGTAAATAAAACAATTCAATATACAAGAAGTACGCAAAAGAAAACATATATAAATGAAGATTAATAAATACGGTTCATCACCTGCCAGCACAATAATGTAAAGCGTCGAATTGCCGAATCCCTGGAGAAGAAAAAGAACAGTTTCGTAAATAGAATGATTTAGAGATGGGTATAGGATAAAAAAGGTAATGGATATGGGTCAGGATATGCAGTAAAAATTTTATTTATTAAATCTTCCAATTTTTCAAGGGCATTTATAATTAATAAAATTAATAATTTTGAGAAAATAACTTTATTTAACCCTTACACCTTCTCTCCATGCTTCAATTCATTTTTTTTTTTTGACGTTTCAGGCAATTTTGCCCATTTTCAAGTTGAAATATTTATCTATAATATTATAATAAAATAATCACAAATATATATGTATGTAAAAGACTCTTCCGAAAATTCACCAGTTAAAAGTGGAATCACTCCTCTACTCCCGAACCTTAGTCCCCGAACAAAATATTCTCTGTCACCACCTATATTTCTCTTTGAGGTAAGGTATACATTTTTTATAGATTTGCTCTTTTTATTTTTGTACTTTGAGATCTTTATCCTCATCATTTATTTAAAATCTAATAGTAGATTCAACTATCAGAACCTCTTTTCCTTTCACATAAAGGCTAAGATATCTAAGAATCTCGCTGAACCTTCCGATCATGGCAATACGCTGCCAGAAAGCATCTATTCTTTTTCGTTTCCAGGAATTCGATGCTTTATATTATTGTGCTGGCAGGTGATGAGGAACCGTATTTATTAATCTTCATTTATATATGTTGTTTTCGCGTACTTCTTGTATATTGAATTGTTTTATTTACACTAATTATTTGGTTTATTTATTTTTACTTTTGATATACTTGTCTTATTCATTTATTTATAACAAAAACATTTTCTTAGCATATTGCGATATTTTTATTATTGTTCTACCTTTTTCTTCTCTTATAATTTTATATTTCACACTGATATATTTGCTTTATGGTCAGTATAAATTAATCAAATTAGTCTTTGATTGTAATTTATTGAACGTTTCAGGAAATCTTTGTCCCTCTCTTCAGCAATATATTCGTCTCGTAAGAAACTGGGCAAGTCACAATAACTCATGTTCAATAACTTACAATTAAAGACTAATTTAATTAATTTATCCTGACCATAAGGCAAATATATCAGTCTGAAAAGAACTGAATACAGGAAAGCTTTTATGTTTATCATTTTTCTGATGGTAGTTTGTATATTTTAATTTTTAGCCCTGACAATGACCCAATTTGGGTGGAAACATCGGCAAACTCAATAAACAAATTTTTGACTGCACATCTTGACTTGATTTTTCATCCTTATTATTATTAAATTCATAAAAATGGCTGTGATTAAAATGTGAGATTTAGTATAATATTTAAATCATAATAGCCTAAGGAACATTTCCTATAATTAATTTATTTTTGGACCAATCGTATACTTCTATATTAACAATAAATTATTGTTAATATATAAGATATACATGATCATTTAAATATATAACATAAATCATGGTGTGTAATTAATATAGATAAAATTTTAAAAATGACTTACTTGCCCTAAACATGGCATCAATCACATCTCGTGCGTGGATTTCAATAGTAGCTATTGCCTGAATTTTCAGCCTCGGAAGTTTTCCCAAGTCTCCACGAATTAGTTCTAAGTATTGGTTGAGGTAATATGTCTAGAAAAGTTGTAATAAAAGTTATATAAAATAATGAATAAGTATAGAAAACAATAAATGATTTTGAGAAAATAAAATATTGATTAAACAGTGGGTTTATTTGATTGAAAACCAATCTAAGTGTATGACAGGACCTTTCTGTTCTTCTACACCATTGACCATAGATTTGTGGTGGTTATAATCAGGAATTGAAACTTTTGAATTGAAAGTTTTTGTGAAACTTTTTAGGAAAAAGTTTTTAAAATAAAAATCCTAAGGAACCTTTTTGTGAATAAAGTTCCAGGTTTACGGTAAAAGTTGAAGTTGTATTTATTTAAGTTCTTGAAAAGATTAGAGTTATATTATATTTGTCTTAAATGAATCACATGTGATTCTAATATGTTGTTTGTTTGTGGAACAATGAATAAAAGTAACTTTTTAGACAGACTTTTTAGTGAAATAAAAAAAAAGTTTAAATAACAGTTTTTAAAAAACAAAAGTTCTTTAAAATCTTTACTTGAAAGGTTGATAGGCAAAAGTTCTAGTTCCAAAAGAGCTCAAAAACTATCGACAACAGTTCATTCCATTTCAAGCTCTTATAATAATCAATATAACAATAATTGACATATTAGCAACTGCAAACAAAAAAACTATACCTGCGTCTTTCTCAGAGTCTTCAATGGTTCAGGACTAAGTCTGATGTGAGATAAAAGGAGTGCTTTAGTGCAATCTGTCGTCCAACGTATCTGTAAATGTAAAATGCTGAATATGTAATATAATAGTTTTAAAAGTTTTAACTATATTAAAAAAAATGGCTAACCTGACTCGCGGTTATACACATTTGCCCAGGGTTCTCCACAATCCATTTATCCCTCTTGAATTGCATTTTTTTTAACTTGAGGGTGACGTGAAATAGCAAATCTTTTAACGTGTCTCTCATCACAGTTTCTGGTTTATTGTGAAAAAACAGAACAAAAACAAATAAATAAATAAAAGTATTACGAAAAAAAAGGGTTGTAAAATCATCAATAAGATAGAGACGAATTTCTCTACTTATAGTACCTCTCCTCCAAACTCATTTTTAAAATAAGTAAGCTTATAGTAATATATTTTAAATTGATATTAATTTATTGTACACAAAATAAATTAACTAAACAAGAAATGAAAAATTATTGTTGAGTAAATGTCTAGTCTCCTGTAGTAGATAACCTTAACCTAATTATTTTGTGACATCAAGTAGCAAGAAATAATAAGTACTGTAATATCTCTCTTATATTTGTAACTAGTAATAATACCTCGTGGAAGATCACTTTATACTTTTGGGATACTTTCTAAATAAATAAAAGGTTCTTCAATATATTAAATTGAAATTTATAATTATATTATCTCAGGTATGGGTTACTGACAATCAGATCAAAATACTTGGACAAACTAAAATTAACTATGCTAAACACTGTTTGAGTTTAAAATAAAGTCCAGTATGGATTGGCAAGCTAACCTTTTTTCTATATAGACTGTTTCTTCCTTTGTGTCACTGAATTCATTTTGTCTTTTAACATTTTCCTATGTTCTGCCAAACACATCTTCCAAAATGGTAACACTTCCATCCCTACACAACTCAAACTCCCTGGGAGATCCTCTCTCTTGTAATTCCAAATAACTAGTGACACTGTCAAACAACAACTTCCAGGATGGTAATACTATTACTGGGTTTTTCCCACTGGAGCCAGGATTCATAACAAAACCCTTTGTCCCGTCCCCTCTTTGGGATTTTCCTTTTTGGAGAAACTACAGAGCAGATATTTTCTTTTCCCTGAACTAGTAGAACTAGATTAGCTTGCCTTTTACTTACTGTTTAACATTAATTTATTAAACTATTATTACCAACTCCCAATTAAAGTGTATGTTACAATATGTTGTTAGGTTACGTTCCCTTTGAAAATTAAACAAAACAGTTTGTGAATAAAATTATGTTTATTTTAGGCAATAATTATTTCTCAGGTTGGGTTGAGACAATAAACACACATCCTCAATGATACAATATAAAAGCATACATTAATAATACAGCAAATTTATGAATTTCCATTGTTTGTTGGAGTCTCATCTTGGCGGGCTTTCGAACTGTCCATTTATATTTCACTCACCCTGTTCTGCCGTGAATCTTCCTCGGTATTGTACCCAACTTCTAAAACTTCCTCTTGTTCTATTATTTTCTTTTCTTCGTCTAGTTGTAGACACCCACTACTTGTTAACTAACATTTCCTTCTTACCGATCCTCTTTACTAGCCGGCTGGCTACCTTCTGTCCTAACATATGGAACTATTTCCCCACCATCTGTCATTCTTTGTCCATTTTTGGCAGTAGTTCCTGACATCGCTAGCTTCGCGCCACAATTCAAAATTACTATGTAATATTTATATTACAATATATATATATATATATATATATATATATATATATATATATATATTTTTTTTTTTCAGAATGTGCTACAGACCATGAAGATCTTTGACTGCGAGTGTGGTCTCCTAGACCACATCCCGATTCCCCATTTAAAGTACGGGGTAGGGTCATCAATCCTACACCCGGTTGGTGTGAGTTGCCTCCAGTAAACTGATTGACAGACCTCACATACCGTGGAGGGGAGAGGAATCTCGGGCAGTGTGGCTTTCCATGGTGAACGGTCACCCATCCAAGTGCTAGCCACACTCGGTGTTGCTTAACTTAGATTACCTATTGCAAATGACTTAGCCCGGAAGGCTACCCTAGCCCTTGTGTGTGTGTGTATATATATATATATATATATATATATATATATATATATATATATATATATATTTATTATTTCTTGCCATTCAATGTCACAAAAGAATTAAGTTTCTGAATTCCCAATAGTAGTCAACACACTCAAAAGTTTATCCAGAGCCGGGGTTTTGTTTTAAAATTAAAAAATTCATGGGTGTAAATAATCAAGAGCCATGTGCAAATGGAAGGTTATTAACACTCCTTAGAAATCTTAAACCAAAGCAAAAAACTGAGATGATAAATTATTTCAAATATATTTATTAACATAAATAAATCATTCATTTATTGCAAAAAGTCACTAAGTACATTTTAGATGGAGTTGTTTTAAGTACATATTTGTGAATTTTTATTGTATTTATCAATGTAAAAATTCATTAAATGCATCAAAATAACATAAACTCTACTTAAAAAAAAAAGTGCATCATTTTTGATTTCACAAATGGAAAAGTCATCGAAGCACTTAGTGATTTAATTTTTTAAAATGTTAGTTAATGACTTTTGGCAATGAATAGATGATATTTATTTTCAGGTAAACAAAATATTATTTTAATTTATATATATTAATAGAAAAGATAAAATAAATTTTACCAACAAGACAAAGCCAACATTCAACTGGGCCAGCTAACACAATTGGTCGTAACCATGCAACATATTCTCCTTCAACAGAGAACATACCGATACCATCTGTCTCATTGTAAGAAGCCTAAAACAGTTAAATTAGTTCACTAAATAATCTTTTATCAGGGTGGCTACCAGACAGTTAAAGTAAAATTTCCTGACATTTTCCTATTTAATGATAATTTTCCCTACCCAATATATCTGGGGACACAAATATTGAAAATGTATATTTTATAACAAAATTTATTGATTATACATGAAAGAAAATTGACTACTAAGTAATTACAAAAGGGGCTATGGTATTTCAGTGAGTTAAGGTGCCTGCAAAAACTTTATATCAAGTGTTCAAATCCCATTCGAGTTGATAACACAAAAAATAAATAAAATAATTGATGAGTGCAGATCCTACTAGACTACTTTGACCACAACGGCACAGTTCGATTCTCGCATGGAAATTGTAATATCTTCATCCTGAGATTCATAGGGAGGTGAGAGACCCCTGTGCCTTACATCATAGTTCCTGGTCCTCCAAGGCGGGGATTGGATATAGGACTGATAATCCTCCATACTATAAAAAAACTGAATCCAATAAAATATCCTGATAAAAAATCAGGTGTAAATATTAAAAATTTAACAAAAGAACATTTAAGTTGGGCAGACTGGACTTATTTACAAATTAAATGAATCCGTACATATATTATTACAATAAGACTCGAAATCAGTTTTGTACCAAATATAAGCTCCTGTCATGCTCAAATACCATGAATGGGATACTATTGGATTCAGAATTTCACAGGGGGTTAGCGAATCGTATTCTCCACTTTTGTTTTTCTTTCTAAAATAAATAAAGTCGATACAAACGTTTTGCTAGGCTTCAATACCTGAACAGTGGTAGGTCTGTAGATCGATACGGGACAAATTGGATCTAGAAGATTTTGATGCGTACAGCAAGACCCGGATAGTTCCTCCGGAACTATCGGATCCTGCGTTTTTAAGCCCCAAAACGTACTATTTTTGAGATAACGCAAGGCATTGGGTTCGCATCCACACAACCTTACATTAATTGTAGTACTGTCATTGAATACATGTCTCATTTCGTTGAATTGAGGTCTCTATGATCGAGAGAGGAGGAGTTTATATTATTTATCGATGGTGTTTTTGTTCGGCAAGATTGAGCCACCAATTTCGAAGGCTTACTTCTCCTTCAGGCTGGCAAAACAGTCCAATCACCCCAAAAATTCAGGCAAAGAAGTTATTAAAGAAAACAAACTTTATTTGCGAATAACTGAAAAATTACACACTTTTCCCTTGGTCATTTCCATGATTATATATAAGATTACTCAATTTCCTACAAAAGGAAAAAAAAATCATCGAAATCGGACAATTTTTAGCAAAGATACAGCTTACTGTAATTTGTAAACATGTTAGTTCCAAAAAAAAAATGAAGATTTAAATTAATTTTTGTTTTCTTTGTCGATTATATTTATCGATAAAGTAACATTTGATTTCTTTATCTTTTGATACGTTGCATTATTTTATTTTCTTATTAATCTGGCATTTGATAACAATATGCTGTGCGAATTTTTCGCACGGGTCTACTAGTTTGATTAATTACATTAATAAATGTTTCTTACGTTTTCAACCATATTAATCTTATATAAATTGTCAAAACAACTTTTTATGTACGGTTGAACAAGATCTAAATTTTTAGAATTTCCTAAAAGATCAAGTAGAGCTTCATTCGATAAGAAATAAAATCTTGGGAATATGTGACGTTTAGTTTCAATGTATTGATCTAATGATTTCTGAATTTCTTCCATTTTGACATACATTTGCTTCAAAGTGTTAAGTATTCCTAAAAATCAAAAGAAATATATTTATTCGAACATGAAATACAATGTGATAATAAAAAAATTAGTGCTAAATCAGCCATACCTGGATAATGGCAAGCTTTATAGCAGTTCTTATCAGCCTGTAGATTTAACGTGACTGTACGCCAAATATACGTAAGTTTATCAAAGTCATTGGCCTCTCTCGGAAGCTGTCTTCTTATATCTTCACCAAAAAAAATATTCTGCAAAGAAAAAAGAAATAGTCATCATAGATAATTAAAATAATTTGTTAAGAACATAAGTAAATACTATATTAGTAAACACAGACTCAGTAACACGAACTTTGGCAGTTAGAACACTCCAAAAATACAAACTAACTGAGAGGAAAAAAAACTGGTACTGTGCATACATCATACAACTTTCACTTACCACCCTTTAATTTAAAAGAAATAGGTAATTCAGAGAAAGGAAGTGAAAGTAAAAAATATAATTTAAAAATAACCATTTCACAGCCATAAAATGTATAATATTTATGATTTTTTCATCACAAATCATTTCCTTTAATTATTTATTTTATTATAATAAATAGTTAAGTGCCTGATAAGAGTGCAGCTTTATTTATTTATATTTCATTGTAGTTATTTTCATTTGTAATACATTGGTTTATATACAAATTTTAATTTTTATATTGCTGTAAATTAAGTAATTAAACAATACCAATAAAGGAGTATTCAAACGCTCCTTTCAATCCCGTGCGTCCGACCTCTATCCTCCCCCTCACCAAACTACTGCATTCGATAAATCCTTTTTAATACAAGTTGTCTCCCTCTGGAACTCTATACCTCTATACCTTCAGATATTCGACATGCAAAATCGATATCCTCATTCAAATATCTCCTCTTCGAACACCTACTCCATTCCCAATCCGATTGATCACGAAATGCTCTTAAAAACCTCAAAGTACACCCAGATACTCTGATTATTTTGTAATTCATAGATATTTCGTTCACTTAATTAATTTCTATGTATATTTTATATTTACACGTATTTATATCTTTTCATCATTTATAACTTTATTGTACTCCGAATCAACATGTAAATATTAAATAATATTTCATGGACACACCAAAATATTGATATATATTCTGTATTTGTGACTTGTTCTAAAGGGACACTAGTCCCAGAATAATAAAATTATTTTCATTTCATTTCATTTCAATACCAATGCTAGCATTTATGAAAACCGGACTTGTATATTGTAATATACACCTTTATTGGAAGTGGGCAAAAAGGATTTAATAAATTAATGTTGAACAGTTAAAAGGCAAGCTAATCTATTTTCACTAGTTCAGGGAAAAGAAAACGGCTGCTCTGTAGTTCCCCAGAAAGGAAAATTCCAAAGAGGAGAAGGGACAAAGGATTTTGTTTGAGAAGCAGTTGGTGTTTGGCCGTGGTGAAGAGAGGATGGGAGGAGGGATCCTGGCTCCAGTGGGTAAAACCCAGTATTAGTATTATTTATTAGTTAATATTAGTCTGTCTGAGTTTTTTAATCTGATTGTCAGTAACCAATACCTGAGATAACATAATTATGAAGTTTAATTTAATATATTAATATTATTATAATTTCTTTTTTATTTAACTATCTCTTATTTAATTATTAGGAAGTATCCCAACAGTATAACCTTCCAGGAGGTTATATTATTAGTTTAAAATATAAGAGATATTATAATACGTATAGTCATTCCTCTTCACTGTCAACTTTCAAATACCTCCTTTTCCAATATCTCCTTACATCCCAAACAGACGATTCACAACCATAAATTTCATTTTATGTACTAAATTTGTGAGAAGTAAATGGTGGTGCCTACTTTTTAAGTTTTAACATAAAACAGCAATGATCTTTGACTATTATTTTTACTATTTATTCGTTTTTCTCCTCGCCTCAGGTTGTAGTTTTTCTTTCGGGTACATATGTTTATATTTTATACTTTTTGTCTCTCTGTGTACCAATATGAGTATGTACGTATACATAGTTCCTTTTTTTTTTTTCCTTTACGCCACAAGTAAAAGAAAGCCTATTGTTTATAAATTGTGCAGTTATGTATATATAGATATGTAATTTCTTTTTTTTTTTTTTTTTTCATCACAATAATAAGTAATTTTGAGAAGATTTTATGTTCATTTATATATATATATATATATATATATATATAAGATATATATATATCTTTTTTTCTGTTTATTTCTTAGTGGTTACAAAATACTTTTTAAATAATGTATCTAATATTCCAATTTTTATAAGTTAGTTTTTGGCTAGATTTGTATTTTCTTTTGTATTAATTCATCTTTGTTATTCTAAGGGGACTTAGTCCCAGAATAAAGTTAAATTTTCTATTCTATTCTATTCTAATATTATATCTGTCCACATTTTATTAAGCATATGCTATGTATGGATGCTTCTCCTTTAGTTAATAATTTAATTTTTTTATATTTAAATATTTTTTTTTATCAGGTTACAATGTGGGATGGCTAATTATTAAAAAATAAATGGGCCGTGTGCCACATTGAGACCTCCACTAAGTCCTCCACAAAGGGCCGCATTGGGACGTCCAATAAGAACCATGGATTATGATAAAGAAAAAAAATCTGTCCTATGAATGACACAAGATTTTAAATTTTAATATTAATTTTTCTCAGTGATTGCGAAGCCCTAGCAAACTTCCTAACCATATTACCTAGTCAATTATTTCTCTAGCATTATAATAAATATTTCATTACCTCAAGATAAAAGAAAATCTTCTGTACGGTGAGCGACATATCTAAAACTTCTTGCACGAGGGCCAAACCTTTTTCCCAGTAATTAACTTCATTCAAGAATATTTGAACATAACTGTAAACATTTTTTTAATAGAATTATGAATTATGAACCATTGAGTTAATAAAAAAAAATACTTGGTAAACTGTGAACTTCACTTACCGTGTTGTTTTCATTGAACTAATTGAAGTTTGATTATCTTCTAAAGCTTGAAATATTTCGTCAACGCCGATTAGCTTGTACAAACCTCTATCTTTGTGAGGGATGAATTGCAACACAATCTCAGCCCACTGATCACTAATTTTACGAAGCGTCTGAAAATAGGAATTACAAAGAAATTCAATTAAAAAAAAAATCCTAACATTATCCACTAACAAGAAATGAAGTCCTTTTATGAAAATTGGCTAAAGTCTTCTCTTTTAATTCATGAATATAATATACTTCCGTGAAAAGAGGCTGAAGAAAATGTAACAATGATTTTAGAGTTTTATTTGTGAATAACTCAAAATGCAAAAACATTTTAGTTCATTAAACTTATGTTATGTATTGAACATAGAAAATAATCTTTTAAAATTATTATGAGGTGCCGAAAACAAAGTTAAAATATGCTGACACCAAACACATCAGCTGATATAAAAAAAAAAAAAAATCATAGAAATCGAAAAGGATTATGTCTGATAAGATATTTTTATTGCATTTTTTCGGTTTATATTTTTTAGGAGAGCTCAATTATGACAAATTTATATTTAGAATATAGCTATAGTATGATTACAATGTTGAAATGAAACAATTTGAAGCGACTTATGGATTCAGAATTTTACTTGCAAATAACTCACTTCACTGTTCTGTATTGTAAGTACATATAAAAGTGTATGCAAGAATATAAAAGAGTAGAAAAAAACGATGGAAACATGCAAATTCATTTATGTTTTCTTCAAATTTTCAATAATGATTATGGCCAAACATTAATAACAATAATAAAGGTTCAAATAATGATAAAAATAAAGGAGAGAAATCTTAGGGTCGAAATTTTCAGTATTTGTCCCACTCCTAACTGATCATAAAACTCAAGCTTAGGTCAAATTTTCTTTTTAATCTCATCCAGATTAACTAAATTTCCTCATGATAATGTCCCTAATTAGATGGACTCTACATAATGGTTGAGTAAATTAAAGGAAGCTTTGTTAGCATCAAAGAAGAGAATAAGCATAATATTTAAATAAAACTATAACAAACAGGAAACTATTCACAAACAGATAAGAAAATTAGCATAATAAGTAAGCAAAAACAACACTCTTCTTTTTACAGTCTCATTTATTTTATAACGCACGTTCAAAGCCCAGAGTACGACCGTAAATGAGAACGTAAACTACAATAGGGGTACTCTCTCCTCCTATAGTAACTTGATAGTTCCTCCTACAGTGACAAATAAATTCTTATTTCTGATAAATTGCAATAGACTAAATGATAACACAAGGCATGTGTGCAAAGAACCGTTGTAGCCCAGCAACCTGATATATGAGATAATTTGATTAAAATAGTTTTGAGTTCATAATACGTTGGTGTCGAGGGGGTCTTTTAGCTCTGGCATTAAACCTCCTGTCCCGGGAAAATCTCTGTACAGCCTAAAAGGCGAGGAAGGGGAAAACAAAAGAAAAACAATTTCTATTACACCATGTTTTATATATTTTTTTTTACTTTTGATTTTTTAAATCACAGATGCAACACAGCAATTTGCAATGATTGAAAAAATTTATTTAAAGACAAAATCCAAAAATAGATGGAATGAGTGTTGGAAAGTTATGCAGAAATAAGGCAAATTTTGGGTGACAATTAGCAATTTTAATGTATAGATGTACAAGTATTCTTTTAAAAAACATTTTAAATGGATATGGCGCAGGACACCGTTCTTTATTTTAGCTCCAAAAGATAAAATAAATGAAACTCCAACAAGAAGGGTCTTGTTTTTTCCTTACTTCAAGAATAATTACACAGTCTACCTACCTAATAAACATTAGTGTAATAATTTATTGCTGAAAAAAGGAAAATTAACAAGTAAAATTAAATTTACATACATTTTCAATGTTCAACTCGATAGTGGCACCATTAGAAATTTCATGAATATAATCTGCAAAGTCCTGCATTTGTATACCGATAATATAATCTAATGTAAAGTTATCTGCTGTTTCATCAAAAGTACTGAAAAAGAAAAGAAATATATCAATTTTATTTTTAAAATATTCTAAATTACAAAACATAATTAAATGAAAAGTTCTACTGTTTGTACATCTCAATGGGTGATTGTTAAAAGGGATATTAGTCACTTTTTTTATTTTTATATACCTAAGTTAAATTTAGATCTGCAATATCTAAGGATCCATACAACTGTTTTATATCAAAGGTACTTCATTTTCATAATTGTGGATTGAAGGTTGACTGTAGTATAATCATATTTATTATCTGTGAGGCATCGAAACTAATAAGAATACTAAAAGAGACCTAAAAACTCAAAAATTGTTTTCCTTACTGAAGCAGTATTAGTATTACAATCACTCAGGTCGAAGTGGAGCAAAAGTCTGAAAAAACTTGCCAAAGATCTTGAGGACTTGATGTCCCTTTACAAGAAAGTTGTCCTGCAATGGATCCCTGGACACTGTGGTATCTATGGAAACGAAAGGGCAGACCAGCTAGCAAAGGAAGGGGCCTTGTATTGTAAGATCAGCTTAGACAAGGTAAAAATAATCAATAAAGCGATTATTAATCAACGTTGACTCAGAAGTCATCTACTTCACGACCCCAGAGATGCGATCTATGAACTAGAGATGCGATTTATGAACTAACTCGACGAGATCAGGTCTTGATCTTTCGCTTACGAACTGGAGACAACAGGCTCAAAGCTCACCTATTCAGTAAGTTCAAAATTGACTCTAGTCCCCTCTTCGAGTGTGGTGAGGGTGTACAGAATGTGGAACATATCCTGCAAACGTGCATGGCCTACTCTAAGCAAAGGAGGGTGATCTGACCCTCTCCAACAGAAGTGGAAAGGAATCTATATGGAAGTCTGGAGGACCTGAAGAGGACTACCGAATTCTTCATTTTAGTTCCTGACCTAGCCATATAAGGAAGAAGTATATTTATTTTTACTTTTGCTGATTTTTCAGCACAAAGCTGAAGCCTTCATCAGGGCTAAGAAAAAGCAGATAACAATAGGTATGAGAAACTATTAATATTAAAAAGAAAAATATGTAGGTGAAAGGTTTGGTACTTTTAGTCTAAGGGGCCGTTTTGAAACCTCACTTCTTATCTATCTTATCTAACGTCATGTCATCATGTTACATAACCTTCCTCTTCTTATCCCGCCAAACTTTTGAGTTATTGCATTGTTTGGTTTTCAGTTATTCCCTTATTACGTTCACTTATTAAATTGTTTACTTTTGGCCCGTTAGTGTTTATTTTTAGTTTTTGGCCCGTTTGTGTTTATTTTACATTTTTTTTTAGTTTGTGACCCCTTGGTGTTTATTTTTCATTTTTTTTTTCGTTAAGTTAAAATAAATAAGAAAAAAATAATAGTTAAAATAAATAAGACAAAAGGAAGTGAATAATTAACTTAAAATAATTTGTATATACGTTGTTTATAGTGTTTATATTTTTTCTTTTCTATGTAAATATGTTCTTTTAAATTTGTTATGATGCCGATGTTATGATTATAATTTGTTATGATGTTTGATGTTTTATATGTACATATCTTCTTAAAGTGTTTTTTTATTATTTAATTAATATATTTGCCGTCAAATAAAAGTATTTTTGTTGTTATTACATTTGTTTTTGTATCTGTTTACACTTTCAATAATACGAATTTAATACAATAATACGAAGATGTGAAGTAGGAGAAGGCTTATCACTGCGTTATGGGAGCTATCAGTGTTCAGGTTATAAACATTGCCAGATAGCAGTCAGTAGCGGCCCCTTAGACTAAAAGTACCAAAGGTTTAATCTAAAAAGTGTAGGTAGAATAAACTTAATGTGAAATAATGTAAAAAAAACAAAAAAAAACTGTATCACTACAACCCATAAAGGGTCTGGGGTACAGTACTATTTAAGGAAAGCAATGTTTATTGGTCTACAGTTGTTGCAAGGAGGTGATTTGACCGAGATCACGCTCAACCGCCAGGATTTTCTCCTTAACTAATTATTTAATTAAGACTACCAATTTTCTAGAGATTGGGTGTGCCCCAGGAGGGTCTACCCACCCAGGGTCGCCCCACGGCCGATGAAACAGAATAAATAATTTTTCTGCCATGAGACGGGATTCGAACCTGGGACCTTTAGCATTGGAAGCTCATTACCGTACCACTGAGCTACCCCACTCCCTGAAATAAAGTATAAACTTAAAGAAAATGTAAAATAACGATAAGAAAGTTAGGAGTAAAAGCGATTTTTTCCTAAAAAAAAAAATTTTAAATTTTTTAAAATTGGACAATTAGGAGCAAAGATATGGTCTGCGGATTTTTTATTTCTTTTTCTCTCTCTACTCCAAATGTTATATCCTTGGTATGGTTTTTAAATTTTGAATGTGTTACTGAAGTAATGCTATTTTTTTTTTGGCATATTACTAATGATTAAAAAAAAAAAGTTTAGTCCAATAGGAATCCCCTTTTGTTTATTTTTCTTTGTAACTCGGAAGGTAATGTTACTTTAGATGTTTAATTGTTTGGAAATAATAAACCATTGTGAAATAATTTGCAGCGTTTTTTTGTTTTTAATTATTACCATACTTATCTCATTTAATTCAGATTTTTGAGTGATAAGAATTTAGAAAATATACTTTATACAAACAATAACATGAATCAAAAGATAATTTCATACAAAGACCATATTCAAAAATAAAACTTACGATTTCATTTCAGTTCGAATGTTGTCCCAATGCCTTTGCCTCAATGCGGGATTTTTCAAATCGGTTACAAGAGGCAAAACACGCTTGAAAGCTTCAACTCTTTTCTTTGAGTGCTCAATGATGGACCAATTTTTATCCCTGTATTCCCTAAACATATTGTTAAACTTCTTCCACACTTCTTGAGCAAACATTTCCATCTCTTCTGGTTTGATAGACCAAAACAAACTAGTCTTGTAACCATCCCAAGCATCATCCCAATCTTTAGTTAAAGACCATACTTCCATCAAAATCTTTAAATCCTACATATACGAATAAAAGAGAATTATAACAACAACAAAAAAAAACAAGATTTTCTGAAAACTACAAAAAATAATAGTTGAACTTAACAGCATCCAGATCATCCAATTCAGGCTTCTTCTCATAAGGTAACTTTACGTATTTTAAATCAACTTCAAAATCTTTATCTTTAGCCATCATAGCAGTCAATTCTTTTTCAAAATTATTCAACCACTCAAGAGCCTCTGAAACAAAAAAATAAACAAAGCAAATTTTATTTCTAAAACTTGTAATTAACTTAAATAACTGAAAAAAAACTATAACAATGTATGATGATTAAAAGGCATAACTTATACACAGTTATTCAAAAAGAGTATTCACAAATTTTAAGATTGTTAATATAATTTTTTTAAATTTAAATAAACTAGGGGGGTTCTCCCTGTCCGCATAATAGCAGTCCAACCGCCATTTTACAAATTATTTAACTGTTCCTCAAACTCTGCTACTCGTTCCTCAAATTGTATAATTGTAATTTAAATGTATTTTATAGCTCAGATTGTATAATTTTTGATCAACATAAAATAAACTGAACAAAGCCACGGTTCGGACAAATATTTAATTTCTTTAATAATCTATATTATACATCGTGTTTTATTGCCAATTTGTAGCCATAATATATATTCAACTTGTCCAACTTCATATGAGCCTAACAATAATTTGAGGCTATTATTTCTATTTTTCATTGTACATTATAATGTGCTTCCTTTTCTATTTCATAATAATTTTAATTATATCACAATGTAATATACATGGAGTACGTGGTTGATAATAACCAGATGTGATCACAAATTACTCGCTCTTCATCAGGATGGTTGGTAAACTTTTGCAGACATGTCCAGCCTGTTTTTTTTTTTTTTGTTTTTTACAGGATAGGGTTAATGGTCCGATGCTCAACCCCCAATCTGAAGGACCAGGAGCTATTACACCTTAATGACCAGCCAATTTCCTTCTACTCCTCTGTTAAAAATTTAGGATTTTTCATAGATCAAACCCTCTCCTGGACCTACCATATTTCTCACATTTCCCGTCGGACAATTTCTACCCTTAAACTATTTCATCGCTTCCGCCATCTCCTACCTCAACATATCCGTAGACTCCTAATTTCCTCTCTCATCTTCCCCCACTTTGACTACAGCTGTGTGGTGTATGATGGCCTCTCGGTGGAGCTCCGTGATAGACTGAAAAGATTAATGAATAGCTGCATAAGATTTGTTATTGGTGCCCCTAGGTACTCCCATGTCTCTCACCACTACACTGAGTTAAGGTGGCTCTTCCCCTCCTTCCGAAGACAATATTTTCTAGGTACGTTCCTCTACCAAATCATCAACAACCATCGTCCTTCTTACGCCTACAACCTTCTCCAGTTCAAATCCTCAGTCCATTCCCAGTCCACAAGATCTCGACCTTCTGACCTTTACATGCCTTCTCACAGATCTGCCTCATTCCAAAATTCCTTTATTGTTCGCTCTGTCAATTTCTGGAATTCCCTCCCTATCAAAATTCGACATTCCCCCTCCATATCCACATTCAAATCCCTCCTATTCCAATTCCTATCACAAAAACAGTCAGATACTTGCTAACCATTCGAGCGGATTTTAATAGAGAATTTGATACATTTTTATTTTTTAATTCTTTATTTTTTTCGGAAAAGTGTATACTGGTCTATATGAGCAAATAGCTTTAAGTGTTTTGTCATAGTATTAATGGTTTTGTATATAGTTTAGTTTGTTTTGTATATAGAATTTTTACCTTATATTTTTTTTACATTATTTTTTTTTTCGATTGATTTTATTTTGGCCAGATGTAATATTTTAATTTTGTTCTATTTTGTTATTCTCAAGGGACTGTGTCCCAGAATAAAGTTATTTTTCTATCTTCTATGTCGTAAGACAGAGGAGTCGCTCACCTAGGTTAAATCAAACTACCACCACCTCCAGATGAATACCATTTTTCATATAAATTTTAGGTCTAAAATATCTATTTTGTATTAGGAAAGTAAGAGGTTACAGAGGCTCGATAGATATGTAATTAAATGAACAGCTGTATAATTAGTGCTAAGTATAGAGCTAATAGGAGAGCTCCTATGATCTCCTACTTTCCTAATACTAAAATAACATATAAAAGCCACTAAAAACTTTTTACTTGCACTTACTTATATATGCAATATATAGTAATGGTAAATATTGCGATCATGAAAATTTTTTGATCTGAGTTTTCAATGGAAATACATGTTTTGAGGTCTCCTGAGTCCAAATAACCAAGTCCCGCAGCAAAATGGTCTGTCTGTGTGTGTGTGTATGTATGAGATCAGTCTAGCTCAAAAACGAAAAGTCGTATGAAAGTGAAATTTCATATTTAATTTTTGTATTTACCTTGGAGGTTACAGACAATTTTTCATAAAAATCGACTTATTTAGTGGTATTTCATATATTCGATTTAACACATTTTTATGATTTTCTCAAAAATGGCTCTAACGATTTTTATTAAACTCAGTATATCAATGTATTATTGAGCAATTTTTAATATAATGTAGGTTTTATTCTCATTGTTGTTCTCTAACAGGGCTTAAATGGCTAATTTTCAGCTTCCTTTAAAAGTATATTTATTTGAAATAATTAACAATTTCACATTAATCTTTGATATAAAAAATAGTTAAATATAAAATATGAAAGAATTTGATAATTAACTAAAGGGGAAATAAAAGATCGTAACGGCTAATGGTTGAAATGGAGGAGCTAAAGGAATACGAGAGTACCCGAGCTCGCCCAAAAGATTATAGCAGGCTTCCATACCTAACATGAGCTTAATATCATACGGACCCCGAGAATATGTCCATAAATATATATGTGGTTTTCATAAATGCTACATTTCATATATATATTCTTATTATTTCTTGTCACTCAATGTCACAAAAGTATTAGGTTCCCGAATTCCCCACAACAGTTAAACAGCCTCAAAAAGTCAAAAAAGGGGTTTTGTTTAAAAAAAAATTAAATTCACGAGTGTAAATAACTTAGTCCCTCGACAAAATGGAAGGAATATTTATAATTGGCTTTTAACATGTTATTTACAGATTACTGATATAAAAATTAAAATTTGTATGTATAAGGATAATCAAACAAATAAAAATATCCACAATGAAATGTAAATAAATATAGTGTGTATAATTTTTATTTCCCCTTTGTCTGAAAATACTTATTTCTGCTAAGAAGAGGGTGGTAAGTGAAATTCATGCGATGCACACCACATTTTTTACATAATAGCGATGAAATCTGTAGTTGACCTAAGTGCCCCTTGTTATGTTTAAAAAATATGGTTTAGGCTAATTAATTTTTAAATTTTACCTAGAGATGCCAAAGTTGGATGAAAGGGGCCTTCAGTTTCAAATTTTTGTAACAAATTCTTCACTTCATCAGCAAACAAGTGATGATCTTTGACTAATTTCTCCTTAAAACTGATCTAAAATATTTAAAATGTGTGCAAATGAAAATATATTTAAAATAGAATATACAAAAATAATAAGCTATACTTAAAATACATTTCAAGAATTTTATTTCCCTTAACTAGCATGTCTACAACCATACTACTTTGTAACAATAAAAATGATTATTGTTTTAATAAATCAAAGTTCTTTTATAGAAACACCCTTAGCTGTTCAACAATTAAATTAGGTAGTTTTTATTTGGTAGTTAATATGGAATCATGTCTGCTACAAATCAAGTGACTATAAGGAATTTTGGTACTCAATGAAAGCAGAATATGATAATCTAAAACTTGTATTCCATAAGTTTTCTCTTAGAGAACTCGTTTCTAAGCTGCAGGCTCATATATTTGCCTTTTTGTTGACAGATTGGCTAATTCCAATTTTAACATTTTTTTTTCATTAAGTTAGTATCAATTATACTTCTGTTTCTTGTTAAGAAAATTATTAACTTTTTTTTTTTAAATTACAACAGAAATATTGACCATTAATTTTCAATTACTAAAACTTCTTGCATGATTTTGAAAAGTAAGATATTTTCAATGAAAAACACCACTGGAAAATGTTGAAATAGGAGTTAATCATTTTGTCAACTGAAAGCCTCGTATAGTACTTTACCTCAGTATTTTTTATTATAGTTGTAAAAGTCTTTTTTATCACGATTTTGGCTAGTGCTTGAAATCGATAATTAAAAAAAATCAAATCTGATCAAAATTTTTAATAATCACTGGATGATTTTTATTAAGAGAGATTTTTATTTTTGATCATGAGTGATAAATATTATATCCTGATCATTATTTTTGAACAAAATATTTACAATTAACAATAATAATAATTCTTGAGTAATATGTTTGCCATGTAAACTTAGATAAAGTTTATGTCAGAGGACTTGATTCATTTCAGTAGTAAAAAGCAATACAAATGCACATTTACCGTACAATTATCGATAATCTTCAATGAGGTTTGCTTTGTCTTTTTCAACTGCTTCCATACCTTCATTATACCTTTATGCCTTTTAGACATTATTTCAGGGATGTCATCTCGTAATGAAACTTCAATTGAAAAAAGATAAGATGATAAAATTAAACTAAATAGTTTTTTTTAAAACTTAAAAACTATTTTAAAAGTTATGAATCTTAAATCATATTTAGTTGATAAATAATAAAATAATGTACAGGTACCAATAAAGTTAAACTTAAAATTTTGTTATAAGCTACATTAACATCTAACCCTTAAGTATATGGATTGAAAAATCACCAATACACGCAATGATCTAAGATATCCAAATAAATTTCTAATGTCTATTCAGAATTTTCAGGCCTCCTTAAATTATTTTGGGCCTTAAATAATGTTTAAGCTGTGGGGCAAGAGTAAAAATATGATAAATATAATTTTTATTAAAGCACATTTAGTTTTATCAATGATTAAAATTTAATGCAACAGAGCGTCATTTTTACATTAAGTTTTATTAAAAAATTAAGACAATGAAAATTCAACATGTTTTAAGTATAAATAAATTGAGTGAATTGAATTCATCATAAAAGTTGGAAATGTCAAAGATAGCAGCAATCAACTGATGTTAAAAGTAAATAATAAAAATTGGTACTCACACAAAAACTTTAGTTTATCATCCAAAGCAGGAAATGAATTTTCAAGAACATCCACGACTAAATCAAATCTATCATGAAAAGACGTAGCAATGGGAATTTGTCTTAAATGCTTTGGAGGTGTAAGCAGCCTATAAAAAAATGATTATTTAACAAAAAAATTAATAAACGTACTTATATTATTAAAATTTAAAAAATGATTAAAACTTTTTTCCTTGTTGGTATAATGCACCACGATCACAAGGGTCTATTGTGTGCCATGTTATAAGCCGTTTTATGTAAAAACATTAGTTTAGTCGCTTCAGCATAACTTAATAGGTTTGTAGAGTTGAAAGACTCATATAACTATTGGGGTCTATCATAAAATTTATCAGAGAAAACTTAAAAATACACAAATGCATTTACAAGTCTCATTTTAGGAATTAATCAAATGCTAATTCTATTATTTATAATTACATAATAAATGCTTAGTGCAGTAAATTCTGCATTAAATAACACTAAAACTAGCTTCAATGAAGAACAGTATGGTTGTATCAACTGTACAGTGCAAGAAGGAGGAATCAGCAATATGAAAATCATTAAACATTCCTCAATTATTAAAAACAACTGTTTCAATAGACACAACTTTAATACAATTTTGTTAGTCGGATGAACCTAAAATGGTTAAAGTATATAAATTAAGCGATAAATGATTATTTTTTGTATATTGTATATGGAGGAGGTGAAAATATGACAAAGAAATTACAGTTGTTATGAGTAAAATGAAATATATCATTGAAAAATATACCTTTTAGAGTTGACATGACAGAATTCATAAGCCGATTCTATTTCGTTGGCTGTTGTTACCATGAGAAGATGAGATAGTCGCCTGTGCCAAACAGCGCAATGTTTGATAATTTTTTGAATTAAATCCTCACAATTCAATTTGAGAATTCGTATTGTTTGATGTTTCTGAATGTGTTTCACACATAAAGCAATTCTAACGTACCTATAATGAGAAAAGTTCATATTTTAAAACATTATATAACTCATCTACCCACTGTAAGTAATCTATAATGTTATAGAAGTTTTACAAAACTTATTTTATCAAAGTTCCTCAATGAAACTGATTTAAGTAATAAAAAATGATCGCCTTACACAGTTAGAAAAATGTAGGTAAGAGATTTTCAACACTTTGAAACCTTTGGGATCAGCCGTATGTTTGTGTACCGCACTATAAATAGATATAATGAGACCCTATCTGTATGTAACAGACCTCGACCCCTCACTGTGAGAACGGCAAATGCAGTGAGAGCAGTGGCTGCTCGACTCAGAAGAAATCCCATTCGAAAACAACAAATCATGTCTTCGGAAATGGAAATCTCTGTCAGATCAACGTCTTGCATAATAAAAAGTGACCTTAGGATGGGTTCATTTCGAAGAATGGCAGGACAAAGGCTAACGACTTCCCTAAAAAAAAATAGAGTGGATAGATTCAAAGTGCTCCATGGCCGTTACACCAATGGTCTTCATCATAAGATTTTGTTTAGCAATGAGAAAATTTTTACAATTGAAGAAAAATTTAATCGCCGATATGATCATGTGTACGCACCAGCTCTAAAGAAGCCCAGGAAGTTATTGGAAGAGTGTTAAGAGGTCATCACCCTTCCACCCCTAAAGTCAGGAGAAAACCCTAATTTTAACATCCTCTGAGGCCTTCTGATCACTATACTAACTATATAATACCTCCACAAGACAATTGTTTTGGCAGTAATAGTAATAATCCCTTTTTTCCAGCTCTCAGGATTTTGGATGGATTTTGATGAATGGGCTATCAAATGAAAGGGTATTAAATGAAGTAGTGACAGATCATAGTAACCTGAAATATCAGGAAAAAAGTTATGAATGAAAAGAAACTTTATTTGCAAATAACTTAAAAAGTATATATTTTTTCTGGATCAGACCCATGATAGTTTGAAAGTTTACTAAATTCTCTCCAAAAAACAAAAAAAAAAAAAATCATGGGAAACGGACCATGATCAGACAAGATATAACCTATAGTGAAAATATTCATAGTTTGGTTTGTTATTATGATTGAACTACAGCTATTTAACTGAGAAAAATAAAAGTATTTCCTAAATCACATGATACATTGCATTAAATTATTTCTATATTATATTTTCAATGTTCACTAACGTGAACGTAATATACTGTGCGAATTATTCGCTCTGGCCAACTAGTTAACATATAATCCATCAATAACATATACATAAGATTTTATGTTATGCTAGAAATCATTCAACGGTTATTAAAATAAACAAAATAATATTTTTGCTAATCGTTAGTTGTTATGTTAGTTTCTAAACATTCACAGTTTATTTATCAATACATATTGTGTATGTATATATACAAATAAATTACTTAGTGATTTCTTCTTTAAACTGCTCAGCTACAAGATAGGTTTTAGAAAATTCTTCTAAAAACTTTGTTCTGTCTATTGACCAAACATGGCGATACTGTTCCCATTCTTTTTCATAATTTTTTACTTCTGCATAACATCTGTGTATTTCTGAAAAAAAAAATCCTGACCATAGTAGATGCAATAATGGAGTGAAGAATATGTAAAGTTAAGAAAATAAATAGTAAGAAAACAAAATTTAACTATTTTTTTATGTTGCAACAATCGGCCACGCAGGTCTAAAATTTATACAAAGAGTTTCAAGCCTAACTTTAAACTCTTTTGTAATGGAAAGTACAGTTCTAAATGTCATACATTATCGGAGGTCTCATTAAAATGTGAAATAATCAATAGCCTTGATATACAGACTATATTTTTTAAAAAATAAATTACACTATATAGAATCTTGAAGATATGTGAAAAAAGTATATCTTCCTCCTAAAGTAATTTTTTTTTTATAATTCATATAAAAAATTCTAATTCTAAATGTTGCTAAGTAGAATAAAAGTTGTAAGAAAAATGACAAAATATAAAAAAATATGGATGAAATATAGGAAAATATTTAGGAACAATGGGAAATAGAATATTCTTGAAGATAGGCCAAAGCCCCTAAATGTTTAATATGTAAGAGGAAATCGTGAAAAATAAAAAAAATTAATCCGAGGAGGAAGATATAATTTTTTTCACATAAATTCAAGAAGCAATGTAAAGACAATAAGAGATGGTTGTTAAGTAACTACTTGGAACGTTTTGTTTTTATAAAATAGTCAAAATAAATACCTTTTTCTATTTTGACTTGAGTTTGTCGACAGTAATCATCACGAGCAATTACTGATGAATAAGGTATTCTTTTCTCTGGAAGATTAATTTCAAATTTTTCAACCAATCTTGGTAGAAAAGAAAGATCAATTATTAAATCTCCAAGCAAATTTTTCACTAAGCATACAATCTCCAAGAAAGATGGGTCATAAATAATCTGAAAATGAAAAAAAATTATAAAATAAAGTTGAAAAAGACAATCAAACTTCAAAGAAACTTAGCCAACCTTTGTAGACTTTAAATCCATGCTACAATATATAAATATGTTTTTTGACAGAGCAGTGAATCCACGAGTCCTGACGAAGAAGCCATCGTGAGCCTTTTGCATCGACCTTCGAGCGTACCACCGAAGGGCTTCTTGTAACAATAAATCAATCCTGGATATATATTTGACCCATTCAGGTTTCATCTATTAAAAAGAAAACAGAAATGTATACAACATATTTTTTTTATCTTTATAAACCTAAAACATTGCAGTAAACTTTCTCTGATCTGGTATGGTAAAAAAATGACAGTAAAACATATTTCAGTTGGAAAAAATTTTTCTTAGAGTATTTATATTTTTTAAACTTATTTTATAAGGTAACTAGCTTTACCCGGCCATTGCTGTAAAATGGCTTCAATTTAAACTAATTCTAATGATTTTTTTTCTCATGATTCAAATTGAACATTCATAATCATCAGAAACAGTCTGAGTTGAACTTATAAAAGTACAATAAAAAATTCATATAAAGAACATATAATAGTATTGACCTACATAAGGAGAATCATATAACTTCTTCAATTGATAATTTCAATTACTGTAGTAATTATAAAATTTTGATTAATCAATAAAAAAATAAAAAAATCCTTGCCTACCTTCGGTAGTGAGGAAGCAAAAGGAAATGGCCTTTTCTGAAGAGAAAGCAGTAAATAATTAAAACTCTATAACTCTGCAACAAACTGTCCGATTTCGATGATTTTTTTTTTATTTTGTAGGCAAATCAGGAATCTTTCAAATAAATGTGGGTATTATCAGTAAAAAATTCTGTACTTTTTTATTTATCACCAAATAAAATATTGAATTCATCGTAACATTTTTCAGCTTGTTTTTGGGAAAGTATGTTATACACATAAATGAAAAGGGTTTCAAGGGGAAGACTTTAGCCAAATTTCGTTAAAATCGGTAAAGCCGTTTTGGCGCAACAGCTTATAGCGACACATTTTTTTGCGGCTTTGAACAGAAAATCATTTACATTTTTATTTTTTTTACATATATAAAATTATCGTAAGATGATATGCCAGAAACCTTCCCAGGAGTGTACGGAACAGCTTCCTGAAGTTTCATGGCGATGAATGGTTTAGTAATGAACCAAGGACAAACAGACGGACAGACAGACATACATTCATTTTTATATATATAGATTTAAAGAAAAATTACAATTGAACATGTTTTTTATTCTTCCAGGCCGAGGCAATGCCATTTTAACACAAGATATGTCGTCCCCTCAAAAATGAAATAACTCATAGCTGGCAACCTAGTCGGTAAAGCAAATTAAAATATATTAAAACAATAATAAAACCATCAAATCGTCATATCCGCAGAGAAGGGATCGTTTTAACTAGACTGATAATAGGCCACAATAATCTTACCATTCACATGTTATTAGCAAACAGCCGCCACTACAATCTGCATTTGCACAATCAGCGCAGCAAACATTATGAGGGATGACGAAGACACGATAAAGTTATTGTTAGGTTTCTTGAAATCTAACGATTTGTTTAAACAAATTTAAAATTTCTTAAAAATTTTATTCAGAGGTAAACAAAATTAATTTGCAGGCGTTGATGACTCTAATGTTTTACTCTTTAAAACTCCAACAAACAAACATGTTTTTTATTCTTTAAGCATCTTTAATATAAATAATATAAAAATGAGACAATAATTTAAAATAACTCAATGTGAACCGAAAACGTGCAGTGCTGACTTACAAAGTATGTAAGGTAAATGTACAAGTAATAAACACTGTACTAGGAACAGATAGTTTTCAACTCATTAACAGAAAATGCTTTATATGGCCAAAAGAGAGTGCAAATATGAGTAAGTTTGCAGCTAAAATACTTAAGAGGATGATGTTAGAACCTCAAGTGATATCATGCCAAAATAGCCGATGTTTGTTTTATCTAGGTTTTCTTATAACTTTACTTTAGGAGATAAGTTTAAATTTTTGATCAATTTTTCTTTAGTTTGCCATATTTGGTTTATTATTTTCAATAATGAAACATTGTGATCGACTGAAAAATCCAAAAACTTAACCCCTATTAAAAATTTTTTTGTCCGTCCGCCGTCTGTGCATTTTCTCCAAAACTACAGGACCGATTTTTTTCTAATTTGGATATAAAATATAAAATGGTCCTTCTTCATCGACATTACTATCCGCCTTTTACTTTCAAAATGGTGGCTGAAAAACCGGCGTTGTTATAGACTGTAGCGCCTAAACGAATGTAGCGATTTCAATGAAACTTCGCTAAAGTAATTTTCTCAATCTTTAAATTTATCTATACAACACACTTCAACGAAAAGAAGCTGAAAAAAATGTTACAAGTGATGTTTAAATTAAATTCCGAATAACTAAAAAAGTATACACTTTTTTGTTGATATTGCCCTACAGTTTACAGAAATTTTAATATATATGTATAAAAATTTCTGTAAACTGTTGAGCAATATCAACAAAAAAGTGTCTACTTATTTTATATATATATATATTGTAATGTCAACATTACATGGCATTTAAATAGTGGCGCGAAAGTGGTAACAACCCGAACTACGGGGAGAAAGTGCGTGCGGATGGTGGGGGAAGCAAGCCTCATGTAACTCAGAAGGTGACGGGCCGCCAAGAGAGAAGGTTATGAGCCGCCAAGAGAAAATGTGACAAGCTGTCAAGAGAGAAGGTACTAGCCAGCAAGCTGAGAAAATAGAAAGAGCCACAAAGTTTAGACTGGGACCATCAAGGTTTTTGAAAACAATATGTATAATTTCTTAATGTATGTATCTCGTTTCTTTATATGTATTTAGTAATTAGTAAATTATAGTTATTTAATGTTGAATGAGTGTTCAGTTGTCAGAACCCAACCAGAGATTTATATTATATGCTAAAATAAATAGTATATTGAAAAAGGAAACTCGTTTGATTTTGGAGGGAAAGAGGAACGTTATAACATATATATATATATATATATATATATATATATATATATATATATATATATATTATATATATATTACGAAATCTCCAAAAAAAAAAAAATTGTTAAAATCAGACAATTGGGAGCAAAGATATGGTCTCTACTTTTTTTTGTATTTTCTACTGAAAAGGTTATATCCTTTGTTTTGGTTTTTGAATTTTGAATGCGTTACTAAAGTAATGCTAGTTTTATTAGCAAATTACTAATGATTAAAAAAAAAAGTATAGTCCAATAATTGGAATCACCTTTTATTTATTTTTCTTTGTAACTAAGAAAGTAATGTTACTTTAGATGTATAATTGTTTGGAAATAATAAAACATTGTGAAATAATTTGTAGCATTTTTTTAGCTTAAAACTAGAATATATATATATATATATATATTTTTTTTTTTATAATTACAAACAAAAAACACCTATTGACCCAAAAACCTGCCTATTACTGGTGCAATATCTACTGTTAGAATTCCTTTGTTTTTCATGAATAATTAAATATTCGACTGTATTTAAAAAAAATATGATAAAATACGAATTTGCTGTCAATTAAACCCATTTGTAAAGATTCATCTCCAGAACTAAAGTTGCGGTTCACGTTAATTTTGAAAATTTCTCTTTAAGTGTCTATTAATGGTACATTTTCCTTAATACCTTAATTTAAAGTCACTGAAGTCAGCTTAAGATGAGACCTTTGTTACAATCGTCGACCGGTAACCCTCTACCTACCCAGAATAGGTATCATGCTTTCTCTATAATGTTCTTCTCTCGCGCATTCCACTTGTACATTAACTCTAATGAGGGCATGATTGAGGGTTGAGATCAATAAAAATTTGTATCATAGGAAGTTAACTAAATTCATTTATTAGGAATATAATTATTTATAATATATTTATTTTACTATAATAATTAGATATTTGAATATAGGATTTTAATCAAAATCCTACTACTAATTATCAGGAAACACAGCAGGCCTCTAACTTTAACTATTGGTTCTGTGTTTTCTTTTCTTTATTAAATACATGATAAAATATTTAACTAAATGATACTTACACTTTTTAAATTATATGCGAATCCATCAAATATCACCAGTAGAAGCTCAAAAATTTTATTGTAATGGACAATCAATTCATTAATTTTGTTGACCCTAAAATGATGAAAATAATTCAATAATAAAACAAGTCAAAAATGTTTCATTTAATTCTCAACTTGGTTCAAAAACAATTTAAATAATTTTTCCAACAAACTTAATTCAATAAGTATACATCTATACATCAAAACAAGTATAACAAAATTAATATGTTCAAAATTTAAAAATAAAATTGTGTAACTCAAGCTAACATGAACATTTGAATTTAAAATTATGTTAATTTAAACTCTTGTGTCTAGAATAAAAATATTATATTTACAGCCGGAAATGTCCATAAGCTAACTTCTAGAAATCTCAACTATTTTTAAAAACTGCACGTAGCTCAAAGTTATTTGGTACTCTCTGTAAATAAGAGCTATTGAGAGTTGGGTAAACAATTCAATTTAATATACCCCTAAAATTTATAACTGAATAGCCTATTATGAAAAAAATATTCAAACTGACATAAAATTAAAAATTAAATCAGTAAAGAAAAAAAAAAAGGAACCTACTTTGTGTCAACTATGTAATCTTCCAACTCTTGAAATAGGAAACTTTGTTTTGGTGGAAAGTCATAAAAATATGAAAGGCTAATTTTCTTACATATAGCAAATATTTCTTCATTACATGCTTTATATTCATCAGCAAATCTTCGGTACTGTAATATATTACATCAACGTATAAATACTATATTTAAAAGTATATTTAGTAATGAACTTAGAATTTTAGTAAAAATCAAACAATTTTAATACATAAATAAGGTGTAAAAAGCATTAGAAAAAGAGCTGGCACACAAAATTCTGTATTGGCATTGTAACTTTTTGAACATAAAATAAGAATATTTATAAATATAAAAATATATAACTTCAGACCATTTTTTAAAGTCACAATTTTAATTAATACCAATCGATATTTTTGTTGTTATCAATTATGGTGAAACATTTTAATTGTGAACAGATCAGAGCTGAGCGGCCAGATTGTAGATGTAGTCACGCTGGTACCCCCCCCTCCCCCTTTCCACTAGCCAAATTAAATCTCTATTACTGTAGAACTAATAGTACTCGGTTTAAATTTTATTTTTCAATAATTACAAAAACTGATAAAACTATAGGGTCTTTCCATGTCAATTCAACACTAGATCTGAACCTTGTACCTCACCATCACAGATTTTCACGAAATTCGGTACAGTTTTACTATTTGTAAATACTCGAAAACATACAAAATTTTACTGAGATAAATCAACCTAATATTAAATCAGCCAGCTGTAAATAACTCATAAATGGACTCAAAAACAGAAAATTGTTATTTCATGGCAATGAAACAAGTGTTCAATTGACATGGAATGAAAAAACACGACACACAATTTTACTTTTTTTTTTTTTTTTAATTCCTTTATTGAGTATTATAACAATCTGTCTGTTCGACATTGGTTATAGTGAGGTAGGATGACATTCACACCATATGTACAAAAAAATAAAATAAATAGAACAAAATAATAATCAAAAGTATATACAATAGACAATAAAATAAAGTAACCTAAAAAATAAGAAAATTAAAACTAAGGAAAAAAAAAAAAAAATAACATGCATACCTATATACAATCAGGCGAGGGAACTCCAGGAGAACCCTGCGCTACTCTTCCAACCGCGTCACTGGTACTAAAGCCAGCGGAGATTGGTCGAGAGCACTTTAGCCACATACACACATGTCTTGAGTGAAGAATCTAGCCATTGCCAGAACTCCAATTTATATAATTTACAAAAGGTCGCGAGGCCACTGCCGTTTCAACCTTCTTGGAGGATTATAGGGATGGGAGATGCTTGATAGGGATTGTGCAAGAGGATTTGGGTGGTAAGTAAGGTTCTGGTGAAATTTGGAGAACTTTTCTGGGATAAGGTCTAGGACAAATGGGATGTTAAGGTCATGATGTAGGGTTTTGTTGGATACATAGAAAGGAGCATCGACTATTGTTCGAAGGACTTTAGACTGGAAGGATTGGATGCGCTTGATGTTAGAAAATTTTGCTGATCCCCACAGTTCTAGTCCGTAAGTCCAAATAGGTTTCAGTATTGTCTTGTAGATCAGTAGCTTGTTTTCAATGGAAAGTTTAGATTTTCTGCTTAGTAGTCGGTATAGTTGGCCGTATCGTCGGTTGAGTTCTTGTCTTTTGAGTCTAGTATGCGGGTTCCAAGTTAGTCTTCGGTCTAAATGAAAGCCAAGATACCGGACTGTGTCTGAATAAGGAAGCTGGATGGAATTAAAGAGTACTGGTGGACAGGAATTGCGTCGGAGTGTAAAAGTAATGTGTTGGCATTTAGATTCATTAACTTTAATGCGCCAGTTATTACACCAGTGCTCAATCAAGGTGAGATGACTTTGGAGATTTAAGGATGCTATTTCGGGATCAGAGTTGGATGATAAGATTGCGGTGTCGTCAGCGAATGTTGCAAGAAAAGTATCGGGATGAACAGGGATGTCAGCAGTAAAGAGGATGTAAAGCACGGGACCCAAGACGCTGCCTTGGGGAACACCGGCTTTAACGGAGTAGATATTGGAAAATTCTGTTCCACAGCGAACTCGAAAGGAGCGGTCAGAGAGGTAGGATCGGAGGACTAGGTACAAGGACTGAGGTAAATGGATTTTAAGCTTGGAGAGCAGTCCGGAGTGCCATACCCGGTCAAATGCCTGTGCAATGTCCAGAAAGGCACCCGAACAGTATTCCTTGTTTTCTAGGGCTGAGGAAATATGATCAACGACTCGGAGTCCTTGTTGAACAGTAGAATGTTGAGAGCGAAAACCAAACTGATGGGAAGGGATATTTTGGGATTCTATAATAGGTAGGATTCGTTTCAAAAGGATCTTTTCAAAAATTTTTGAAAGGATTGGGAGTAGGCTGATTGGTCTATAGGATGTTGAGCTATTGAGAGGTTTTCCTGGTTTTGGGAAAAGGATAATAGTGGAGTGTTTCCATAACAGAGGGAAGTGGGTGGTGCGTAGGATACAATTGTAGATATATGTAAGGAATATGACTGCTTTGGATGGAAGTTGTCGAAGGATTTGAGGTGTAAGGAGATCATGTCCAGGAGCTTTACGGAGGATTAGTTTTTTTAATTGAAATTTTACTTCGGAAGGATGAATAGCTTTTGGGGGCAAGGAAAGTGGGATTGGTGATGTAAGGAGTTCTTCTACTGTTACGGTGTGGGCAGGATGGGATTCCGGATGTGAAATAAATGTATTGGATAGGTGAATGGCGAACTCCTCAGCTTTATCTTCGTCAGATGCTGCCCAGGAGCCATCACCTCGTCGGAGAGGATGGGAAATGCGGTGAGGATTTAGGATTTTTGTTGTGGTTTTCCAAAGGGAATTGTCGCGAGAAGAGAGGGAGGATAGGTAGGAGTTGAAGGATTGTGATCTGAAGGTGGCTAATTCCAGTTTTAATTGTTTGCAGTAGTAATTATAGGAGCAGCGGTCGGTAGGATGTCGGGATCGTTGCCATAATAATCTGGCACGGCGTTTGGTGCGGATTAGGTTAAGGAGGTTTTGGGGTAGAATGGTCTTTATAGGAATTCTGGAGGAGTCTTTTGGAAAGGAGGCAGTCCAGGCGGCTTGTTGGATTGTGGTAGTAAAGGAATTTACGGCACTATCAAGGTCATCGGGAGTTTTGAGGGATATGTTGAGATCAATATTATCGGAGATTATTTGGCGGAAAAGGTCCCAGTTTACTGGGCCCCTAATGAATGACGGTGGAGAAGGTTTGGGAACAGGTTCAAGTGAAACATTAAGGATTAGAGGACTATGGTCAGAGGAAAGTTCATTTAGACGTGTAATGGAACAATTGAGGGGACTTAAGCCGCTGTGGATAAAGAAATCTAGAAGATCAGGATTACGGTTGGGATCTGTGGGCCAGTAGGTAGGAGAGTTGGGGGAAAGGAGGTGAAAACGTTGGGAATTGAGTGCAGACAGCAGGGTTCGGCCACGAGAATTCGTGGTTCTGGAACCCCATTGTTGGTGCTTGGCATTTAGGTCTGCACCCAAGATGAAGTGATGTCCTAAGGAGTCGAGGAGAGAACTGAATTGGGCATTGGATATGGATCGGTTAGGAGGGCAATACGCTGATGCAAGAGTGACCGGAAAGGAGAAGGTTTTTATCACGATAGCGGTGGACTGTAGGAAATCATGTATTGGTAATGGGAGTAGGTGATGGGAGAGGGATTGGTGTACAATTACAGCAGTACCGGCATGTGCTTTTCCGTCAGGGTGGTCAGTACGATATGTCAGGTATTGTGGTATATTGAAGTGCTGTTTAGTGGTTAGTCGAGTTTCAGTAATTAGTGCCACATCAATGTTCTTGTCAAGTAGTAAAGTAGATAGTTCGTCTGTATGATTTCTAACACCATTCGCATTCCAAAGGAGAATGGATATGGGTTTAGGGATGTGAGTCATTTAAGGATTTTTCAAAGGAGGGATGAGGTGAGATACGAGATTCGTGAGGAGTGATATGAGTGGAGTAACAAGGGATTTGAAATCGGTGAGGAAAGATGCTAACAAACTTGTGAGATCTGTTGCATTTGAAGGAGGAGGAATATGAGGAATTTGTTGTTGGTGGTTAGGTATATTAGGATGAAGAGGATTTTGAGGTTGGGTTCGAGGTTGTTGTTGTGGCAGGGCTTGACATTTATCGGTTAAAGTCTTACCTCTAAGTAGTTGGGAGAATGATACATCATTGTTTACAATTCTGGAAGGCTCTCTCTCTCTTCTTGTTCTTAGTGCTTCATCTTGAATCCGGTTTTTCTGGTGTCTGGTTTTGAGATTCTTGTAAATTTGGCAGCCTTTGTAGTTGGCCGGGTGTCCCTCCAAGCATAGGGCACATACTGCTGGATCTTGTATAGGTTTGGTGCACTCTACAGATTTGTGCTGTTCACCGCACTTCACGCAACGCGGCAGATGGTGGCAATATGTCTTCGTGTGGCCATAGGTCTGACAATTATGGCACTGCACGATGTCTCTCTTGGGATATGGCTTCTCAACTTTCACCATTGTATAGTATATTCTTGTGATATCATATATTTTTTCGATACCTGGTGATGGCTCCAAGTCCACGAAAAACAATGGTAGTGGGATCCTATTTCGTAATCCTGGCTGTTCCCTGTCCTCCTTCAAAACGTTTGTTACCTGGCGTACATTGAAACCAAGCGTCGTTAGTTCTTCTTTAATAACTTCAGTGGGGGTTGAGGAATGTAAATTTCTTATCACCACTCGTAAAGCTCTTTCCTGCCTCAGCTGGTAAGTGTGAAAATTCGCATTTGTTTCTGATAAGTACTTCACTATTTTTCGGTAGGCTTCTGCAGAATCAGGTGTTATCTTGGTGTCATTGGTCCTGTTAAGGCATGAATAACTGCCAGAGCAGATTTTATTTAGTTGGGTGCAGAACATCTGGAAATTTTTTATATTTTTCACAAATATCGGAGGAGGCTTTGGTTCTCTGGGTATTGCTGCAGACTCCATTACTTCTTTGTCATTTTGAAGCACTTGGTAGGGGTTTGGAGTAAAGAAAGGTGATTCTTCAATCGTTTCTTGTGCAGACGTACCTGGTTGGGGCTGAGGTTCTGGTTCTGAAGTGTTCATTTTGGTCACTGGAGGTATTTCTCGTAGGCAGCGACGAGTCCTTTGTTTGGCTGGTGAGCTAACTCCGTCTGACCGAGACCTCTTGGGCACCTTACTGGCCATCACTTGCTGATCATACCGCATATCATAAGAGAAAAATAAATAAATAAATAAAAAAAAAGAAAAAAAAAAAAATTTTTTTTTTTTTTTTTTCCTTAAAATAACAAAAAAAAAAAAAAAAAGATGCCAACAGTAAATATCAACTGCTCTGATATACACTTTAACTGTATCACGTGAATAATCAGAGAGATTCCGCTATAAAATTGGTAAAAACTGAGAGAGGAGTTGAGGAGACAACCTTCTCATCAGCTGATCCACTGCCTTCAATTTTACTTTAAGCCTCTCAAACTTATTTTTCATCAAAGAAATTATAAATAATTTTAAAAATCTCCCTAAATTAAAATTACTTACTTGGTTTATATGCTGTTGTAAATGATGAAGATAATTCATAGTATCGGGTGTTTCATTCAAGTCCCATGTATATCTTGTAGTAAACCCATCTTTCATTAATTTACTCATTTTTGTGAAATGTATTTTAAAGAGGAGCCTTTCAGCGTTAGTAAGCACTACGGATAAAGTAGGTAAGAAGAAAAATTAAGTTAAATGAAATTTAATTAATAGATTTTATTAAAAGTATAATGTAAGTATATTGGTTAGATTATTTATTTAATATAGATTCGAACTGAGTATCTTGATCTGATTATTTCTTGTTCTTCTATCCACAAACTTGTATATTCCTTGCGATAGAACTGCATCCTTTAAAAAATCCTTTATAACGCATGCTACCTTGTTTTGGAATTCCTTATCAACGTCTAAACGCAAAACCTCATATTTAACTTCTTTTAAGCATCAACTATTCATCCATCTTCTCAGCAATCAATCTTCTGTAAGGTAATCTCTTTTCTTCCTTCTCTTTAAAATATAGTCTTTAAAATTTTTTTTTAAATTTTCATTGGCTTCAGAGACTTTGAAGATCTTCGATCACATAAACCAGCCTCTTTCACCTCTGCTTATCTTTGAATACAGCTTTTCCATTTGCTAAGTGTATCTTGCAGCATATTTGTTGATTCTATCTACTCATCTTGTTTTTGGCCTCCCAAGTGGTCTCTCGCAAAATATTGAGACATTCTTAGCTGTGTTGAATCTTTCCTTCATCTTCATATCATGACTGGTTTCTGTAAGCAGTTCTTTATTTGTCCTTTATCTCTAAGAGTTAGTACCTATTCTGATACCAGATCGTCAGTTATCATAAAGAGAGTACTTTACATCTATTATGTCTACATCGGCAGTCATTATTATATTTAAATTAAATTATTTTCTTCTTCTTTCTCTTCCTCCTTTGTGCCTTTCAGCGTGGAGGTGCCTCGATCCATGCATCCCAAGCATTTCAGTCCCGAGCTAGAGCCCTCATATCTCCTATCCTCATACCTATTTAATTTATTTTTCCTTTCCGCCCACTGAGTTATTAGAAGCGTTTACGAATATTCAGAGAGACCTAGATAGGATAAGTGCCTGGGCAAGCTTGAATAAATTAAAGTTGAATGCAACGAAAAATCAGGCCATTCTTATAGGTTCCAACTCCCTCCTTAGATCTATTTCCACCCATCCTTCCTTGATTATTAATGACCAACCAATCTCCTTCACCTCCTCTGTAAAAAACTTATGAATTACCATTGATCAAAACCTACCATGGAAACCCCATATTGCTCAAATCTCCAGGTCAATTGGTACTCTTAAATTATTTCATCGTTCTCGTCAGCATCTCCCACAACCTATCCGCAGGCTCCTCGTTTCCTCATTGATTTTCCCCTACTTTGACTATGGCTGTGTGGTATACGGTGGCCTCTCGTTGGAGCTTGAGGACAGACTGAAGAGAATCATGAACTGTTTTTTAAGATTCGTCTTCGGCACTTCGAGATGGTCTCATGTGTCCCACCTATATGCCGAGTCAAAGTGGCTCTTCCCCTCTTCCCGCCGCCTATACTTCCTTGGAAATTTCTTATACCAAACGATCAACTCCCAGCACCCTTCCTATATCTGTTGTCTCCTCCAGCCTAAACCCTTAGTCCACTCAATAAAAACGAGATCCCGTGTTTCTGACCTCTATATTCCATTCCACAGGACAAAAACCTATGAACGTTCCTTCTTAGTCCGCTCCATCTCCTATTGGAATTCTTTGCCACATAACATCCGTCATGCCTCTTCCCTGTCAACTTTCAAATACCTCCTTTTCCAATATCTCCTTACATCCCAAACAGAAGATTTACCACCATAAATTTCATTTTATGAACTGAATTTGCGTGAAGTAAATAGTGGTGCCTACTGTTTAAGTTTTAACATAAAACAGCAGTGATCTTTGTCACCTAGTTTGGCTATTATTTTTACTATTTATTCATTTTATTTATTTTGCTTCTCTTCAGTTGTGCTTTTTTTTTTTCAGGTATATATGTTCATATTTTATATCTTTGTCTTTATGTGTGCCAATATGAAAATGTACGTATAAATAGTTCCTTTTAGTTATTTTTTTTTTTTCCGTTACATCACAAGTATCGTAAGACTTTATTTTATCTTAGTGTCTGCATATTATTATATAAACCACTGTAGATATTATTTCATTTTGTATTAAGTTAGTTTTCTATTAGATAGCCTATTGTTTATAAATTGTGTAGTTATGTATATATAAATATGTAATTTCTCTTCTTTTTCTTTTTTTTTCATCACAATTAAGTAATTATGAGAAGATTTTATGTTCATTTGTATATATATTTTATTTTTTATGTTTTATTGGTTAAGTACTTTTTAAATAATGTATATAATATTAAAATTTTTAGAAGTTAGTTTTTGGCCAGATTTGTACTTTACTTTGTATTAACTCATCATTGTTATTCTAAAGGGACTTAGTCCCAGAATAAAGTTTAATTTTCTATTCTATTCTACCTCTTTTCTGCCCGATCTGGGAGATGTACTCCATCCACGACAATCTGGGTCTTCCTCTTGGACGCTTTCCTACAGGTTTCGCCTCCATGAATTTTCGTGGGTCCCGGTCTTCATTCATTCGGCATACATGCCCGAACCATCTCAGCTGCCTCTTTTCTATGGAATTCTTTAGTGAGACAGTGCCTAGGTCGTCTCTTGTTTTTTCATTTCTGATCCGGTCTCTCCTGGTTCTGCCGGCTTATTATTTTCTTTAAATTTTTATATTTTACAGTAAAACATTAGAATCATTATTTTATCCCTGAAAAGAAAAGTGGGTGATAGATAGTAAAGACACATGCAGTTTTTAAGATATTTTATTGTCAGCGTTTCAACCTGAACTTGTGGGTCATTATCACGGCATTGATTATTTATCACTCAGGATATGTAGAATAGTTGTCAAACTTCCTTCAATAACCAGGATTGTCTATCAACGTCTAAAACATAGTTCATCGCTGAAATCCACCACATCAGAGATATGAGGCTCTTCATCTGCAGACAAAACTATCTTACAATACACAACAAGAGGAACAACACCTCACCTCAGCCCATCTCAAGCTCTACTTCCTTCTTCATTCCTTTCTGCTCTCTGGCCAGATGCTTCAAACACAAGAACAGAGGTAAACTGTTTCCCATATCAAGAATCCCTTCTAAACCTTTTTCTACCCATTTACATAAATAATTAGCTCATGAATCTTAAAGAAGAATCTTTAATTTTTCTCTTAAGCCAATTTCAAACATTATTTCCGACAACATCAACCAATTTAACATTGATACAATTTTTCTCTCTAAATTCAACACTCAGTTTCAAAAAATCCATCCTTAACACTTGAACACTCTTACTACTGGTAACATGCACTGATAATGTAGAGGCTTCTAGATGGATTACTCCGAGCTACATGACTCACCCATCTTAACCTCCTTGACGTCATATCATGAGATATTGATTAACTCGTTTCCGGAAGCAGCTCTTTATTGCTCTTTCTTTTCCATGTGTTAATAATCTGATCCCAGACCACTCCAGTTATCGTGCAGAGGATTTCTCTCTCAAATGTTTCAAAACTTTTTTCTAGGGTGATGGTTAGCATCCAGATCTCACAACCATATATTAGAACTCAGATTTCTTAAGATTTTTCAGGATTTCAATATCTTTGAAAGGGAGAAGAAAGCTCTGTTCATTCTTTGGCAGTGATTATAACAGATCCTAAACCGTCAAGTGTGCTAGTGGCCATATTTAACACACAAATCTGAAATAAGTTTTTCAACTTTAATGGATTTCAGAGATTTACAATACTGGTTTACTGGATTGAATGAACACCTCTATTGTATAAAAAAAGTCAACTCGTTAATAAATAATTTTCCTAAACAACTTAAAAACAAAAGTAATCTGAACAAAAACAAAGATATAATTTGTTTATCAACTTAATCACATGCTCTAACAATATAAGATCTTTTGAGTCATAATTATACCTTTATTAATGTACTTGCATTGTTAAGATATGCAGAAAAATAGCTACAAATATGTCTTTATATTTATAAGGTTATATTTTAGTCAAACCAAGTTAGAGAGGAGAGTAAATAACTTAAAAGTCTATGAAACATGATTTCAGAATTACTTGTCACAATGTAGTTATAATCCATCGCGATCATGTAGAGGTGAGGGTACACCGAGCTGATCTGTAAGAATATATCAAACAATGGCACGGCCCTTGCGTCAGTATTTGGCATCACTTGCGAAAAGAATTTACAATCTCTGCATTTCTTCACAAGATCCCTGAAAGTACAGTTTCACCAATAATCCATTTAAGGCATTTATTATGTAAGTGCAATTTATACTATGTGTGATTGTATAACATATATAAATTTATTAGATTTTAGAGGTATATAAATTTAATTGAGCCCTAAATGATAAGATACCCATTTTCTGGCATACCTTATTATAAGTTATTAGTAGATTACCAAGGCTAAAACCTGAGAGATAGGACAGGGATTGTTAATCAGTTGAACACGATAGTCCTCAAATCCATCTCCAAATGCTTTTTAAAAGTATCTTTGAAAGTTGAAAATTTCTATTATGACTTGGATATACTCCTGAATTAATTTTGTTTCACTGTCTATTTTATGGGGAGACCGCATGCCAAGATAGATGACTTTTTTCTATGTTCTTTAAGCTGTGAATTTCGATCAATGATCTAAATAAAAAACAGGTATTCAAATCCTGTTTGTGGAAATTAATAACAAACAAAAAATTAACAATAAATTCAAATGAATAAGTGTAGGCCCTATTCGACTACTTGACACGGGTTCGATTCCTGCATGGAGATGGTAACGTTCCCACCCAGAGATTTCTAGGGATGTGAGTGAACCCTAACCCTTACTCCATAGTTCCTGGTCCTCCGGTTTAGGGATTGGGTATAGGGCTAGGCTGGGTATTCAGCTGCTGCCACCTGCCAGAACTTTTACAGGCTTCTTCATTTCGTTATTCTGTGTCTTTTTTTGTCGATTGTTTATAGATTTATAGACTTTTCACTCACCAACTTGTCCAATGCACAGTAGAGTCCAATTCACAGTGCAACCCTACTCTTTTCTATTCCTACTATTCCTTCTTATTTCCTCACTCAATGTCACATAAAGGAGTAAACAGAGGCCATCTACTATAAAACGGAACTACAAGAGGAAAACTATCACAACTAATCGGACTTGAAGTGATGTTTACCTGTCCATGTTGATGAGAAGGAGGCCATTTTCACACATTTTAAAAAGTGGCCGACTTAACATCTGTGTTCTATTGACATTTAGGTTATTGCACCATTCTAAGTAAGTCGTTTTACTGAAATCAACTACATCCTGAACAAAGTCCTCATATTCTTTTTCATATTTCTCAGTCCTTTCAGGTTCTATAAGCCAAGTAGCGGTCTTAATGAACTGAAACATAATTTTGTTAGCAAATATTTTATACAATGTAGGTTAGTTTTCTTTCACCAGATTTGATTTATAAAAAAAAATTATATTTAACCTATTACATATAAATTTAACTACTGCAGTTCTGTTGTTGCAATACAGTTAAAACCTTACACTGAAGAAATACATGTTGGTGTAGTCATTGATTGAAAATATTTATGGTCACTGTTTTCCAGAATAAAGTCTTCTAATCCATTACAAAAAATATGATATTTATTTTTAATTTTTTAAATACTTTAACCTGATAGATTCCGAACAAATTATTATTTGGAGTTACCATCACAATCAGGCATCCACAACTTGACAATGCCAGGTCATCTCATGAGTAATAACTTTATTTTTACATCCACACCTGTCTAATAAATAATTAAAAATCAGTGGATTGTCTGGCAAGATTAGTAACAAAATAAATGTCGATTTTTAAAAATCTGTCTTTTTATGTAGATGTTACTAATCCCTCCTTTATGAATGAATTGTGTTTACATGTTTTGTAATTAGCATTACATGCTCTTCTACTTATCATGTTTTTGTTGGAGAAAATTAGTAAACCTCTGCTGAAATTTCAATTACAATGGATCTCCCCAAAAACCACTTACGCCATATTATGCTTGGGAAATTTGATATAGAAGAAAATGCTGTTTCAACTTATTGAAAAAGAAATTAACTAAGAAGTGAGGGCTGTGCTGGCTTGGACAAGTGGAAAAGATTCCTATGTCGAGATTACCCAGACAAATGCTGTATGGTCATCTCGTAGCTTTGAGCTATTAAAATTTGTTTCTTAGTTACTAAATAATTAATTAAAAGATGGAAATGTTATCCTTTACCTCAGGGGCACAGATTTAGATTAAATATAAATTTGAAATTAAATATTCTTAAAACATAATTTTGAAAAAAAGTTAAAACTTACCTGGTACAATTGAATCAAGCGTTTTTGTTTGACAACTAAGTTGACAACACGACTACTCTGCCTCGGCATGTACAGATAAACATTTTTTCCGTTGTTAGTCAAGTCCTTCTTGTATTTCTTTACATCATCATAAAACAGGTCGCGGATCTGAAATAGTCATTAACTCGATATAAGATGGAGTATAATGGATGACATTAAATATTCTTTACTCAAAAGTTTAAAGTTAATAACAACGTACTTATTGTACATTTAAGCTACTAATTGAAAACAGTCCTTCAGGTGTATTTTTCTTGTAATGTTTTTGAGAATATATAAGTGAAATATTTGAACTTTATTGATTAATTGGAGAAATAACAGTACATTGTTTTAAATGGAAAGGTAAAGTTGTGTCATGTGGTAGTGTTGGATCTGATCTCGTAGATTGAGACATTGCCAGCAGAGGGAGGTATTATGCAGGAAACAGCTGTTCGTTCTGTCGACAATGAACCTCTGTAGTTTGCTCAAGCTTTATAACTAACTAGCTGTACTTGGCCATGCGTTGCTGTGGGCTCACTCTTTTTGAATATATTTTTCTATTTAATTTAATTATTTTTCATTAAAAAAGAAAGAAAAGGTTTCTAATATAGTTTATTTCACAATACTTGTGGATATACAATATTTTTTGTTGTTACATCTTTGTATAGAACATGCAACATATAATTGTCCACGTGGGAAGAAGTTCGTCCCTAAATCTTTGAAGACAAACTATTAAATGTTTAAAACATTACATCTCTGCACCAAATCGTCCGATTTTAGTGTTGTTTTTTTTTTAAATTGCAGAGAATTAAGGAAGCTTTTAAATAATTGTGGGTATAATCAAACAAAACTTGTGTACTTTTTGAGTTATTCGCAAATATAGTTTTGAACCCATCGTAATTTTTTTTCATACTCTTTTCAGGAAAGCATGTTTTATACATAACTTAAAAGGGCTTCAAGAAGACTTTAGCCGAGTTAAAATCTTTACAGACGTTTAGGCGCTACAGTCTATAGCGACACACTTTTTCGGATGCCTTTTCGAAACAAAATGCCAGAGGGTAATTAAATGTATTAAAAAACACTCCTGAATCTGATAGAAACATTATGTCAATATTTCAAAGCAATTAGATAAGGATTTTTGGAGATTAGCGGTTTTGAAAAAACAAACATTTACGTTTTTATTAATATAGATGACATTACTATTGCTAACCCCAATAGAATATAAGCAATATAATATTACTACCAACTCCAATACGATATAAGCAATATAATATTAGGTGCGGAGTATTTCAGTGATTTAGGTACTGAGCTGCTTATCTCAAGATCCCAGGTTCGAATACAGTTGATGTAGTCATTTTTCTTCAGTCATGGATTGACCCTGAGGTCAGGAGACTCTCCTGGGGCATACCCAACCTCTCTAAAGTGGATACTCTTAATTAAATAATTAATTAAGGAGGAAAACATGGTGGTTGAATAGGGTCCTGGCCCGATCACTTCCATGCACAACTGTTGACCTTGAAACAGTACTACCTAATACAGTACTGAACCCAAAACCCTATATGGGTTTTAGTGGTAATGGTTAATATAATATTACTAACACTAATATGACATAAAAAATAATATTATTACAAATCCCAATATGATATAAGCAATATAGCATCACAACAGCTGTTAGAGCCACAAGGAAGATAAATTAAGCTGATAAAATGAAGTTTAACCCAATCAGCTGTCAAAAAACAACAAAAAAAACAACAACAGGGAAATAATAAAATAATCATTAGATTGAAATGTAACTGGTAAAAAGGTAATTTACTTTTTCAGAGCATTTCATAAATGCTGGAACTAGCGCCGGACGTTTGGTGTAGTCTTTGAATTGAACGAGAACATCAATGGTTTCTTCTATATTGTCTATTTTGTCAATAATAAGGTGCAATGCATTTTCAGTGTACATTTCTAAATCGGCAATGCCATCTCTGAACCTAAAAAAAAAAACGACAAATGTAATCATTTGATTATATAACTTAATTGAGAATTTTCCTTTACATCTTAAAATAAAATAAATAAGAAGTATTCTGAACAATAGTAACGATATATTTTAATAAAATAAACAATTAACATCTAATAGTTTTTAAATAAAAGTTTTTTTATGATTCGTACTTCTAAACACGGTTGATATCTTAAAGAGGTTCAGTTAATATCGCACATTCAATCTAAGCCCATCTACTAAATTCATTTGGAACATTTAACAGCAAGAGTGGTTAGGGGTGGTTTTTAGGTCTTTGCCTCCTCAATTTTCTCGCTGCCCTTCTCCAAAAGTCTATTTCCACTGCCAGCAATCCTTTCCGGTGTCAGGCGTTAATGATCCATGTCTCCGAGGCATATGTTATTACAGGCTTGAATATAGATTTGTATATTAGCTTCTTTACATTAGACTGTAAATTCAAGCTCCAAAGGATGTCATTGAACATTGCAGTGACTTTTCTTCCTTCTCCAATTCTCTGTTGAAGATTGGTCAACATAGCTATCTGACAAAGTATCAAGGTGTTCTATTTTAAAAAAATTAATATTCAAGCCCCAATTTCCATATGATCCTTTAACTACTTTAGTTCATGAAAATAGCTATTTATAATTATAAAAATATTATAACAAAAATTAAAATACCCATCACGATATCAACCTCTTATTTTATCTGAGAAGGAGTTAATCGGGGGGTGCGGTCTAATAAATACTATATTATAATACAGTAATTATTTTAATTTTTGCCGACGTTTCGACCCACTTTGCAGGTCTTCTTCAGGGCTAAAAAAGATACAAAACATGTTGAAAATAAAAAATAAATATAAGTAGGTATAAGATAAGAAGAAGTTGTCAGATACAGAAATAAAAGATGATATCAGAGATATAGTGGGTGACAATGTAGTTAAATATTAAGTATTATATATGTAGAAGATACAAACAAATGGAAAATAATTATGAATAAAAATAAAAATAAAGGAGAATATAGCATGTAAGTTAAAAGTAAGATTGCGATAAAAGATAAGAAATAAGTGCATAACAAACTAATAGAAATTACATTAGATAACTGTGGGTTAACAGATAAAGAAAATGAATGTTAACGAATAAAAAGATTGAAAATTATATAAGTATTGTTACAGTAAACTTTTCCATTGTTTGTATCTTCTACATATATAATACTTAATATTTAACTACATTGTGACCCACTATATCTCTGATATCATCTTTTATTTCTGTATCTGACAACTTCTTCTTATTTTATATCTGCTTATATTTATTTTTTATTTTCAACATGTTTTGTATCTTTTGTAGCCCTGAAGACGACCTGCAAAGTGGGTCGAAACATCGGCAAAAATTAAAATAATTACTATATTTTAATTTAGTATTTATTTGACCGCACCCCCCGATTAACTCCTCATATTATATCAACGGTCAACCATCTCTACATCAACTCTTATTTTATCAGCTGATTTATAGGTTCTCTAAATAAAAATGGTAACAGAAGGATTAATGTCAAAAACTTAAATAACTGCCCTTATTTTTAATCAATTGGCTTACAAACTTATTTATGTTACACATATATAATGTTAACTTACTTTTTCATTACATCTCGCCATTCTTCAGACTCCTCATCTAGAAATTTATTTTTTCGGGCTTCAACATCTTCGAACAGTTTCCAAAATTCTTTTTTGACTTTATCCATGATTCTGGAGATTTCTTCGTCTCTTGTCCAATAATATGGTAACATAGACTCTTTCTCTCCTTTTGGCTCATTCACCCTGTCAATGGATATAATAAATAATTATGGTGAACATTCATTATTATATTTTTATAAATAATATTAAAACATATAAGTTGTTTCATATGAAATGCAATTTTGTTATTATATTATTTATAATTTAAAAAATAATGGGCTATGTACAATTATTTTGCAAAGTTTTAATTTTGTTCTAAAAAGAAAAAAAAATTCTAATTCTGTACTAGCTGTTTCCATTCAGTTATTCCAATTCTCACCAGATCCTGCTGTATATCATCCAGCCATCGTGTCATAGGATGTCCTCTTCTTCTTTTTCCAGACAAGTTCTCTCTCATCATTTTCTTTTTCATCCTATCATCCTCCATTCTCTGCATATGACCAAACCAGCTAATTCTTCAAGATTTTACAGCGTTATATGTTCTCATGCCTTATTAAATCTTCTAATAAACTCAAACCTCTTCCAATTAAACCTGGTTATTTTTAACGCGCCACACGTCCTGGATGTAAACTGGACCAAAAATACGCCTCAGAATCTTTATTTCAAACACACTTAGCATGTGTTGGTCTGTAACTTTCCAGATTTCTGTACCATATCAAACAACAGGCCTGACGAGGGATTTGTAAAGCTACATCTTGGTAGCTCTAGAGAGAAATATCTATTTGAAGAGGTTTACAAGACCGTAATTTCATACTATTTTCTACCATGAACCGTTTTCTGATCTCTTCACTCACCTTGTTCTAGCAATAAATATTTATTCCAAGGCAAACGATAAATCATTAAACTGTAAATTAGCCAATATTCTTGCTCCAGATGCAGACAACACAATATACTTTGTTTTTATCAAATATTGTAAAAAAAAAAAAAAAAAAACATCAATTCAGGGGTACAATATCGATAACATCAATATAGGAGAATTGTATCATTCGATTGAAGGTTCTTCTTGCAAGTATTTTTTAAAATTAAAAATTTTGTTCCAAAAAACATGTTTTCAATAAAGAACACAACAGCTACAAAGAATTCTCTCTACCTATATAATAGTCAAGCATTCCATAATTGAGGAATTTTTTTTAGAGTTGTCAAATGTTGATTTTGTGATATCTAAATTAACTCTCTGCCCACCGGCTTCAGCTAATTGTCGACTGATTTTTTTATGATCCGGAAGCCATAAAATTGGATATATTACAACACAAACTTTATAGAATGAATGGATATTAATACAGGAACAACATTGTTAATAGAAAAGCCCCTCATAAAAGTAATAGATAAAAACAAGATACAAAAAAAAAATTTTATTAAATGGCACAAGATGTGTGCTTAGAATCGATAGACTGAAAGGACCATCGACAGAAGTCAAAACATTAACATGGTGGGATCAACAGTATGAAATAAATAATACATTTTTTTGTTCTATATTCACTAATTAATAACATTTACAATATAACCAATTATAATTGTGTATAAATTACACTGGTAAATCTTGCTTTGACTGATTATCAGATATTTGTGTGATGCTCTAAAAATGAAATAATAGGTTTATGATAACTAAATTAAAATATGTGAAACCTACTGGCTAAATATCTATCAAAAACTCTGTCAATGATTGTTCCATATTTTGTTGTTATTTCATTAGGATCACTCAACATATCCAAATTGAATGTTGATTTCAAAAAATCAATTAAAGGATTTGATATGTCTTTTGAGAAATCTCCACTGAAAATCATTTGTAATGAGATATTTTAGACCAAATGTTCAAAACAGTCATTGTTATTTGTTTTTTTGGTGCTATATTTTTTCCTTTCTGACTGTAAAATTCGGTATCACGTTGCTTGCTTACAGTATGCAGGTCTAAATTTTAATTTTATAGATATTTTAATCCTAATGCAGGTCTACACCACTTGGCAGGTATGCTTCAGTGTTTCAATCCGAGATACTGGCAATCTGCCACTGTGTACAAAACCTACTGCAAACCAATGTGACTGAGAAAAAGATCACCATCTTTACTGACAGTCAGGCAGCAATAGGTGCTCTCGACAATTATTATGTTTATTCAAAGGTCGTTAAGGAATGCAATAGAGCACTTAATGAGCTAACTGAGCATAACAGAGTTGCAGTGGAGTGGGTGTCAGGCCACTCTGGCATACCAGGCAACAAGATGGCTGATGAGCAAGCCAGGTTGGGCTCAGATACTATTCCTATAACTCCCGAGTCTGTCTGTGGAATCAGCCTCAGCACTGCCAAGGGCAGGATCAGGGAGATCTATGGGAACAAATTTAGGAATTACTGGACCGACAAGAAACAGAGACATTCGAAGCTGTTCCTTGAAGGCCCATGTAAGAAAAGAAGTAAACAGCTACTGAACATGGACAGAGCAGCTCTTAAAAAACTTACAGCGATCTACACAGGTCACTGTAAGTTAAATAATCATATGTTCAATCTCCGAGTAATGACGAATCCGCTATGCAGATTCTATCAGGAGGAGAATGAAACAGCTTTTCACATCATATGCAGATGTGACAGGTTTATAAGGCTGAGACTGGTGGTATTTGGGGAGGAACAGATGGATCTCCCCAGAAGATTTGAGTCGGTCAACCCAACCAGCCTACTTAGATATGCGGAAGCGACAGGACTAACGTTTTAAACAAAACGAATTAGTGAATATTGGCGCACAATGGACCCAAAGGGGTCGATGTGCTTAAAGCCAACATTAAAAAAAAAAATCCTAATGCAAAAATTATTCAACTCGAGCCGACTTTACCTGAATGAGCATTACATAGCCGAGCTTGACGGGTCGGTCTCATTCATTACCCACAAAAAAGAGCTAAACGCTCCTAAAGAAGTTTTCACTTCAATAAAAGTAATGCAGATACAAAAAAAAGAACATACCTTCCAAATATCCCTAAGGTATAACATAGTTCAATCATGTCTTTGCACCTTTCCTCGGCAGTGTTTATTTTATTAAAAACCAAATCCTGATTTACATTCCATGGTCTTCTGTGGTAACTATTATGGGTATCCACAGCCTACAAAATGAATAATAAATAATAATGTTTAAAATGTCATAATAAATAATAAAGTTTAATTCAGACTTTTGAAATAAAAATAAACTTTTAGTTAGTACGGTATTTAGTATTATTATCATTAATTATTATTATTAAGTATTTAGTTAAGTATAATAATAATATATTTTCATTATAAATTTAATAGAGGACACTTCATTAATTCAATAAAAAATTGTTTCAATTATTTATTATTGTTCTATTATTTATTATTGTTGTTGTATTTATTATTATTTATTATTGTTCAATTATTTATTGTTTCAAAAATTAATTCAATAAAAAATTCATTAATTCAATAATAACAATGATACAAGCGCAACTGTGGGTGAGAAACACCAGAAATATTCATGGCAAAAAGGAAATTTGTAAATGTTTGACAAGATTAATAACTGAAGATAGCCATTCTATTATAATATTAAATTCAACAAACAAATATTAGATTATTGTTTAAAAGTAAATTTGTAGATAATTTAGTTGTTTCAAATAGGAATCTAGACATAAAAATTATAATCAAATAACCATGCATTTAACTATAAAATTTAAATATGAGTAATGCACAAAATGTTTTTTCTTCATAACTGTTTTTAGTTTTTTTTTTTTTTTTTTCAGAGATGCACTTTTTATGAAAAGTTGAAGAGCTCACTGGAGAAGATTTCAGAGAGCTTTCATAAAAATTATTAGCCTTTTTGATGCATGATCTATAAAAAAACATTTGTTTGGTATTGTGCACTGAGTTTTCAATTTTGTTCAAAGAGGGCTGAAACGCAGAAAAAAAAAAAAAAGAATCTATGAAATGGTTTAAGAAGTAATCATGTCACAGGCAGACAAATTACCAATTCTGTTTTAGGACTCGGGTGGCTTTGGAAGGAAAAGATTAATTGAAAGCTAAAAATAAAAAAATTGACCCTATTATAATCTTTTCAAATAGTAGTAGGAATATAAAAAATAAAATACAAATATATTTTTTTAATTCAAATACTTTTGTTTGACACAAAGAATGTTTTTATTACAAAGTCGCTTTTGCCATAAAAGCTCTTAGCCGTGAAGATATCAGTATTATTACAATTACAGTATTAACACGTTATTATGGTATGATAAGTGAGCTTCGTGAATTATTAACATAATCAAAGAACACTAAATTATAAAGGGCTCTTTAGGTTTGGTTTGTTTTTGTCTGCAGATGATCTATTTAAATTTTCTCTCAACTCAATATTGCACATTAAAAGTCATATAAATTACTCAACAAATTTTTCTTTGCTATGTTTAAGTAAGTACAGTGGACTTTAGCTAATCTCAACTGGGGAAAAAAAATCACTTCATAAATAAAAAAATCATATTATATTTACATAAAATTATTTTTACAATAGTTAATCATTAATTCAGAAATCTATTCTTAAATATTTCCTTCTGAAATTTTCATTTGTTTGGAAAATGAAATATTCATTTTCCAAGGCTTCTGACTGCATCTTCTAATAAGAAAAATAGCAAAGCTACCAATGAATTAACAATACAACTTCGCACTGAATATTAATTGAATCCACAAATAAAGAATTTGAGAAAATTCTTCTGAATTTTAATATATACATAGCTTGGATTTTAATTTGTAAAAAAGCAGTTTGTATTTTTAACTAGATTACATAAGACACAAAATGTAAGTTGTTGATAAAATAGCTTAAAGAATAGTTTAGATTACAGAATGATCTGGATTAGTGAGAGTAGAAAAATAGAACATTTTCACCTTTCATTTATAACTGGAATGGATGTTATAAAGAGTTTTACTCTCTAAGTAGAATAACTATATAATTTTAAGAGAATACAAATATAATGCAAAGCAAATAAGTATTATGGTAAATATAATATAATTTAAAGAGTATACTCAAAAACAATTTTTTAAAAAATAAGACATACTTATCTAACGACATACCTTTTTGTATATCCTTTTCACATTTTCATAACATATAGTCATATTTTGAAGAGTTTCAATAACGCTTAAAGGTTTTAAACAGAAAACAGCTTTGAAATCTGCCATTGTTTTGAGCTTTGATACTATATGATAACTGAGGCAAACACAAAGCATTTCCAAATGCTTACTGAAAAAACACATGTTTTATAGGTAGTGAATAATACCAAGTAAATAAATAAGGAAGGCATTACTTACTCTTCATTATATGCAGGTGATCTTGCCCAAACGAATTTGATTGCTTTTAATATTTCAGGGATTATGGGAGGTATTTCCAAAGGATCTGTAGCAGAATCTAGCCGTTTACACGGAGCTTCTAAAACTTGTAAATATTGTGCGATAGATTGAGCTGTTTCTTTGGCTTCCTGCAAAAATAATACATATCTGATCAAATAAAGTAGAATTGCATTATCAGGAAAAGTAAAATTACATAATGATAATCTGGTGCAAATATTAATCTGGTGATAGCATTAATCTCAAATAAGGTTGAAAATTTAGTTTTAAACACGTATTTTGAGAAAGAATAGTTTGATGATGTATTTGATGTCCAATATATGACTTTAACAATAACACATTTTTTAAGACTTAAATGTTTTGTGCCAGTAGTTTGCCTCTTTTTCAAAATGCTATCAAATTATCGAAGAAGACAATATTTCGGTAATCAGAGTAGTAAATGAAGTTAATTTGCTGATACCCAAGATTTAATCTTTTCCTTATTAATATATATTTTTAATAATGATATCTGATTAAAATGATCATTTTCAGGTTGTTTATTATCATTAACTCCAAATAATGGAGGTTGAATTTTAACAACTGATCAACTATGCGAACTTTGCTAAAAAGTTCTTGATAATCAGTTCTTAAAAATTTATTAATATGTAAGTAAATATTTATTTATTATTATTAAAGCATAACATCATAAAATTAACTAAAATAACATAAAACCCATATTCCAGCAAAATAGCTGCATGGCCCCCGAAAACTATATATTAATAGAAGAGAATTCTCATCCCATTCTCCTGCCGTTCCCTAGCTTGTCCTGCATTCTTTCTGAAAATTGGGACTTTCTCTAAATGGCGTGGAATGTGGGACATATTATTAAAAATCGGGACTGTCTCACCAAAAGTGGGACGTCTGGTCACCTTAATGTAGAACATTTATAGGGTCTAGTCACTATGAGAGATGACTGATCATTATAGGATTTTTATATCATTACTTCGGGAGCTCAGTGATAAGAACAGTCATTCCAAAGCTCAAGGTCCTGAGTTCTAATCCCGCTGATGGCACATAATTACTTATTTTGTTTCAGCTGTGAATTGACTCTGGAGTCGAGTGACCCTGACTCAGGAAATATATAAAGTGAAACTTCTTAATTAAATAATTAATTAATAGGAGAAACCTGGCAGTTGAGCATAATATAGGTCAAATTACCTCCTTTCACAACCGTTGACTCAAAAATGGTACTTCCCTTACATAGTACTGAACCTAGGATCCCCAATGGGCTGTAGTGGTATAGTGTTTTTTTTTTAGCAGTAATTGAGCTCCTTCTATTCCTAATTTTTCACTAAAGTTTAATTATTTTCCATATTAATTTTCATTATTTTTCTCTAATGTTTTTTATTTTACATTCTATATTTTACTTTCTATAAGCAATTAAATAAGTATAAAATAACCAAAAAATAACTTTTAGATACTTTAAGTCATAAAAATGTTTGCTAAGAGAAAACTCAATAGTCAAAATTCATAAAATATGTTTGGTTAATTATAACCATATTAAGTTAAAAAGAAAACAGAAAAGATCATAAAAGTTGCAAACAAGTGTAATGAATGAATAAAAAGTAAAAGGTTTTTCAATAAACCTACAAGTTTAATTATTTAGACAATTGAAATCAAACTCAAATTGGCTTGCGGCAGAGAAATGGACAATCATCGATGTTCAAGTTAGTGCTGGAGGATTTGATAAGAACATGACACAAAAATAGAGACATACACTTCGGAATGAATCATAAAATCTTTTGATATGCAGATAATATAGCTGGATATGCAGATAATATAGCTGTTCTTGGAAGTAATCAAGAGGACATTAAGAAACTCGCTAAGACTCCGATAAAAGAAGCATAGCAGATCGGCCTAAAAGTAAATGAAGACAAAACAAAATACACGAGAATAAGCAGATAATTCCATTCTATTAATAGGATCTGCGTAGAAGAGAAATTGTTTCTGAATGTAAACGAATTTAAATACCCCGCCTCCACAACCTCAATAAATGACAAACGGTTGGAAATGGACCAGCATATAATAAGAGCTGCTTACAGAAACTGATCAATCATCATTAGATGAAGGCATGGAGGTTAAGATGGGCGGAGCATGTAGCTGCGAACCATCTGGAAGTCTGGGGAAGGACACAGAACAGATGGATAGATCAAATCAACAAATGCAGTAGAGCTGTATGCAGATAACTGGAAAGATATAGCCCAAGACAGGCAGAGATGGAGAAGGCTGGTTAAAGTTCTACAAAGTCTGTAATGTTTACAGAAAAAAAAAACAGTCTCATTAATTTTTAATAACAACTTATTGATAATGCCAAAATATGTTTCATGGTTATATTTATACTTATCCTAACTTAAAATGAAGTTCCAATTACATCCCATCTTCATTCAAGCTAAAAAAAAAAAAAGAAAAAGAAATACCAGGAAGAGTTTTATAGCATATTAACATTTTATTGGATTATCATTTTAAAACCTATATATTCGAAAGAATGCTCAAAGCCATTAAAAAATTAGTATTGTTGTGAACAAGTTATTTATAGTTTATGCCTGTTCAATATCAAAATAAATGATGAGTAAAATTGTATAAAACACAAATAATAAGATATTTTAATTATGAACCATTACTTACTATTACTTCTGGTTTCAGTTCAAGAAATGGCTGAATGTGAGGTGATTGAGCCGTTAACAATATATCACAGATATAGTTAACACCCTCTGATTGCAACTGATCTAATATTCCACAAAGATTTTCATCTAAAATGAAAAAAAATGCCAATCCATATAAATGTAAATGTGTATTATCATTCAATATTCTAATAAATTTTAAAAATATTTACTGAATAATAAATCATATTTTGAACTTACATTTTCTGTCCTCCATTGAAAGAATAAGGTTAAATAAAATACAGATGTATCCAAAAAGTGACAAATTTGATAATATACTGGATATTGTATATAACAATATTGAATATAATGATATATCAGTAGTAATGATGAATATTTCCAGAGCAGTTATTCTCAAAACCTATTCACGATTGTTTTTAACAACAGTAGACTACAACGACCAAAAATGCATGGTCCCTTGCAGAGCAATACGGTCCCTTGCAATAAATAATAAATAAATGACATCCAGGGCTAAGCAGACTTCCATGGTAATATATGGTTTAATCTTTATAAAATAAATTATGTAAGAACTTTAACATTTTTAGGAACAAGAGTTACTATGTTAGAAAGTGTTGGTCTTAGAAATTAGACAGCTACATGGAAAAAATAATTTCATGCAGCACAACAAAAACTGAACTTTAAAGTACTTTCTCTAAATAACAGAGAGGTGGTTTTGACAACAATACAAGGAAAATGTAAAATATGGGATCAATCATCGTCCTTCTTACTCCTACAACCTTCTCCAATTCAATTCCTCAGTCCATTCCATTCCCACAATATCTCAACCTTCTGACCTTTAGATCTCTTCTCACAGATCTGCCTCATTTCAAATCTCCTTTATTGCTCGGGCTGTCAATTTCTGGAATTCCCTCCCTATCAAAATTCATCATTCCCCTCCATATCAAATTCGAAATCCTATTCCAATTTCTGTTCCCAAAACAATCAGATACTTGCTAACCTTTTGGCATTATTTATTTATTTTATATCATTCATCATCAAATGATAGTACTGTGCACTGTACTTTGCCAGGGATATGACAAAATCTTCCTACTCTTGATGCAACTGAATGCATCTATTGTTTGTTTACTATTATTGTTTTTTTATTCTTATACAGCTAAATTTGTACCTACAGTTACAATAAGATCATGAAGTATTTACATATTACTCATTATTTAAATACTAAGACATTTATATTGTCAGAGTTGGCTTTATTTTTTTTTTAGCGGAAACACAGAGCTTATTTTAAAGACAAACTTAATGTATTTTTTCTTCAAAGTATATATTTATAATGTTTTACCACTGTACATAGTTTTAAGTGTTTTGTATATAGTTTTATTTGTTTTGTACATATCATGTTTAACTAATGTTTTCTTTACTTTTTTCTTTTTCTTTTTTGTTATTGTTTTTATTTAGACAGGATGTGATCTTTTAATTTTCTACTATTTTGTTATTCTAAAGGGATTTCGTCCCAGAATAAAGTTATTTTCCATTTAATCTATCTATCTAATTGATAGGTAATGAGACAGTGGGAGAAGAAATGTTAAAAAGGAAAATTGTGTATAAGATCAGGTCTGCCAACAATGATGACCATTGGAAAAGAGAAAATAAAGAACTAATACAGTGGTTAATGTTAAAAGGATTTTACTCCATCATCCATCAATAGTGAGAATAAAAGGAAGGAAGAGGAGAATATCCTAAGCCAAGAGGAAGAGGATCAACATCCGTCTGGTAAAACAAAAAAGATCATAATAAAGAACAGAGAGCAAACATTATAAAAGAATAGTAATTCATGTTATCACACTGTATCATTTTCATAACATTTAAGGATCATTTTCAACATATCTCTTTCAAGAATCTTTAATCTGGAACAATGATATATAAAACAATCATTCAGGAAATTGGTAAATTGTTAGGTTTTTGACATTATCAAAAAGCTTATACCAATAAAAATAAATAATCTTGTGATTAAGAATTGTCTAACCAGAGAACTAGGCACAAGAAGCCTCTAAGCTATTTTGGAAAGTGCAATGAGAGATGAAAGGATCAAATACCTTTAGTAGAGGAAAACCATACAGAATTAATAAAAAATAAAATATAGTTTACAAGTAATAGTTATGCTCAAGATATAATAACTCTAATGTAATATATAAAAGCGTATTACAACAGAAATTTAATTAAATCAATCAATAATATTAATACATACATCGATTGAGGGCAGATTCGTAAGCATCCAGAGGTACACATCCTTCAATCAATGTGTCGGGGGTTGCATTTATAGCAGCTTTTTTTACAGCGGTATGCCACATGAGCACAACTCCTAAAACATAAGCAAGTATGAAGTGTATATTGATACTCTTAAATATATATATATATACAAAATATTATCTTCAGTGATGTAGTAATTAAAGGTTTCTTATCTATTAACTTTTTTTTTTCCCACAGCGTATAATATATATATAAATTCAATTAAGGTTATGTGATGAACTTATATGTCAAATATAAATCAGCTCAGGCTTTAGTTAAGCCTACAATGGTTAAGGCTATTAAGGATTCAATTGATGAATAACTAAGGAATTTAGTAGAGAATAGAAATTAAATTAATCTACTTGCAGTTTATGTATACTAATCGTTCTTTAAAAAAAAATATCATTTGATTGGTGAAACCTCTTAATAACATAAAAGAGAAACTATTTATTTATTTATTAACATTTGGCCCTACGATTCTACAAGAATCAGAGCCTTTCTTGTTATTCTTCTCTTTCTCGGGCGAGCATTCTCCATCTCCAGATTCCCATCTTTTTTAGGATGTCCTCCAACTTGTCTAGCCATCTCAGACAGGGTCTTCCTCTGCTATGTCTTCCACCAGGTGTTTGGGAATGGAATCCCTGGGAATGCGTGCCACATGGCTCAACCATCTGATTTGGTGATTTCTTACAATTGAGATCAAATCCAGCCTTGCATGGATCTCATGCAGCTCTTTATTGGAGTGAACTCTCCACTGTCCATCCTCACACACCTGACTATAGATCCTATGGAGAACCCTTTTCTCCCATGCGAATAGCTTCCTTTCTGACGCCTTAGAGATTACCCAAGTATCAGAGCCATAGGAGTCTTATGATTTTCTCATACAGTTTGATTTTTGTCCTATGAAAGAGGGAGTTATAATTTAGCAATTTGTTCATGGCAAAACAGCATCTATTCCTAGCAGCCGTTCTTCCCTCATATCATTACTTTCTGTAATTGGAACATTAAAATACTTAAAGTTTTCTACTGCTTGTAGGGTGTGATTATACGAAATAAATTATAATAATAATAATATTTGAAAATTACTTCTCTTATACAGGGTATCTTAGTTCTTAAAGGCCAAATCCCTGGAGAGGAGGGAGGGGATGATTCTAGACAAAATTTTCAACAAAAAAAGGTCATTTGATGCATGGTCCAATTCCAAATAGAAAAGTAGTAGACCAATTTTTGTAGTCAAATTTTTTATTGAACAAAAAGGAATTGCTCAAAACCTGTTCAAGTTAATAAAACTCTAAGAGTACCGTCGTAAATTAGACAACATTTTTTGGACAAAACAGTGATTAAATGTATTAAGGTCAATGATAAAAGGGACCTTCAGGAGGTCTAATATGGCCGATGTACATGTATATGAATGAATGAAAATAATTTTATTATTCTGGGACTAGTGTTCCTTTAGAACAAGTCACAAATATAGAATATATATCAATATTTTGGTGTGTCAAAATATACGCTGTTTGTATATGGGTAATGTGACTACAGTAGTACAGCGGTCATCTAAGACCTCCTAAAAGTCTCTTTAATCAGTGGTCTTAGTAAATTTAATCACTGTTTTATCAAACAAAAACTTTTCTACTTTACGATGGTGTACTTAGAATTTTATTATCTTCAACATTTTTTGAGCAAGTTCTTCTTATTAAATAAAAAATGTAAGCTCACAATATTGGTCTCAACTCCTCTTCTGATTGGCATGCATTAAGTGAACTTTTTTGTTGGAAATTCTGCCTAGAATCCCCCTCTCCCCTCTCTGAGTTTGACCATTGATGCATTTGGGTTTATCTGAAAGAGAACGAAGGCGACCTATCTCTTGAGCCAGCTACTATTAACTTTCCTGCCATTTAAGTACTTCTATAACCTTAACCATGTTTAAAGGAAGGAGATGGTCCAGATGCAACGGGCAACGGTCAACTATTAAATATTCAATTTAACCATGTTTAGTTATACAGCAGAAGCCGACTTATATTCGAAACTTAGGCTACATCATGTAACCTTAATCGAACTCGTACATATATTATACAGCTGTGGAAAAGAAATAGTAACAGATAAAAACCTGTAATTATTATATCTTTGAATGCTATTTCACGATATTATTTTTCTTATTAATAATTTCCATTATTCATTATCTCGGAACTATCAGATATTATTCTTCAGTTAAAATAAAACATTTTATGACTCAAACATCATTTTATATATATTTTTATTCCAGAGTAATAACCGTTGTAATAAAAATTAATAATTAACAAATTAGTAAATACATAATTTGTTAATAAATTGTTAATCAGGAAGTTCCATGATGGTAATAATTTTTTTTTTTTTTTAAATACATGAAAAGGGATTGTGTGGTGGGGGCAATAGCTGACGTCAGAAAAGATGGCAACACTCGGCTATTTTCTGGATTCCATGCACAAGTGTGATCAAAGTGATTGCGAACTACGCTTAATCCGTGCTGAACTCATGTAAACTAGTACCAAAATATTAATATTAATATTTATTTAAATAAATTTACATAATCAGATGTATAAAAAGAAAGAAAGAAAAATAATAAAACGTGTTGAGTACAAATAAAGAAGTACTTTGACAATTTAATAGTTAAAATAAATGGGTCCTAGTTAGACAGTTTGAACATGCTCAGCCATTTTCAGAATTCCATCTATAGCGAGACCATGAGATCTTGTCCCCAACTATCAGAGGAGTAACTCTTTTAAAGTAGTAACAAAACTCCGAATACATATATAGTTATATATATATACACATATATAGTAATACATATACACATATATAGCAATATACAAATATATAGTAATACATAAACATAGAATCCTTACTTTCCAGCCTTGCAATCAAATATTGGTCTTTCACAGCTGATCTCAAGTTCACTTCTAGTCCTTCTTTTGGGACATACAAGCCTGTGAGACCCATCAAATTGAAATGAATTTCCGTCAACTGGTTCAAATATTCATGATAAGCCTGGCGCACTTCCATTTTGAGTTCTGAAAAAACAAAAAAATCTAAATCATGAACCATGTTTCAAACAGTTTCACAAATAATTTCATTGACAAGTTACACACCATCAGGCCATTCTTTGATATGAAAGAAACCTGGATAATAGACGGTTTCCAATAAAGTAGCTATTGATCTCTCAGGGTACTCGTCCAATGTTCCAAACATGACGTTGTCCAGAAAATTCTCTCCAGTAATTTCCACTTTCTTATGAAGCCTCGCGAAATACTGTATGTCCATGAACCTGCAAGTTGGGAAACCCAATTTTGCCTTCAAAATGTCATCTTCAAAGTAGATTGTTAACAAAAATTCGTCCTCTTTAGTGATGAATTTCTTTATTTTAGAATATACTTTATGATTCCAATCTTTTTCTTCTAAATCAAATAATATTGTTATTTTCTTAATTCTTTCAACCTGAAACAGAAATAATTTAATAGTATTTTATAATCAATTTATTGAAATTCAAAATATAAAGTTATTTTAATTTTAGATATACCTGCAAAAAGTGGCGGTCTTACATAATTAGCGTCCCCCCCGACGATGACGTCATATCTTCCCAAAAAAATTAAATTTATTTTTTAAACTGCATTGTATCACTGGCGGATCCAGGATTTAATTTTGGGGGGGGGGCTTCAGCCCGAAAGATTTTTTTTCATATACATATAACAATAATTAATTAGAAAAAAAATAAAAGAAATTAACTACCTATATGAAATGGTGTTTAAGTTTTTCTTGAAGTCCTATTAAATGTAATTACACGAACAAGAATACTTTAAGAGATAGTTTTTAATATTTTTTCTGTAAAACATAGTTATATTTTACCAATTTGGGGGGGGGAGGGTATCAGTCCGAAAGCCTCCCCCCCCCCATAGATCCGCCTGTGGCAATTGGCATTGCTTTAAATGCAAAGGTGCGTTTAACAAGTCCAAAACTATGTGACAAACAAAGATATAAATGGTTATTTCATTATGCTGATATTTCTGTTTCTTGTTTTTTGTATTTTCTGGCACAGGCCGATCTACAATGAGATGAGGGGAGGGGAAGACTTTTGGGCTGAAGCCCTCTCTCTCCCCCTCTTCCCCAAAAATGATAAAATATAACCATATGTTATGAAAAAAATATTAAAAACCATCTCTAAAAGTATTATTGTTCGTCACTAGCGGATCCAGAAATTAATTTTGGGGAACCCGAAAGCATTTTTTATCATATATATATATATATATAAGGACAGTTACTCTAGGAACAAAAAGAAAAAAACTAACTACCTATATAAAATGGTGTTTAAGTGATTCTTGAAGTTCTATTAATTATAATTACAAGGAAAATAATACTGTAAGCGTTAATTTTTTTTCCATAAGACATGGTTATATTTTACCATTTTGAGGGAAGGGGGTTCAGACCGAAAAGGCCCCCTCCCCGTGTAGGGTCCTACTGTGTTTGTTCATGAAATTACATTTAACTGTAATTCAAGAATAAATTTTCATATAGGTAGTTAGTTTTTTTTTTCTCCTAAAGTAATTATCGTTAAAAAAAAAGAAGCTTGGGCTGAGGCTCCCCTCCCCAAAAAAAAAGAAATATTAAATCCTAGATCCGCTACCAAGGTCGATGGCGCAAGAAGCTACCCTCTCTCTCTCCTCCCAAGATATTTTATTACTCACTTTTCTTGAAAACAAAGCAGCTTGTTGCGGTATGTTCTATGTTTTCTTGCCCCTTAGTCCAAAAGTTTATAATCCCGTCGAAATTTGCTCCCCTCAAAAATTAAAAAAAAAAGACCAAATATGCCTTCAGGGCACTCCTGGTTTGTACAATTTCTGATGAAATATCAGAAGCGAAAAAATGGGCCTCCTTGGGACAGATTCTCTCTTTTCAATCCATATAGTCAATTAATTAAATAATTAACTAATTACTAAAAATAATTATGAATGAGAATGATAAATCATCCATATCAAGTGGTAAAAATGGTGCCTCCTATCGATCCTTCTATCGATAAAAAAAGTTTTAATTTAGGGGCTTTGTGTTCAATATGGGCTTCCTTCGGGGTCCAAAAATATTTGACTTATATAATAATAATAATAAAAGGCTTAGCGAACCCGAAGGTTCGATGCCGACAACACCAATCGCTTATTACACACCTCCCTTCACCGTTTGCCGTCCAAACCCAGTCCCTTGAGATCGGCTTTAATGCAATCTTCCCACCTTCGTTTCGGATTTGACTTATATGACCTTGTTCTTTTGACATGTTGGGGGTGGAGGTCACGTCAAACGGCCCAATATATTTGTAGGTCACCTTTCTTCTTGATTTTTTCATCAAATTATCTTACGATTAAAGAGGCAAGCAAATGTGTGTTCATGTGTTTTTAGCACCTCATCAAATTAATGAGAAAATGCCCCATTTTTGAGAATTTTTGTAGATAAAAATTTTTAGGTTGTGATAAGATGAAGCCATTCGTCAAGTTATAGACGGATGCACTAGCTGATCCATGATTTAATTTTTTTGGGGGAGGGAGCTTCAGCCCGAAATCTTTTTTTCATAAAAATAAGAAAAAGAAAGAAATTAACTACCTATATGAAATGGTGTTTAAGTGATTCCTAATGCCCTTTTAGATGTAATTACACAAACAATAATACTTTAAGAGATAATTTTTTCCATAAAACATGGTTATATTTTACTATTTTGAAGGGGGGCTTCAGCCCCAAATCGCCCCCCCTCCCCCGCAGATCCGCCCGTGGACGGATGTTAATAATTTGATAAAAAGGGGTCTGTACCGCAGACTAAAAGCGATTAATATTGTGAAATTGTAATTGAAGAAATATTTTCACACCATAACTACTGGAAAACATATTTCGGCTATATTACTTTATTATATAACTTATTAATATAATAATATGCTCAGAAACTATAAATGTGTTGAATAATTGAGGATGGGGAGGGAGAGGGTGAGTTTTTAATTACTGTCTCCTATGCTTATCGGTTATGTTCAATATTATAATTCATCAAACATAATATAAAACTACAAACATTATTTATTTTTAACTGCCTCGTTCATTTTTTTCCTAATATGACCAGTTTAGTGTTCACACATTCTCAGCAACACTGTCAATGCATTTAGGCGCCAGCGTTGACTTAAAGAAAGTAATTTCTTAGTTATATTCCGATTTTATTTAATGTGTGAAATACTTATTGTACCAGACTTTATTGAAGACTGGAACCATTAGACTGTGCTACCAGAGAAAATCAGCCTTATCGGAGTTGGACCATTTAAAAATCAACTACTTCAGAAACTAGATAAGTAATACTTTCTTTATTGAGATCAGTAGCAGAGCTAGGATTTAATTATGGCGGAAGCTTAAGCCCAAAAGCTTTTTTTTTTATATAAATGTTTTTTATACTTTGAACGAAAAAGAAATAAACAAACTACCTGTATGAAATGATGGTAATGATTCTTCATACTGTACTAAACATATTTAAAATAAAGTGTAATTAAAGGAACAATAATACTTTAAGAGATTTTTTTTTTTCATAAGACATGGTTATATTAAGTAACTGTATCTTCTTACTTTTCTTCCATCCATTTGCGTGTCAGCGTGGGGATGCTTCAAGCCACTGAAACCATCGGAGTCTGTCCCTGGCAAGGTTTTTTATTTCTCTCAAGGCCGTCCCTCGTTCCATATGGCTGATATAGCAGGTTTTCCTCTTGGTCGTCCTCTTTGTCTTCTTCATATCGGTCTTATCTCCATGGTTTTGATTGGATATAAGGTTTCTGTTACCTTGCATACATTAAGCTCTTCCCTAATCCTCTCCGTTGTTTCCTCACAATTCTTCTAAGGAACTTCTTCCGAGGCAGTGATACGGCTTAGTAGCATTTCATTTGTAATCCAATTCTCCGCTCCATAGAGAAGTACTAGTTGTAAGATAGACTTGAATAAGTGAAGCTTTACGTTCTGTCCTACTTGCCTTTTTCCGATTACCGAGTTACAGATCTCATAGTAAACGGAATTAGCTTTGGAGATTATACATCCATCACCACCTCCATCAAAATTCCACTATAGGTAATCTGGAAATCCTCTTGAGTTCTACCAAATTGAAGAACCTTGCATTTTGTGAAATTGACAGTCACAGCTGTATTATAATTAAAGAAATGTATAACATACTGTGAATGATTTAAGTATTCAGCTTAGATCACTCGCAGTAAGAAATATCGTCCAATGAAAACAACATTTTTTCATTTTGGGGATTGAGTCCGAAGCCAGGATCTTCCAGTGCTTCAGATTATGTTATTTCAAAACTTTCAATGACTCTGAAGACTATAAATTCTTGTAGATTTTATTGCCTTGTATTATTTTGCATGCATTGATTTCATCGTGACACATTAATGTTTGTATCACTACTGTTATTGCAAAAGGTCGTAGTGTTAGGTATTCTCTTTATTCTGCAACTGCAATAAGTAGTCTGATGCTATGGAAAATAGCAGAGGGAAATAAAATTTGAAATTGTACTAATCAATCATAATGAAACAGTCAGTTTTTATACTCTTCTGTAGAAAAAAACTCATAGACTGCTTTGAGTGTAATTTATTTACTCCAGCTTTTTAAGTTTCATTAGTTTAAAAAATACATGATATCAATTTAATTTTTATTTTGAAAGCCCTGTGATCTAGTGATCTATTTTTATCTATAATTGACAAATGTGCTAGCATCACTGCTGCAATATAATTTTGTAAGATGACTTTGATTTTAGTGGTCTTCATTCTGCCTTTCTAGGTGAAGCAAATTTAAAATCTTAAAGCTCATTTTTTTTCTCTGAGTAAATACTAGTGATTGAAATCCTACATTACCGATAAACTGATAAGAATACTAAATAAGAAATATAAATAAAAACTTTCATTGCTATGATAGTGGATATACTAAAGTGTGATCTAGTTTCCATTTTGTATTTGTTTTTAACAAATGAAGGGTAATGAGTTGTACAGGTTTATTTTATTATTGTTTATAGTTTCGTCTATGTTTGTATTTTATTAATAGCGTATTGTATTTTAATAATAAGAAGTTGATAATGATATTTTAGTTTGTAAAGTTGTTAATATCCGATTTTATTTATTACGATATTTATAAAAAAAGTCTTACCAGAGCTTCAAGTGGATCCTTGATTTTCTTTGGTTCTTTTTTTTTCAGCTTTGTGTAATCACTTGCTTCTGATATTGAGTAATCTAGAAGAAAAACAAAATATTTATTCAATATTCCAATCTACTTAATATCTGCTATAATTAAATTATAGCCAGTAAATATATTTAATGCATCTTGGTTTTAAATATGAAATATTAAGCTAATAAATATTTTTTTTTATAATGATATCGAGATGGTTGACCATATTTATAATTTTGAGAAGAATTTGGTCAGAGGTGTGGTCAATTATATAATACTATATTGTATAATAGTATTTTTAATCGTTTTCCAACGTTTCGATCTACATTGTAGATCTTTCAGGGCTAAAAAAAGATTCAAATGATAAATCTTAATTGGTACCAGGTACAATAATCGATAAATGAAATATCTCTTGATATTATTATAGTAAAGATTACCAAAAATTATTTTTTTATATTTGAAAGAACTAAGCTGAACACCATCATGCATTTTACAATTATTATTCTCTTATTTAGTCTAATATCAAATACGAATTATTGATGTCTTAAAAATATGTATATATATATATATATATATATATATATATATATATATATAATTTTAAATTTAACTATTTAATTGGGAATAAGGACACTTATTAATAATTCAATAAACTATTAAGTGTTCATTTCTTCTGTTTATTGACGTTTCGATCCCGGTATTTTCTTTTTATTAGTCAACGATGAGATCCTCTTCAAAGCTAGAATTTTAAAAAATAGAGCTTCGATCAGGCCAAGGACACACCGACAGTCTCAACACCGTCCACTAGCACATTGAAGTTTTTCGCATGTGAAGGAGAAGAATGAGAAAATATTTCAACACATTTTACTCCTTCGTCAATGCAAATTGTTTAAATTATACATATTTCTAATGGATTTTTAAGATTTTTTGTTTTGTTTTGTTGGTAATTTAGTAATCTTTCTAAATATCATGTGTACAATCCAGAAAAAAAATGCATACTTTTTGAGTTATTCGCAATTAAATTTTTTTTCCTTCATAACAATTCCTCCAGAAATTTCGGGGAGAAAGGAATATTTTCCGCATGTGAAGTAGAAGAATATCTTCAAAATGAGTTGTGAATCATTGAATTTGATGAAGAATTGACGATGTTATAGCGTACCGACAAAAAAAAAAAAAAAGCATCTTTTAGAAATAATATATAGAATTCTGTGATGGGACAAAGATATGTTTCTATAACTTGGTCAACAGAGTGCAGCACTAGTATATAAAGCTATCAAACTGAACTGGATTGTTTTTGCCAGTTTTTTTTTAGTTATCAGTCTTTTTTTTCTTCTCACATAAATTTCAGATGTTTATTTAATCAGATCGACTGATTTTGCGAATGAAACAAAAATATATAATTGTGGATTGATGATTGACTGTCGTGAATAATGAAGAGAATGATGGTTGGGGTAATCAGTCACAAATAAAAAGCCAAAAATAAATAATAATATTTATTTTAACTTGAGTTTAAAATACATATTATTATTTATTTTTGCCTTTTTATTTATGACTGATCACTAATATATAATAGTAAAAATATATAATGGTTGGAAAGATAGTTTGTATGATATAGCTATTATCTGTAACTTTTGAATTTCTTAAATTTTTAGCTTAATATTGCCTTTTTAATTAAAAATATTTTCCATATTGAACTTATGGAATTTGAATGATACGAAGCATTTTTTACCAGGATTAACGTAAATGTTTAAAGAATTATTTTCTGTGTGCACGATATGTTTCACTGCATCTTATCTCTTCTATTTACTTTGTATAACTTCGTATTACTTTGATTTGTTTTTCATTGTTATTCTATGTTTGTCCCACTTCCTCTTAACATATTAAGAAATCAACTTATAACAACTACGTCATTTTATTTATTTTATTTTTACCACTTACGATTTTGTATCTCTCAATATTCTATTTAATTTCTTTGTAATTTCATTTTTCATTGCTTTGATAATTTCATTAAGTTGTTACCGTTATATTGTTATTTTTTACTTCATCACTTTATTAATTTTCTAAGTATGTTACATTTTTTCAAAATTCTCTAAATTTGTTGCCGCTATCTTAAATTTTCTAACTTTGCTACCATTTTGTTAATCCTAGTTTAGTTACCGTTACTTCGTAGGCGCAGACTTCAGAAAGACGTGGTGACAATAAAAAAAATCTGGTGCGATGCGTGCATCACACAACTTTCACTTACCACCCACTTCTTAGTAGAAGTAAGTATTTTCAGACAAAGCGAAGTGAAAGTGTAAAACTTATATACTTTATATTTATTTATATTTCATTGTGGGTATTTTTATTTGTATAAGTATAAACAAATTTTAATATTTATATCGCTATAATCTATACAATTAAATATTAAATAATACCAACAATAGCATTTATGAAAACCACATATGTATTTTTTATTTAATACTGTCGGAATCCGTATTATATTAATCTGATGATACGTATGGAAGCGTGTTCTAATCTTTCAGGCGAGCTTGGGTGCGCTCGTATTCCTTTGGTTCCTCAATCACAACTATTCTCTGTTACGATCTCTTATCTCTCCTTTATTTATTTATAAGATTCTTTCATATTTTATATTTAACCATTTTTCATATTAGAAATCAATGTGAAATGGTCAATTGTTTCAAATAAAAAAAATTAAAGTTACTTTAGAGGTAGCTAATATTGAAAATTAGATATTTAAGCACTGTTAGAGAACATCAATCAGAATAATAACAACATTTTATATAAAACTGCTTAATATTACACCGATATGATGAATTTAATCAAAATCATTTTGAGCGGTTTTTGAGATAATGGTAAAAATGTGTTTAGTCCATTATATAAAGTGCCACTTACGCTTAGCCGATTTTTACGAAAAAGTTGTTATAACATCCCTAGCATATAAAAACCTTAAATATGCAATTTCACTTCCGTACGACTTTTCGTTTTGAGCTAGACTGTTAACACACACATAACATTTTGCGGGACTTGGTTATTATTACTCAGGAGGCCTCAAAAGTCTATTTCCATTAAAAACTCAGATTTAAAAATTTTCACGATGGCAATACTTGCCCTTAGTTTATATTCAAAGATAATTATATGCAGAAATATATATTAGGGTTTTTATGATTCATTCATGCGCACTTTTCAATTTTTACGTGATGATTTTTTCATATTTTCAGCGGTAAATTTGAAGTATCAGAGAATTCAGAGTTCATCTGTGTGTCTCAATCCTTAAAATAAAAATGAAAATCTGTATAGATTCAATTACTTTGTTATTTATATTTTCAAATATACCCACAATTTATACGTAAAAACTAATATATTGTATAAACACACACACATATATATATATACATATATATATATATATATATATATATATATATATATACATTTTTGTTATATAGTATTATATTATTCGTTTCACAATAATTATGCTGATTATGTTAATTGCCACTCATTATTTTTATACACAATATAAACTCCCGAGTTTTTTTTTTGGCCCAGGTTCATCGCCCCCTCAACCAGAATAAAAATATGCTCCTTTGGGTTACTTTATACTTCCTTTATTTTATAGCATTTCTAAGTCAATTTCAACCTTTTCCAAATCAAATTAAACCTTTTCCAAGTCAAATTCAACTTTCGAATTTTTCTCATTTTCTGATTTTTTTCTAAATGAAGGCCACTTACTATATTATCGAAGGCATATTTTTTGAAAAATACAAAAAAAATTATGATAACGCGGTTACATATTTAAACTTTTAAACCATTTTCAAAATCTAAAAAAGCTTAGGAAACATAAAACTAGACCCTTATATCGAATAAATTCGAAAAACTTAAATAAGTCGAAACGCAGTGGCTTAATCATAAAATGGAGGTAATTTTCAAAATATCGGGTCCGAAAACATAAGAATACACCCTTATATGGAAAAAATCCGAAAAACTTAATTAAGTCGAAACACAGTGGCGTAATCTTAAAATGGAGGCAATTTTCAAAATTTATGGCCGGAGGCATATGAAGTAGAGCTTAATATCTAATAAATTCGAAAAACTTAAATAAATCGAAACGGAGTGGTGTAATCTTAAAATGAAGGTATTTAAAAAAAAATATTCATACGATAACGGACCCATGCTTCGAAAAATTAAGAATACTTAAATAAATAAAAAAGGTTGAATTTGAAATGGAAAAGGTTGAATATGACTTGAAAAAAGTTTAATTTGATTTGGGAAAGGTTGAATTTTACTTGAAAAAGGTTGAAATTGACTAGGAAATGCTATATATCATATATATATATATATATATATATATATATATATATATATATATATATATCTGTCGAATAGTTCCGTTACCTCTGACTCTTTGTTGACAAACGTCTTGCTTGGAATCCCCATACTAGATTGAAAAGAAAAGAAACTGCTAACAGATTTTGACTACTACTTCACTCAGTTGACAAACGCTCTAAATTTTCAATATTCATTAGTTATAATCATTCGTTAGTTATAAGTTTGTCATATATGTTTTTAAAGTCGTTCATTGTCTAGTAACTTCATAACTTTGGCAAGGAAGTTCATTTCTTGATTTCCCAGAGATATATTCTGGGATATTCCTAGGTCTTTTAACCTTGCGAAGAAAAAAGTGCACTCTTCTAAAATACGTTTTATAGTCAATAATTGGTCACACTTTTGACGTATGTGGATAAGATCTGTTGTTATGAGGTGGAGGTGTGTCAGTCTAGTAAGTCCGATTCTCAGTCACTTTGTCCACTTAATTAGAAACTAACACGGGCGGGTCTACGAAGGGGACTTTGGGGATGAAGCTTTCCTTCCCCCCCACAGTGGTAAAATATAACCATGTTTTATGGAAAAAAATATTAAAAAATTATCTCTTAAAGTATAATTGTTCGTGTAATTACATTTAAAAGGACTTTAGGAATCACCAAAACACCATTTCATATAGGTATTTAGTTTCTTTCTTTTTTTCAAAGTAATTATGAAATGAAATGAAATGAAAATATTTTTT